TTAAATTTTAATTTTCATATTTAAAGATCAAAAATTTTAATATGAACCTTTTAAAATAGAAATTTGTATTAATACGTACGTAAAATTAACAGCCATCAGATTGTCATTTAAAACTAAAAAGGATAAATTATACATACATTTCCTCATATTTGTCATTTAACCAGTTGGACCCGATCACATTTAGAATATTACTTCTATACCTTGTGACGTTTGTGCACGTGTAACACATAATCTCTTGTCGTTGATATCCCCCTATCGTTGATATCTATTAATATAACCATTAAAAAATATTTTTTCATCTTAATAAAAAATTATAATTTTCATACTACACTTTATTTTGTGGTTCTAAAGTTCAAAATCAAACTTATCATTTGAATGTTCATTATAATGTAGGTATTTATATAATGTTCTTTATATCCAATGCAATACATTACTTAAATAGAATTATTTGGATATAGGGAACATTTTTAGTCATATTTAGATTCTAAAGGGATATATGTGTAATATTTCAAATGTGGGGGGTCTAAGTGATTAAGTGACAAGTATGAGAGAGTCCAAGTGTAATTTATCAATTTAGTTTTTAGACGGCAAACTTACGCCTCTTAGCTTAAGGTGTGCATTGATACATATTTATATCTTTAAGGGTGCAAATTAAGATTCGAGCAATCTTTCATGGTGTAATTTGAAATTAACCCTATATTTTAATTCTTTTTAAATATTAAATCTCTTGTGCGGAATGGAAATAAAATATATTGTCGATAAATACATCATTTATCCACATATGATGGATAATCCATTGTTGAGATAATTTAAAAAGTAGTACAATAAAGAGAATCTAAGCCCATCTATAGGAGTATCAAAAAATGACACGACTTATCAACATGACATGAGTATGACACGAAATTAGAGATATTGAATTTTCCTTAATATACTCATTTCATAAACGAGTAGACTCAGCATGAAAAAATTAATAAACGAATTAAGTATGAATGAAGTTAATCAAAAAAATTATACGACACGACTGATTTATATATCGGTTATACATGATTTATATATGACATGAACTCAATATAATACGATTTTTTAGACCGAATTAATAAATGAATCGGATACAAGTTAAATATTTTTTGATACGAACTAACAAAGACCCAACATGAACTCGTTCTGCTCGACATGTTGAAGAAGCCTATATATTTGTAACAAGGGACAAAAAAAAATCATGTTTCTCTTTGTAGACTAGACATTTCAATACTAATAAATGCATTATCCAAAAGTCATGCTAGCTTCTGAGTTGTTTTTTTCCTCACAAGTAAACAACTACACACTAAATGGTAGAATTTATAACCTAAAGTTGTTATTTCAAACAATGGTAATCAGTAGGATTTATAAAATACGCAACAATTATGGGCTTTAGTGACAAATTTTTTAGTGATCAAGTTATTTTCGTCATTAATGATATTCTTTTAGCGATAACATGTGAATTTGTCACTAATGATCCATATTTCTACTTTCTTTCCTTGAAAAATAGAAAGTGTATCCCTCATACTTTCGTCCTTCTTATTTTTTATCATTCCTACTAAACAGAGCATTAATCTTAAAACCCCCGAACAAAAGATGTATATACAAATGATTTATTTAAAAAAGAAAATTAATGAAAACAAGCCGAAGGCAACACCAAACTCTGAAATGATTAAGTCGATCAATTAAATCGAATGGAATGGAGCGGGTCGTGTAAGGTCTTAACGAGTTTTATGTCAAAAAATATTATATTTATAATTAATTAATTAATTTGTATCTAACAAATCGTGTTATATCGAATTTATTTTATATATCAATCGTATATAACGGTATATAAATAAATTATATCGTATATTTTTTTTTATTTGTTTCACTCATACCCGATTCGTTTATTATTGATCGTATCATGTCGAGTCCACTCGTTTACTAAATAAGTGGCTTAAAAGAGACTTAAACTTTATATTTTTGCATTGTGTTATTATCGTATTAACAAGTTGTGTCATATTTTTATATCCCTAATAATGATGTTAGGACTATCCCAATGTGAAAGATGAGATTTAACGATGCAGAAAGTAAATTATGTACGACCAAATCATTTGAGTATGTGGTGCAAAATAATTAATAATAAAAGACAATGATATGATAGTTAGGTCTAGTGACCTAACCACTAAATGTGGCAACGGTGGTTGAAAAACTTTATTAATGAAAGAGTATAGGGTACGATAGCCGAAGAACATTTATAGACATAGAGCCCTAGCTATGGTGGTAACGTGAAGGTCAAGTTACTAATTTATTGGAAAAGATAATTACAATTGAGAATATACATAATATTCGAATAATAACTATTCCAATGATTATTTTTTCACGTACATTGACTTTTTCTAAACTTTTGAGTTTTGAATTAAATTGAATGCATGAGTTAAGTCTTACTTACCGTTTGATAATTTATACTTAACGTATAGACTGTCCCAGGCCTAATCTGAATCTTCTGCTCAAAATTAATACTAATTAATTAAAGATTTAAGAACACAACCTAAAATTCCGTTAGATTCGGGTCGGACTCTACCCGGATAACTTACTCACGCGACTTTATGCATTATTGTCGGGTACACATAATTGAACGCAAGAAAGTCGACTCTCTCATACATGTGGGCCACATGTGATGGGGACACTTCCTGTATCTCTACCGTTGGATGATACGCACTATCCGTTATGTACAACAGTTGACGGATTTGATTGTCATCTTCTTTGAAAGACCTTGCCTTCGCCTTTTTCCTCGCACCATTAGAGCTTCTTGTTTTCCTCAGCTCGATTCTCCGGTATTCCGACAATAAGAGAGAATTGTAGAGAGAGAAATGGAAGGAGATAGGAGAGTGGGTGTGGCCGTGGATTTCTCGGCATGTAGCAAAAAGGCGCTGAAGTGGGCTGTGGATAACGTTGTCCGGAAAGGGGATCATTTTATCCTCGTTAACGTACTCCCCGAAGGAAATTATGAGGAGGGAGAGATGCAGCTCTGGCAGACCACCGGTTCTCGTATGATCCGTTTCACTTCCTCATCCCCCCCCTCTTCCTCTCTCCCTCTCCTTCTATATAGATATATATGTGTTGGGAATAATGGGTGGTGTTTAAATCTTGTGTTCTTGTTCTCGATTATTTTTGTTCTTGATTGTTGACTGTACTGTATGTTCACAACAATATGTTACATGTATATTTATTTATATGTGTTCTTATTCTTATGTGTAATTGTATAGGTTCTTGTACACTTTTTTTTGGGTCTGGTTGGTGAGATTTACACGATGAGTTGACCCCCGGGTCACCTGACTCACCTCAGCTATTCCTGTGAATGAAGGGGTCAGTGTAGAGTTTTAAAATCAGGGATTGTTGATCGAGTGTCATGGTTTTTCACTGAAGTTATATGGTAGATTCTGATAATAGATCCCACAAATGGTGTTTATTTTGGTGAGAATTGATAGTGTAGTACTTTTAATAGCATACATGTTGTTGACAGCAGATTTTTTAAACAACCACATACTCTAAAAGCTATTAGAGAAAGTGTAACTTAAATATTTATACTTCAACACGCCCAAGGCTAGATTTTGATCCTAATAAGTAGAAATCTTTTAATCATTAAGGTGGCAATGAGAGTCGAACACTGGCCTTGCTACTCTGATACCATATTAAACAATCATCTATTCCAAAAAGCTTAAATTGTTAGAGTGGTTATAATTTTAGTATTTATACTTCAACACGTCCCCTCAAATACATACTAGATTTTGAATCTAGCACGGGAAAATAATATAGGACCACACTCATACTATGTTAAACAACCATCTACTCTAAAAGATTACTTCAACAAGATTTACAATATTTTTAGAACACTAAAGCCCGGGTTTATGTTACTTTTTTATTTATAAGATGCCAATTATCAATAAATACTTTGGACTATATGTGTTTATATCAGTTTATAGGTGTTGGTTATTCATACTGCCTATGCAGAATTTGGAAACATACTAGTAAGAGTTTAGTTTATTGTTTGTCTATATGGGCCTCTGTTTTTTAAAATTGTTGGTATGTTTATCCCATTGATTTGTTTTTGTCAGCTTTAATCCCTTTAAATGAGTTCTCTGATCCTCATGTCATGAAGAAATATGGGGTGCATCCTGACCCAGAAACATTGGATATTGTCACTATTGCCTCTAGGCAGAAAGAGGTAATTTTTTTCTTTGAATTACTGACCTTTGAAGTACTTCAAGAGATGCATACTATGCAATTTATGTATACATTGTTCTTGTCTGTGAAAGTAGATTGTGGTGCTGTTGAAAATATACTGGGGCGATGCTCGGGAGAAGATATGTGAAGCAGTGGATAATATTCCCCTTAGCTGCCTTATTATAGGGAACAGGGGACTTGGCAAGATCAAGAGGTTCAATGTTTTCATTATTATCTTTTATTTCTGATTAAATTTCTTTCTATGTGATGTTGTGACTTGTGACAATATGGTGTTTGGATCTCTCTGGGTTTTTGCAATAATTGCTGGCAAAAACTTTTAATGTCTCCACTATGAAGCATTTATGCTAGATTTAATGTAAACATCATGCATCGTCCAGGAAATTTGGCTTTTTTTAGTTTTCTTTTGCGAAATAATTGTGGATACTGTCCATTGAAGTTCTTACTTGTGTTTACACCTCTCACTGGCTGCGAAGGACTTGTATTAAGCTCATGGCTTGGGCTATATTACTAGCTGGGATTGATCAATGTTGAATTTTGTTCTTTTTTTTTTCAGGGTTATCTTGGGCAGTGTTAGCAACTACGTGGTGAATAATGCATCTTGTCCAGTTACCGTGGTGAAGAATGCAGACAATGAATAGTACTGCCAAGCAGTATATGTTGCAACTCAATTTCTCTCGCACTATAAAAATTAGAGTGAATGTATTAAACAATCCGACTTTGTAACTTGATGAAGAAATTGGTTTGGTGTTTATGTATGTATTGGTGGAAGTTTGTCTCAGTGTACGCTGTGTAAGCTAAACTCGTTGCCCATTGTGTTTCTTGGTTCTTGTAACGTTGGGCTGATGAGGGAATAAATTTGTGTAGTCTTCTTGATATTCTAAGAAGCTCTCTGAATACCTTTTATCTATGATAAAATGTCTTGAAGTTGGTTTGTCGATGATATTTTCTTGTTTGTTGTTCCATGTACAAGGCACTGGTTTGAACTAATTATGGTCTAACATTCAGCAATCTTATTCATAGCTGGTGGTGGATTTCATATGTGGAAAATGTCCTTTCGGGTCTCCTTCTCTGTCATAAACTTGGTTTATAAACTTCTTGTGCACAAACTCAATTCCTTGCCCCAAGATTTGTTTTGGAAATTGCAATCTTCTTTTGCCTTCCCATAATTCTATTAGCTTATGCTTATTTTGTTTGGTTGAAAACTTGAAATGTTAATGATTCAAGAACCTAGCCTTTTTGAAAGAAGAATAAGTGCATTATCTAATGTTAAAGAGGAAAAGTTTGAATCTGAGTCATGTACCAGTCTTGTAAATCATTATTGTTAGTTGTTGATCATTGAATGCACAGATGGATTTTCGTGCCTTTTACTAAACAAAATAGGTAATTTTGAAATTTCAGATAATCAGAATATCTGATTGAATGCCTGATTTTCAAAAAGCAGCTAGGATTTAGAGACTTTAAATCAACAAGAAGATTGTTTATGATTGTCTTGTTTCTTCTGTTTCCCACACCTCTCCCGTCGCCATCTCTCTAGCTTGCCATTCTAAGAATGAGTTTTACTGAATGTCCTTATTTGTTATGTGCAGGGATGTCCAAAAACAGCAACATATGACTTGAGTACTATCTGATAGGAACCAAAACATACGATTGGAAAACAGTTGCGTTGACCATAATTATGCAAAGGTTTCAAGGTGAAATATGCAAAAATTCATTTGATTTCTCATTTTATGCTAATGGAAGAATCACAGGCTAAATTTTGACTAAAATTTCGTGTGATCTCTTCTTGGCGTCTTTAGGTCTATAGCAGGTTTTTATGGTCATGTTTAGTATATGCTGCAATTGCTTGTTTAAATTCTTGATTGCCTGCTTTTCCTTTGTGTTTTTTGTTTACAAAACGTTTATGCTAAATTCTGGGGTTTTGGTCTGAGGGTAACAGCGTGTATAGGTAGATCATGGGTAAGGGTCCTTTACTGTACAAAACAGCCTGCATTTAGCAACGTTAGTTGAAGAGGGTTCAGATTTAGACCCCCTCCAGGACACTTGTTCTCATTTAGATAGGGTGAGTTCAATTTTAAGACAAGCATGGGAAGTAATTCAGACCACAGCCATAATCCATGAAACAAGCCTCAAAATCAGTGGCTAAACAAAGATATGGTTGAGGGGTCTTCCTGTTTTCTTTGATAACTAACTACCTATTTGAATGTAACTAACCAATTCCCCTCCAAACTGTTCTCCTATTATTCCGACCTTCCCCTACTCATTCCATATCATTTTACCTTTCTCCAATTCCAGAATGACAATGGAGTTCCAATATTATCCAATGCTGCTCTTCATTTCTTTCTTCTCTCTCATTGTCTTCAACTCTGCGCAGGAACCATCTCTCTCTCCAGATTCTCCTCCAAACTTGCAATCTTCATCCTCCCCAACATTAGCCCTTTCCACAGATGAGGTCTATATTCCTCAAACCATATATACTCCTTCTATTTCCGATCCACCATCAGAGTCAATTGCTCCCTCCACCGAGGGCGTTCCACCACCATTAGCCTATTCAACCGACCATTTCTCTATCCCTCCAGGCGCATATCCACCATCAGAGGCAGTCCCTCCATTCAACAGTGATGCACCAGAGTCAGCCCTGCCATTCGCCTCTTCAGCAGACCATGTCTCTCTTCCTCCAGACACATATTCTCCTACAGAGTCTGATGCACAATCAGAGTCAATTGCTTCTTCCATCACAACTGACTCTAATGCACCATCAGAATCAGTACCGTCATCCACCAACATCCACCCTACCATCAAAAAAATCGCTGACTCAACTGATTTTCCTGACTTATTCGTCTCCACAGTCGTCCCCTTGCTAAAAGGTAAAAGTGACATTACGTCCGTGCTTGAAGTGGCAATGAAAGTTAGTACTGACTTAACGAATTCGGCCCTGTTGGCGGCCAAAAAAGCGGCTGAAATGCCTGGAACTCCTCCTGAAATGATCTCTATCCTCGGTGATTGTTCAGATAGTTATGACACTGCTGTGTACAACTTTCAGCACGCAATGGACGCACTCGCTGCTCATGACATTGGCACGATGAATACCATGCTTACTGCAGTTTTAACAGATGTTGGCGATTGTGAGGACGGCTTTACGGGGATGAGTTCTCCATTGTCAGCCTATGCTGAAAAGGTGACCAAGATGACCAGCAATTGCCTTGCCATTATTTCCTTGATCCACTGATTAGTCTGACATACCTCCCATTTCGATGTAATGATTTCTATATTGTATTGTTTTCGTTTGTTCTATCTTTGTACGAGAACAGTTCTATAGATAGAACGTTTGACTTATGTTGCTTATGGTTGCTATTTGGTAATCCTCGCGGCTAGGGATGTCAAAATATGACACGATCCGTTAATACGACACAAAATTGTATAGATTGGGTCTTTCTTAACCCACACGTTTAGAAAATGAGTAAAACTCAACACAATATAATTAATAAACGAATTAAGTATGAATAAAGACAATCAAAAGAAATACATGAAACGACTCGTTAATATATTAGTTATATACGGTTCATACACGACATAAATTTGATGTAACACGATTTGTTAGACATGAATTAATAAACCAATCTGGTATGGATAGAGTATAATTTGAGTGAAACTCAACACAATATGATTAATAAACAAATTTTGTATGGATGAAGACTATAAAAAAAAAATACAAGAAACAACTCGTATATATATTAGTTGTGTACGATTAATATACGGCATGAACTCGATATAACACAATTTATTAGACATAAATTAATAAATCAATTGGATATGAATAAAGTATTATTTGACACAAACCCGCTAAAACTCGACACAAACCGACCAAAGTTCGTCTCATGACTCATCAATGCAGACACCTGCAACTATTTTTATGTACCAAACATGATTTTTTTTTTTATGTGTTTTGATACGTGCATGTCCCTATTCTCTATTTATCCGAAAGGACAAAACACACATAAGGATGTTCAACACACGTCCAAGAGGCAACGCAGCAATGCTCAAAATGTTTGCTTGAGTTAAGCACACAACAAATAGAATGAATCCATAAAATAACAGCCAACCCAACCTATAGAGTATAGACCCAAACACAGCCCAAAAGATACGCATATCATCAAAAAAGAACTGGGCAGGAGAAACCCGGTCATGTACATGGCCCAAGCTGCATGAGGCAGAAACTCGTCCCGCTTCTATATTATTACTTTTATCTATGGGTGAATCAAAAGTGACGGATATAGTACAAACTTTTCCACCTTGGTGGGCAATTTAGTGTAACTTTGCAAATCTACCAAGAGCATTCGAATGGAATATTTACCCTCACGATCCATCCATGAAAACAGCTGCATATCCACTAGCTTTCATAAACTTCTTAAAGAGAAGAACAACTATAGCAAAGGTAAGTCCGACAGCAGCCCACGTGAACAAGTGATCATCAGCTGGTTTGTGAACCCTTGTTTCTGGCCTCAGCTGCTGTGCACTTGCATGTCCAGGAGGAACCTCTCCTGATTCCCTCGTTCCTTCAGGGCCGGGATTTGCATTCAGAGGACCATCATGCTGTTCTTCAATGATCCTGTCACCTGAGGCTGGATTCGGAAGCTCCTCTCCAGATGCTTCTGCTGTGGCATTTTGAGGACTTACCTGGCCGTCAGCCTCCCTATTGGTAGTGGGTTCCTGTGAGTGGCTGGGTTGAGGGACTGGCGGTGCCTTGCTCACCATATACTCATGAATCTGAAAAGTTGAAAGAAGTTGTTAGCATGAGATCTTGTGTAGCAAATCAATGACCGGAAGGAGAAGTTGGGCCCTCATCAATTAGCTTTTGACGGTCAGGATTCCCAAATCTTGGGGCCGATTCACGAGATTTAACCGCCAGAACACGCCTTTCTTCTTTTTTGTAGTCCAACGAGCCCAAAGCACCATTTGGGTTGGTGGGCATGAAAGCAATGAGTGCTGTCAAAGCAGTCCTAACTGCAACAGCGACATATGTCAACTAGGTGATAATCTTGTTCGCAATCAATATATTCCAGACACGAATATCATCACACAAAACTACATGCACGTGTAATATTTTACAAATTTGCTTTGATGTAAGAATTCAGATCTCATGCTTTCCAAGAGGCTGGTCCCAACTCGTAGACCATTCCTTTTAAAAATGACAATCCATATAAAACATGTTTAGTCCATGCATCCACATACGCATAGAGTATACCTTGATTTCAAAGTCTTTTTATGCAGCAAAAAAATTCACGGAAAAAACATGAAACAACTGGAATTTTATAAAATTTCCACTAGCCTTTGTAGGCCGAACTACTTGAAGATTGCTGTTGGATGATATGCATCTATACAAAGTAAACCATATAATGCCAGGTGCATGAAGTCTTGAAAGTTGACCCTACTCTATCTTCCCATCAGAAGCAGACAAGCGTAGCAGATTTAAACTCTTCTCTCAGTCTCTCAGCCAGATCCACAGTTTATGAAGGCCAAATCTAAAATCATTTTGAATCATTAAAGAAAATCCTTGGAACCATAAAAACAGGAAGATAAAAGATACAGATTCCAACATAAGAAACTGTAATATAGTAGCATCAAATGAGTACATGCAAGCACAAATGTTCAACCGTAGAAAATATCAGTAAATTTTACCAACTCATAAATTAAGGGCAGCACCCGTGCATATGTAGGATTGTACAGTAGTCATAAAACAAACTCGTCCCAACCTATATTCAGTCAGAGGAACAACTGCCAGACCTATTTGGTTGTTTTTACAACCTCAATTGGGCTAACATTAAATGACAATGGAAACAACCATTTATTCCATATAAAAAACGAACAACAAAAAAATTGCTCATAAATATGTAATCAGGGATTCAGGGTATAAAACCCAAATTTCCTTTTTTTTTTTTTCAGGCTTTATTTAAATGGCAAGAAGAATGAAATTTACCACTCCAGGATGGCTGCCAGTGCTCAGGATGATGATTTGATATGCTTAAGCATATCTTTGTTTGCGTCTCAAAACGGCCATTTGGCTGGAAAAAGAGCATTAAACTAGATTAGCAAATTAGAATAAAACAGGTGTGGGGACAATTAAGCCACCCCCAAGAAAAAGGCAATTGTACCCAGAAGAGAAGTTAAACACTACCGTCAACAGCATAAATGAAGGGGGCTTGAATGGGTATTCTGCAGGCAATTGGATTCGACCGTGATAAATACCTCCCTCAAACTCTGTGTCACTGGGACCCCTAATTGCAAATTGCCATTCAAATATATTCTCCTGACAAAACTTAAACGTTTCAAGCTTCTGACTGAAACAGATCACTTAAAGACAAACAACAAGAAAAAAGTAGATTCACAGATTGAACACACCACACCATCAAGACCCTGTTGGGTGTGTGTGTGTGAGTGAAAGAAAGAGAGAAAAAGAGACAGAGATTTTTATTATTCAGACACTTGCTGTCAAGTATAATTCGGAATCAGCCAATAAGACAAATAGAGGAAAATATCAGATATGAATTTTGCACAGAGCAAGTAAAAAATAAACGAGAAGTAATGATTCATGTGGTTTGACAAAAGTACAGTGCAAACAAGATATTATAAGTCTCCAGACAAAATAACAGAAAAGGCAAAAAAGAGTTCTATAAAACAAGAACAAAATCCAACTACTCGAGTTTTGAAGGTTCTGAACCTCACAATTTATTTTTTTTTTGCATGCATACAGATTGCCAAAATTGAGCCAACAGAGGACCCATTTGTATTACTTGTTTGGTTCCAAGAACTCTGCCTTACATTCATCATGTGAGACAATGAATCCCCAGATGGAAAACGAGATTGTGAGAGTGTTTTTATTTCATTAACACTTTATTTGACCTCTTCAACCTTGTTGTCATCCTTCCAACAGAATCATCTCTTGTCATCAGTGCTATGGCTAATCCTTCATAAGTTAACCATATCATCTAGTACAAGAAGCTTTTTTGACTCTTCAAGTTCAATATCAGATTCTCATTCCACTAGGACCTTAGAAGTCGATCAAATTCCTTCGGCAATCCAAGCTGCTACCTCCAATCCTACAACTTAGACAATTTTGTTTCCCTATAACCAGGTCATCATGAGTATGCAGCAATCTCTCTCGTATATTTAAATGGATGAATTGATAAACCTCAACATATCAAAGCTCCGATTAATGACCAACTTGAAATATCCACATTACTTCACCCTAAGGAAAAATATCACGCTCAATCTCAATAAACCAATAAACCTTACGCAATAATTTACAGAAAATACATTAAACATCATTTTACACCCATTCCTTGGGGTCTGCAGCATCAAACATCAATTTGTAAACATAACTTGGGAATTGGGGGCTTTGTATCCTCAATTGTTACACACATAAAAATCACACTAATTTATGCATAAAAGACAGCAGTCTATGTTCTGAGAATTTTCATGGCCATATTATCGAAGGGTTACAATATCGATTTGTTTACTTCCGATACCTCAACCCCCCCCCCCCACCCCCCCAAAAAAAAAAAAAAAAAAAAAACCCACTCACCCACTAAAAAAAAAAGAAAGAGGAAGCATCACTGTATCAATCCCAGTAATAGGAGTTATTGATATCAAGCTATTAATAAGCAATCAATCACAAAAATTCAACCAAAATCTGCATATTTTAAACGCACAAAACATCACAAATTGAATGATCAAATTCGGATTAAAAAAATCTATATAATATAAAATTCGATAAATATCCAAAAGTAAAGCAAAACACAAATTTGAAATAAATATAAACATATCTGTTAATAATCAGTTCGAGAAAGGCAATAAAAAGAAATAAAAACCTCGAGGGGGAGGCTCATGAAATCATCGGAGGGGTTCGATTGCATCTCCTTCACCTCCTGTAGTATCCTCTTCACCGCTGGATTCTTCCGATTGTACTTGTCCTCCGCCATTTCTTCAGCCCTTACGAAGATCCAACCGCAACTGATCACTCCCTCTCTCCCACCCCTCTAAATTCAATACTATAGACAAATTCAAATAGAAGGAGATCGATACATATACGAATATATATATATATATAGAGAGAGAGAGAGGGAGAGAGAGAGAGGAAACAGAGAGGCAGATGGAGTTGACGATGATATTTTAAGCTCGTGTCTACGGATGGACACGTCAATTGGATAATTTCGGATTACGTGGCGTTATGTTATTGGATGGAACATGGTCTCCTTTAATTTTACTGGTTGTGTTCAATCAATTTTCCACCTAACCATAATTTCCAAACTTAATTTTCTTTTTGGGTAAATTACACTCACACCCCTAATATTTAGTTTTATTATACAGACACCCACTCACATTTCAAAAATTACACTAAGACACCAAATGCCGTCAAATAATGGATATGATTAACAAAAGTGAAAAAATGACAATCATATCCTCCGTTCTAATTTGAAAAAATAAAACTCAAAGCCAACTAAATTACAAATTAGACCCTAATTAAATAAATTTAACACCTAAATCAAATTAAACTTAATACTTAAGCAAATTTAGCACCTAATCCAAATTAAACTTAATACTTAAGCAAATTTAACACCTAATTCAAATTAAACCTTTTGATTTTGTCATTTTTTTTATTTTGTCATTGAATTCAATCTTATTAAGTTAATTTTTTATTTTTGGTCAATACGTTAAATAATTTTGAATTAACAACAATATTTATCAAATATCAATGATTTTACCAAAATTAACTTGCTAAAATTATGCCTTAACACCACCACCAGTGCACCACCACTTATTCCCCTCGACACCTATCACCCACAACCACCAACCACTGTTATCTCACATCAACACCCACCACACCAGTTTAACCATCCAAACTCCTAAGACCACCACCACTGTCACTCCCACCATCATAAGCCACCATTGCTAAACTCAAAAATCGAACTTACCTTCTCCGAGGCATAGTCAACACATCGCAAAATAAACAACCCACCTCAGTTACACACCACTTCTAGCCATCAACATCGCACTAGAGGGGATAGAGTGTGAGAGAGTTTAATTTTTCCATAGTCAGAAATGTTTGATTTTTTCATAATCTAATTTTTTATATCTTTTTGTTGATTTGGATTCTCCATGGTCCCAAAGAGAGTGAAATTCAGAAATTTTCAGGTATAAGTTCCAATCACCACTTCTTACCATCAAACCTCCATTATCCACACCCTTTAGTATATATAAACAAGGTGGGGAAGGGGTGCAGTAGAGTGAGGGTGACAGAGGAACAACGACGAAGGGGGAGTTGGTGGGGGCTGGTGCTTGGATGCAACGAGTTGGTTTGGGTGGTGGTAGAAAGAGGATAACAGACGCCTAGGGTTGGATTGAATTTTGTGAGTGGGTAGGGAAGGGGATGGAGGAATAAGATGATTAGGGTTTGAGGATGTGGGATTTGTTAGTTGTGTGAATTTTTTTTCAATTTATTTATTTTGACTTAGTCAATAGAGGGATGAGTTGGATAGTTGGGTATGGACATTGGTAAATCTCAAGGAGATATGAGGGTTAAAAAAGTATTTTAATAAAATTGTTAACGTCTGTTAGACAAAAGAGGTGCGGCTGTCAACGTGTTCAAATGTCAAAGAGTCTTAGTGTAATTTTTAAAATGATGGGTGTCCGTATAATAAAATCAAATGTTAGGATATGTAAGTATAATTTATCATTTTTTTTTAGCAAGTCAAACTTATTTCTCAATCTATATTTATAATATAAAATAAAACAGAATTCAAAAAGTCCATTCAACCGTGTAAAATATATTCATCCAATGACCACCAACATACTTTTAAAAATCATTCACATTATACTGTACTTTCAAGCACAAATTACACTTAATTAATTATTATTTCAAACTTAATTTATATTTTTTTACAGTAAATTTTAATTTTCAAAACACATTGAAGGGCTAATATATATATATATATATATATATATATATATATATATATATATATATATATATTTAGAATTAAAATACAAAATTAGATTTAAAATCACGATATTTAGCTAAAAAAATTCATGTTGGAAGCCAGATGACAAATAAGTTAGGCAACAAATTGGATTTTGGATCAAATTTTGACTGAATTAAAATTCGATTTAACAATTTTTATTCAATTATTTGCTGAAATTTATTTTTTATAGTCCATATCTGAATCTTTTAACAATTCAAAATTTGATCTAATTTGATTCAACTAAAATCTAATAAATTACAACTAAATTTCAATTAATATTTTGAAAATAATTATTTAATTATTTTATATATATATATATATATAGAATCGAATTATATAAGATATTGAATTTAAATTTAGATTTGAATTATTAATAAAAAAATATCAATTATTATGATTAATCGGATTTAAATTAGATTCATAACAAAATCTAATTCAATGATAAACGGAAAAGTTGGGCAAAGAATTGTGGACTTGCTGGGGCCCACTAACGTAGGCATATTTTCAACTGGGCTTTTGGCCAATGAAGCAGGCCACAGTGTTTTGGCTCACTACATTTTCCAAAAGATGGTTAAAAGGCCCAACCCATTGACAAATATGGAGCTCCGAAATAGAGTTGCGGGGTTTTTTTTTTTTTTTGGGGGGGGGGTGTGTGTGTGTGTGTGGTTGTAATGAATAATGAGATTGGCAAATTGAACTGTTCCTGGGTCGCTTGCATATATTACTGTTACAATTGTAAGGATCAACGCAAATGATAACAAAGACAAATCGTAAATTTCAAATATTTTGAATTTAAATCTTGATAATTTATTAGGATCAGATCATGAAGTAGTTATCCCTTATGAATATTCTAGTCTTAGCGTGAATGACCTATTTTTATTAGATCGGGAAGAAATTAGTCGAGTTGTACGTAAGCTGACTCAAACACTTCTAATTGTTGAACAAAAAAAAAAAATTAGTATTACGATTGTAATAGAAATGTCTTTCTAATTTACTATAATTACTCTCGTTAATTTATGAAAAATTTAAATTGTATCCAAAAATAATTAATTCCATATGTATTAGTATTAATGACAATCTTCTTCGGCATTATTGCTGACATCTTGTATATTATTAATGACATCTCAGATATTGTTTTATGAGAATCTTCAATTATTAAAAAAAAAAAATTATTTAGACTTAATTTACTAGTATAATGATTTGATTTCAATGAAATCATTGGATCAATACTAACTTCTAATGTTTGATAAGATATACGAAGCGGAATGACGTGACTTCATTGTTGGGCTGCCTAAAGTGGGCTGCCTAGGCCCAAAGTTTTAGAAGTGTTCATAACCATAAATCTTTATTTTATATCAATCTAACAATTACAAAATTGTGTTGTTTTATCTGAAAATTAACGTTTAATCATTAATATATCTATTCGAAGATATGACATTCGATATAAATAACATTAAAAAAAAAAAAAAGCAGAAGTATTCGTTCAATCTAAAAAAGGGTTCGGTGATAAAAAAAAATTGTTTGGTCAATTTTTTTGTTTTTATTTTTTAAAAGTTGAAAATAAAAAATAGATAAATTTAGATAATAAATTATGACTATTTGATGCGTTTTTGAAAACATAAACCACCACCACCACCACCACGATTATAAAGACTGCGAGTATTATAAAGAATAATGATGGATCCTAATATGTTGGCACCACTTACATACTTAAATTTTTATGTGTGTATGAATTCCAGACATGTCGGAATGCGACTCTGCTCAAGACAAGGTTTGCCTGCTGCCTTTAGCGCGGCGGAGAGAGAACGATTAAAAAGTGTAAATGCCGGCTGTGACGTGCAACTACCCCAGCCGTCCTAAGGAATCTTCATGGCATCAAACCCAAGTGAGTCCGCTTTCAAGTTTCAGCAATGGAGGACACGGTCAAAAGCCTAGCAAACCTGTCATCCTCAAAGGTACAAGTTTTTAAACAACTATGGGTGTTTTATTATTATCTTCGAATTGATCATTTTCCTCTCTCTCTCTCTTTCTCTAATTTGATGTTCGGCATAGTCAGTTGACTGGGTCTTGTTGATTCAATTGTCAATGCCTGTTTGGATTTCAATGGCTGTTTGATTCATTTGACGAATGTATACTTTGTATTATATTAAGGGGAGCTCCTCCAGACGGCAGCTATAATGTCTCCTATATTTGTTAGGAAGGCTGTTCACTGAGCGATTACATCGAACAAATTGCCATCATTGTTTATATATTAGTGTTCTTAGGTAATCGAATACGTCAATTCCCATTGATGGTTTAGGAAAATTTCGCAATCGGAAGAGTAATTGTTTGTAATTCGGTTCAAATCCTTTGTTTCGGGAATTGCTATATCTATAAGATTAGTAATACCCTCAGGAGTTTTCAAACTATCTAGTTAAATCATTTCTTTTTTTTTTTTTTGTGGTAAGAGAACATTTGTTCTAACTTTGTTTTATGTGTCGTTGAGTAAAATGTTCGATATAGAGCAATTCAATTTTGGTGGTGCTCTTGATGAGTACAGTTCTGCCAAGGATTTTGGCCAGAGAGTAGGAGCCGGAAGGAACATTGCAGCACAAACTCATTTGTATGGAACAGAAGCTTGGGGGGACTTGGGGGACCTAAGTTCATTTTGGTCTGAACTCGGGTTCCATCAAGACAACAACACAGCTGAGAAACAACTGCTGTGTCTAACCATCCACAACAACAACAACAGCTACATGCGTTTTCTGATTTTGGAAGTATTGACAATTTTTATGTTGATATTGTCTCTCCACCATTTCAATCATGTGATGAAGGAATTTCAGAGCTTGTCAGTGTCCAATCTGAAGATTCTGAGGTTATTGAGCCCAAGAAGGAAGAGCCAATCTTATCTCCTTCAGCATCGCTTACAATTCTTAATAACTATGGAGGCGGGTTCAGACGTTTGAATGCAGAAAAGATAAATGCGCCAAGCTATGACACAACATGCACTGTGGTGCATGGCCGAAAATTATCAACTAACGCAATCATGAGGTTAGCTGGAGAAAAGTTCATCAACTCCTGTTCCCAACTGGTTGATGATATCTCTGCACCGAGTCATCCATATTCTAGTTCATTTACGGACTTATCTGATGAGGAGGCTAAAGACGTGGAACTCGTCCAGTGTCTTCTAGCTTCAGTGGAGAAAATAAGCCAGCAGCAATTTGATCGTGCAAGAAAACTCCTCATCCAGTGTGATGACTCATCTTCCAATAAGGGAAATCCTGTTCAGAGAGTAGTGTACTATTTTTCTGAAGCTCTTCGAGAGAAGATCGATCATGAGACTGGAGGATTCACATCACAGTGTTTGGGAAAGAAGCAGTCAAGAGATACTGTAGAGGCAGTGATGAGCCCAAACCCCACTATCATTTCATTTTACAAGAACATACCCTTCATTCAAGTAAGCCAATTTAGTGGAGTGCAAGCATTGATTGACAATTTAGGAGGGGCGAAAAAGGTCCACATAATTGACCTTGAGATCAGGGGCGGGACGCACTGTACGATTTTGATGCAAGCTCTTGCAGCTCGAGGTGAATGTCCCCTTGAGCATCTCAAGATAACTGCTGTTGGAACTAGATTGAAACCAAAAATAGAGGAAACAGGTAATCGGTTGATGAGTTTTGCCCGGTCCATGAATTTATCATTCTCTTTCAATGTAGTCATGGTAGCAGACATGCTAGATCTCAATGAATATCTTTTTGAGCTGGATTCTGAGGAAGTAGTTGCTGTCTACTCATCATGTATATTAAATAGCATGATTCAACGGCCAGATCGGCTGGAATGTTTGATGAGAGTGATGAGAAACATTAATCCTTGTGTAATGGTTGTGACAGAGATCGAGGCAAGCCATAATTCCCCGATTTTTGTCAACCGTTTCATTGAAACTCTTTTCTTCTATGGTGCATTTTTTGATGCTCTAGCAGATGGCATGAGGCATGATGAACCAAATAGAATGATGTCAGAATCAATATACACAAGTCAAGCAATACGAAACATTGTGGCTGCTGAGGGAGAGGATAGGACACTTCGACATGTGAATATCCATACCTGGAGGATGTTTTTGGCCAGATTTGGGATGGTGGAGATAGACCTGAGCCTGTCATCCTTGTATCAAGCAAATATGTTGCTTACGAACTTTGCTTGTGGCAGTTCTTGCAGGCTTGAAATTGACGGGAAAAGCCTAATGATTGGGTGGAAGGAAACACCAATGTTTTCTCTTTCTGTTTGGAAATTTCTCTGACATGAATACAATGAATCATTTGAAATCTGGATTCAAATCTTCCATTTAGTTTAGTCATCTTTTCTAAATTCCTTATGCAGTACTCTATTGAATTCTATATATTTTCAGTTCACGTGTCAGCTTGTGTAATTTGGAATTTCAGGACTTTATGTAAATTCCTTAAGATTTGTGCAAAGTAGAGTTCATCCTGCAGTCTCACTTAAGGATCTCATTGTTGATCCAAATGTTTTATTCCCACTGCTTAAGTGTAAACTAGAGTACTACATTCCAGAACCCGGTTGATACGAAATAAAAGAACATTTATATCTGTCTTTATTTACAAGTCCAAAAAATAATTAGTCTCACCTCTCTCCATGTGAGTGCATCACAATGGCAACGCCCAAGATCATTATATAACTGGAGAACACAATTTTACACTGTCACGGGGGCAAAATAAATTTCCATACTGTAAGAGGTTATTGAATTAGGAATAAGTTTCCTGCCAACAGTTTAACTTAACCCTATGGATAGAAATTCCAGTGGTTTGTGAGTGACTATAACTACTTAATGAAAACATACATTTGTTTTAGTGTATTGTTTAATTGTTCTCCAATTGAGTCGGTAACATGTACCAATGTCTAATAACTTCCTGTTGTTTCGAGACTGGGATTCTATGGAAACAGGTTTAATTTTGGATTTCATTGGGCAGTTTACACGTGTGAAGATATGCTAATTAGACCGAAACATGTCTTCCCACATCCCATTTGGTAGAACCTTAATGTTGGAGGAGTTTTCTTGTCTTCTCTTCTATGGTATTGTGTAAACTCTCGGGTTACTCCACCACATTATCTGTTCAGCCATTGCTTTTGAACTCTCTCTCCCTCTCTTTGTATGAAAACAATCTTCTTTTCATGTTCTTGCTTTGGTTTGTCCATTGGATATGTTACTTGACTTTTCTTGTTACTTGCATATTAATATACCGCTTTTCCACCCATAATACTCTAACCTATGTGTGGTCTCTGAAGGGAAAGAAAACAAAATATTTGAGCTTTCTATTTCAGCTGTTCTGCTTGAACAGATGCAGGAAAAACTCACCCCATATATGAAATGATTTTGTCAGGTCTATTTGGCGGAGATTAATTGTAGTTTTATTTTGCCTTCTAATTGAGTTTCAAAGAACAAACAGTCGGTTTTGCTTGTTTTATTTGTTTTTTAATATAGTTCCAGATAATCAACAGCTTCCTTTGCTTTCATCTTGTTCCCTACTTTTTTCAGCAACCAAATACGGCATGTCTTTATTTATTTTTGCGGGCAGATTTCTTAGGAGACCTTGATCGGAAATTTTTCCAAAACACATCGACGTTACTGCAATCTGTCTACATCTGTTAGATTCCAATCCTTGTATGGTTAGTCAAAATCCCTAAACAGGACTACTTAAGTTTTTGTTTTGTAGCCTTTGGAATCAGATGAGGTTCATATAGTCAAATCCTTGCATCGATGCTAAAGGTTCTATGAAAGATGTCCTTAGGTGATAGGGTATACAATACACCTAACTACAATTCTCATGTTGGAAATTAGTCTTTATCCAGTTTGAATTTCTAATTAAAAAAAAAAGGGGCGGCCCATTGCACGAAATTTGCGCCACTGTGGAGTTCATTCATATTCTTTCTGCTAGTGTAAAACATCTGGAATTGCAATATATATGGAATTGAGAAGCATATGGGGTGCAATCACTCCTAAATGCAGACTCCTGTAGATAACTCTTATTAATATATTCAGGTGCGTTTTTTTCTTCTCTCTCTCTCTTTTACTTTGAAGTTCGGCAGAACATGTTAACCGGACGGCAGTCATTCAAATTGGGAAGAATCATTCGAAAAGTCTAGGAAGAATTATATAATGTGTCATGTGCAGGCGGCAGCTGGACCTTTGAACTGTTATAAAGTAGGGAATTATTATATCTATAGGATTCGTAGCATATACCCTTCATAATTGGGAAACTGTCTTGTGAAAACATTTAGGGAAGTTTTTATCCTTGAGGTGATGAGCATGTCCTCAATAGAGCAATTTGATATTGGTGATTTTCCTAATGAGTATAGAACTTCAATGGATTTTGGCAGTGTGGCTGGAGGGAACATAATTGCAACACAAACTCGTGTGCATGGAGCAGAAGATTGGTGGGAATCAGGGGAGATCAATTCATTTTGGTCTGGACCTGGGTTCTCTCAAGACAACACGGCTGAGGAAGAACTTTGCTGTCTGAATATCAACGAGAACACCAGGTACAATTGTTGTCTAATTTTGGTAGTTTGGATGATTTATATGTAGATATTGTCTCTCCACCATTCCAATCATGTGATGAAGAAATTTCCAAGCTTCTCAGTATCCCATCTCAAAATTCAGAGGTTCTTGAACCTGAGCAAGAAAAGTCGATCATATATTCTTCACCATCATTTAAGGTTCTTAATATTTTCGGAAGCGGGTTTAGCCGGTTGAACGGAGAAAAGATAGAGATGCCAAATTACAAGATAACATGCACGGAGGTGAGTGGCTGAAAATTATTGACTAATTCAATTACAAAGTTAGCTGCAGAAAAGTTCATCCAATCTTGTTCCCAAACAATTGATGAACTCTCTGTGCTTAGCCATCCATATGCCAGTTCAGTTCTAGGTCTTTCTAAGGAGGTTAAAGATGTGGAACTCATCCACTGTCTTCTAGCTTCAACTGAGAAAGTAAGCCAACAACAATTTGATCGTGCAAGTAAGCTTCTCAACCAGTATGATGACTCATTTTCCAATAGCGAAAATCCTATCCAGAGAATTAGTGTACTGTTTTTCTGAAGCTCTTCAAGAGAAGATTGATTGAGAAACAGGAGTCGTCACATCAAAGGGTTGGGAAAAGAAACAACAATATGATATTGTAGAGAGACTTAAGAACCCAGACACCAGCATTATTTCATTTTATCAAAGTGTGCCCTTCATCCAGATTTGCCAATACAGTGGAATACAAGCAATAATAGACAATGTAGGAGGGGCCAAAAAGGTCCACATCATTGACCTTGAGATCAGGGGTGGATCACAGTGTACGATTTTGATGCAAGCTCTTGCTGCTCGAGATGATTGTCCTCTTGAGCATCTCAAGATAACTGCTATTGGAACTAGATCAAAACCAAAAATTGAGCAATTGATGAGTTTTGCCTGGTCCATGAACTTACCATTTTCTTTTAACATAGTCATGGTAGAAGACATGCGGGATCTTAATGAGGACCTCTTTGAGCTAGATGCCGAGGAAGCAGTTGCTGTTTACTCCCCATATATATTAAATACCATGATTCAACGGCCAGATCAGATGAGTGTTTGATGAGAGTGGTGAGAAACATTAATCCTTGTGTAATGGTTGTCATTGAAATTGAGTCAAACCAAGGATCAAAATTTTGTTTCGAAGTACCGTTTCGGTCAACTCAAAAATAGAAACGTTTCGGAAACATTTCGGAAACGCAGAAAAAATATGGAAACGCATAGAAACACAAATACAATCCATTAATTTATAAAGATATGCTAAATAATTGATTAATTCAATATATTTATTAGGTTAACATCAATTTATACAAGAATAAATTTAAATTTGAGGGAAAAAAAGGCTTGACATGAGACAAAAGTCACTTAAATTAGTTTCAAACACTTAATTTTTATGAAATAAACACATTTTTACATAATATTAAGGTCTTATAATACACATGAAATGCTAATGAGTACATACTTACATGGTTACATCCATCTCCCTGTGGAGTGTCGAGCAGGCTCATACATCGGTGTAAGCTCTGGGTAGCTACTTAGAGAAACTCCATATGTGACATAAATATGATGACAATAGTTACTCCAAATCATATTATTACGGTAATATTATCCAATTAATAATACTATTTTATTATAATACTAATAATGAAGGGTATCAAATTAAATTAATGATACTTATGTATACTTAAAAATTAAATATAATTACAGTGGGTATTAAATGTAATTACATTAGGGTATTAAATGTAATTGTTAATACTTATAACAAAAAAAAAGCAAAAAACTTGCACAGCAGTAAGGTATTAAATATAATTACAGTAGGTATTAAATATAATTATAATGGGTATTAAATATAATTATAGTAGGGTATTAAGTTTAATTATTTATTCTTATAACAAAAAAATTATAAAAGACAGAAGAGCAGTGGGAATTAAATGTAATTATAGTGGGATATTAAATATAATTATAGTGAGTATTAAATGTAATTACAGTGGGTATTAAATGTAATTATAATGGGGTATTAAATGTAATTATTCATAATGAACTGAATATATCACTGTTTTGTCGAAACGGTCCGAAACAATGCCGTTTCGACCAAATCGGTCCGAAACAGTACCGTTTCGACCGAAACACTGGAATTTTGTGATTCAACTACTGTTTCGTTTCGGAGTGTTGAAATTCCGAAACGTTTCGGACGTTTCGGATGTGTCGACACGACATTTTGATCCTTGAGTCAAACCATAATTCACCAGTTTTTGTTACCCGTTTCATTGAAACTCTTTTCTACTATGGTGCACTTTTTGATTCTTTAGAAGTTTGTACGTATCATGATGAGCAAAACAGAATGATGTAACATTGTGGCAGCTGAGAGTGAGGAGAGGACATTTCGACACGTGAATATTAATGTTTGGAAGGCATTTTTTGCCAGGTTTGGAATGATGGAAGTAGATCTGAGCCTGTCATCCTTGTATCAAGCAGATCTGTTACTCAGGAACGTTGCTTGTGGCAGTTCTTGCATACTTGACATTGACGGGAAAAGTCTAATTGTTGGGTGGAAAGGAACACCAATGTGTTCTCTTTCTGTTTGGAAATTCCTATGACCATAATTCAATGTATAATTTGGAATATGAATTCAAGCCTTCTATTTAGTAATCTTGTCTGAGTTCTATTTAAAGTTCTCTTGGTTCAATACATATTTAGTTCTACATGCTAGATTGAGTAATTCATGGACTTTGTGCAGAGCACAGTTCATCTTTAAGTCACACAATGAATCTCGTACAAAATGATTGATCCGATGTTTTTTTTGCTATTGTTGTTCCACACTTGCCCAAAGCACAAATGGTGAATGTGTTCATGTTCATCATGATTATATTGTAACCATATTTCTGGTGTTTCTTATCATATTTTTTCTCTACAATTAATTCGATATTAGAGAGAATGGTTTCTGGATTTTATTGGTACTGCATTTGGGTGAGTCAATCTGCAGAACCAACAAGTATTAGAAATGCATGTGTTCTGTCTTCTTAAGATTGGATTAGGGAATGATATTATCAAAAATTTCCTGATACTGAATGAATTATTGTCTCTTTAATTGCATGACACGTTTTTTTTACGTAATTTGAGAGCATAATGCGTCGTAGTGAGTCTCCTCAAATAAATTTCCATGTTGTATCAAGGGCTAGAGTTATTGAATTTGAAATCAATTCCTGCCAACTAATTTAACTTAACTCCCATGTAGCATTCTTCTTGTTTGGGAATGACTATGGTTACTGTCAAGAGGAAAAAACAAGCAGAACTCTGCAGAAGTATAACATAACAGCAGAGTGACATTTACTACAGAGTTCCTCACAGTTTAAAGTATCAGGACCGAGTCATATCCCACGTGTCACCATCCAAACCAATAACGACACTTGTTCCACCAAGTATGCGAGCCTCCAAACACTTTATAAACCTAAAAAAAAAAAAAAAAAACCATCAATCAGAAAATGAATTGAATAAAACTTGTGTCTTTAAACTTATTACATAAGATACTAAATACCAAAACAAAGTTAATAATCTTCAATTTGCAAGGTGACGTTTGCCACTAAGCTAATGACTACAAGAAATCGCAGCCAATTATCCTTGACCTAATTTCTCCTAAAATCTTGTCAAAATTTGTTGAAACTTAGTTAAAACTGATATTTGGGGTATGGAAGGGATAACGACTTTGCATTATAAACCTTATCACTCTACGCACTATCGAAATCTTACTCAATATACATTCAATCCAAAACTTAACAATCACTTTAAAAGCGCATGATTGAGAGGGACCTGATATCTTATGAACGAAAACGTAATAATTTTTTATTAATCTGAAATACATTTGTAGTTTTATAAATAAAATTAGGGGTACACGGTATAATATGAATGATTTTGAGAGAGATGTTGATAGTTATTAGATGAGTCTATTTGAGACCGTCGAATGATGTTATTGAAACAAGCAACATCTTGACTGGATCGGGGCCATTCAATTATCAATTCCTGTTTGGATTTCAATGTTGTTAGTATTACTTGAAAAATCAACAAATAACTATACCTTGTATCAGACGACAAGGCTCGTTGTTCTCTGAGGTATAACATCGAACACATTGCAATCAACTTACAGTTTTGTTAGGTGATGGAATCTATCAGTCCATATTAAGGTAAGGTTGAAAATTACGACTCTATGGCAATTTATCGTTATTTAGTTCAGAGTCCTTTGTGCTGAATGTAAATATATGGAATAGTTATATCTGTAGGAGTAGAGCATATACCCTTGAGAATTGAGAAACTGTCTTGTGGAAACATTGAGGGAAGTTTTGTTCTTCAGGGATGAGCAAAAAATGTTTGCGATCAAGCAATCTGGTTTTGGTGTTGTTCATAATGAGTACTCTTCTAAGGATTTTGGCAATGAGTGTTGGAGGGAACACTGCAAGACGAACTCATGTGAATGGAGCAGAAGATTGGTGTGAATCAGGGGACATCAATTCATTCTGGTCCCGAACCTTGGTTCTCTCAAGACAACACAGCTGCTGAAGAACTTTTGCTTACGGAATATCAACGAGAACAAAAGGTACAATTGTTATCGTCTCTCCACCACTTCAATTGCACTATTTTAGTCTCTTACCTGTTTTTACTAATGCACTTTCATCTGCAGATAACAGGGTCTGATCACCAAGAGTTGATAACACCACTTACAAGATATTGCCAAGGTGATTTGGTGCACTTGCTGAGTGTTCAACCCGGGTGTTTTTTTTCATCACAATCACTCCTAAATGCAGACTCCTGTTGAAAGATATATCAACTATGCTTGGCAATCCTTTCTCATTAACTTGGGATTGCAGAATCAGATAATTATTATTTTTTTTTCCCGGCATGTTAACAGTAAGTTGGAGGGCTAATTTTTGTTGTGTAGCCAGCCACTGACCTGGAAGGGGAACGAAAAAAAGGGAAAGTATTTAGAATGCAAGCTATCACAGAGAATGTGGCCGTGGTGACATGTATGATCTTGGTGCAAGCTCCACTGTCTCTATGATGCATTAGTGTCCCAGAGCAACAGGCATATAGAAAATGGAGGTCATCAACTCTGTATTAGTGACATTTGATCATTGTTGGAAGTTCCATCACAACTGAAGAGGAAAACATGATTTGAAATATGGATGTGTCCAAATCAGCTAGCCTGGAGGTTATAATTTATGTGTTTCCAACTGAATTGAAACAGCTACATTAACCTTTTTTCTTTCAAACATCAATGAAATATATACAGCCAAACAGAAATATGGATTCCAAGTGTTTCCATTTCAATTTTGCAACAAATTAGCTGGTGTTGAATTTGCACTATTAGTCCATGGACCTCGTATCTTTCAAGCGATGGCTGGTAAATTGAATTCATCCTTATTCATGAGTTGAACCTCTCTCAAATTTAATTCTTAAATTCTTTATCCACCGAGTGTTTTTCTGATGTAAAATCCTCATTCAAGTTTGGTTTCATCTGTAGTAAACCCTTGTTGGAATGGGTATTGGAGAATTCTTATTAGTATATTCAGGTGCATTGTTTTCTTTTCTCTCTGTCTCTCTATCTTTACTTTAAAGTTTGGCTGAACATGTTAACTGGACGACAGTCATTCAGAAGTTATTGCTTGTGGTTATTAGTATCATTTGAAAAGTCTAGGAAGAATTATATAATGTGTCCTGTGCAGACGGCAGCTATAATGACCAATAATTGCTTGGCAAGTAGTTGGTGTTGAGGTTGAACATTGAACACAAAGCAATGAATATTATATTTTATGATATCTTAGGTAATAAAATATGTTGATTTACATTTGATTTTCATTTAGTCAATTCATCTGACTTATACCAGAAAATGGTGTAATTATTAAAAAAAGCATTATTTGTAATTTAGTCCATTGCCTTTGTACTGTTATAAAGTAAGGAATCATTATATCTCTAAGATTAATAGCATATACCCTTCATAATTGGGAAACTGTCTTGTGAAAACATTTAGCGAAGTTTTTATCCTTGAGGTGATGAACATGTCCTCAAATTCAATAGAGCAATTTGATATTGGTGGTTTTCCTAATGAGTATAGCCCTTCAATGGATTTTGGCAGTGTGGCTGGAGAGAACATAATTGCAACACAAACTCATGTGCATGGAGCAGAAGATTGGTGGGAATCAGGGGAGATCAATTCATTTTGGTCCGAACTTGGGTTCTCTCAAGACAACAAAACCGAGGAAGAACTTTTGCTGTCTGAATATCAACGAGAACACCAGGTACAATTGTTGTCTAATTTTGGTAGTTTGGATGATTTATATGTAGATATTGTCTCTCCACCATTCCAATCGTGTGATGAAGAAATTTCTGAGCTTCTCAGTATCCCATCTCAAAATTCGGAGGTTCTTGAACCTGAGCAAGAAAAGTCGATCATATATTCTTCACCATCATTTAAGGTTCTTAATAGCTACGGAAGCGGGTTTAGCCGGTTGAATGCAGAAAAGATAAAGGTGCCAAATTACAAGATAACGTGCACTGACGTGAGTAGCCGAAAATTATCAACTAATTCAATTATAAAGTTAGCTGCAGAAAAGTTCATCCAATCTTGTTCCCAAACAATTGATGAACTCTCTATGCTTAGCCATCCATATGCCAGTTCAGTTCTAGGTCTTTCTGATGGGGAGGTTAAAGATGTGGAACTCGTCCACTGTCTTCTAGCTTCAACTGAGAAAGTAAGCCAACAACAATTTGATCGTGCAAGTAAGCTTCTTGACCAGCATTATGACTCATTTTCCAATAGGGAAAATCCTATCCAGAGAATAGTACACTGTTTTTCTGAAGCTCTTCGAGAGAAGATTGATCGAGAAACAGTAGGAGTCACATCAAAGGGTTTGGGAAAGAAACAAAAAAGCGATGTTGTAGAGATAATTAAGAGCCCAGACACCACTGTTATTTCATTTTATCAAAATGTGCCCTTCATCCAGATTTGCCAATTCAGTGGAATACAAGCAATAATAGACAATGTAGGAGGGGCTAAAAAGGTCCACATCATTGACCTTGAGATGAGGGGTGGATCGCAATGTACGATTTTGATGCAAGCTCTTGCTGCTCGAGATGAATGTCCCCTTGAGCGTCTCAAGATAACTGCTATTGGAACTGGATCAAAACTAAAAATTGAGCAAACAGGTAAGCAATTGATGAGTTTTGCTCGGTCCCTGAACTTACCATTCTCTTTTAATATAGTCATGGTAGCAGACATGCTGAATCTTAACGAGGGCCTCTTTGAGCTAGATGCTGAGGAAGCAGTTGCTGTTTACTCCCCGTATGTATTAAATACCATGATTCAACGGCCAGATCGGATGGAGTGTTTAATGAGAGTGATGAGAAACATTAATCCTTGTGTAATGGTTGTCATTGAAATTGAGGCAAACCATAATTCACCAGTTTTTGTTACCCGTTTCATCGAAGCTCTTTTCTTCTATGGTGCACTTTTTGATTCTTTAGAAGTTTGTATGTTTCATGATGAGCAAAACAGAATGATGTTACAATCAGCATATTTTGGTCAGGTCATACGTAACATTGTGGCAACTGAGAGTGAGGAGAGGACAATTCAACACGTGAATATTAATGTTTGGAAGGCATTTTTTGCCAGGTTTGGAATGGTGGAGGTAGATCTGAGCCTGTCATCCTTGTATCAAGCAGATCTGTTACTTAGGAATGTTGCTTGTGGCAGTTCTTGCACACTTAACATTGATGGGAAAAGCCTAATGATTGGGTGGAAGGGAACACCATTGTATTCTCTTTCTGTTTGGAAATTCCTATGACCATAATTCAATGTATAATCCTTCTATTTAGTACTCTTGTCTGAGTTCTATTTAAAGTTCTACATACTAGCTTGGGCAATTTGGATGGACCGCAAGACACTGTTATTGTTTGTGTTCTTTGTGCAGAGCACAGTTGGTCTTCTATATTTAATTTTTGCTAATGTTTTTCTAGTTTAATTGATACTTGTGATTAGTGGGTGATCGTAGATATTTAGAATTTACACTGCATTATAATGCGATCCTGTTTTGGAAAGGTTCCTCTATACGGGGAAAAAAAAAATTTACGATTAAGGGCAAGTTAGAGTTGAAAATACCAGCTCGATAATTTTACATGTTCCACTAAATGAACGAATCTCCCTCAAATGGGTAAAAACTCCGATACAAATCTGTTGGGTAGAAGTAATTTGCAGTTAACTCAGTTGCCTTGACTGAACTCATAACCGACTCGAATGAGTTTCAACCAGAATTGCACACACAAAATACAAAACTCTAAAAAAAATGAGTAAATGAATCTCAATTTTTTATATTATAAGTGGATAAAGTAACTGTGGGAATGGGGGAAAGAGTGGGGCACTTGAAGTGGGTAGCGATAGAACCAGTAATGTATGATCCAGACACATGGTTATGAAATAAACCTTCTGATTTCTTCAGAAGCCACTGCCATCCTTTTATCTTCAGAGATCCGAGATGGGTCTATTGAACTCTCATCCTTCAAACAATGGCTGGTGAATTAACGTCTAGCTTATTCTTTTTTGGTACTGAGAATGAATATGAAAATAGGTCTTTCAACAATTTCATCGACAAGTATTGTTCATCAATACTACACAACTATATAGAGACCCGACCATACCTACTTCATAGAGCAAAAAAATCAGAATTTTTACCCACTAGGCCAACTGCTTGTTGATAACATCGTTCTTATTCATGAATTGGTACTTCCTTAATCTCAAAGAGTAGTTGAAGTGATAATAGGCACGAGTTATAAACTCAGAAAATCAAGACGTTTTGAGTTCGAATCTTGACAATTCCTTAAAGTCAGGTTATGTGTAAGTTGACCCGAACGAAACAAAAAAAAAATTGGTACTCTCTTGAATTATTTATCATTAGCATTTTTTTTTTGTAAAACCCTCATTTGTGTTTAGTTTCATCTTCAACAAAATCAGGTTGGAAAGGGTCTTAGCCTTTTAGGAGACTCTTACTGTTATCTTCAAGTGCTTTGTTTTCTTCTCTCTCAAGTTCGGCAGAAAATCTTAACCAGGCCGTCATCATTCAAATGTCGGGACCTGTTTGGATTCCAATGTTTGTTTGAACCATTTAAAAAATGTACAAAGACTTGTATAATGTATCTGATGCAGACGGCATCTATTATGACATTGCAATCAATAGATATAGGATTAGTTGCATATTCTCTTCAGAATTGAAAAACTGTCCTGTGAAAACCTTTAGGGTGGTTTTGTTCTTGAGGTGATGAGCAAAATGTTTGCGATACAGCAATTTGAATGTGGTGTTCTTGAGAAGTACAACTCTTCAGAGGATTTTGGCAGTGTGGTAGGAGGGAACATTGGATATCAACAAGAATAACAGGTAAAACTGTTTTTTGATTTGGTTTGCTTAGATGATTCATATTTTGATATTGTCTCTCCTCCATTTCAGTCGCGTGATGAAGAAATTTCAAAGCTAGAAAGCAGCCAATCTCAAAATTTGGAGGATCTCGAAACTAAGAGAGAAAATTCAATCGTACTTCCATCACAGTCAGTGAAGATACTTAGACTGTTGAATGGAGAAAAGATGAAGGTGCCAAATTACGGTACAGCATACACGAATGTGATTGGCTGCAAATTATCAACTGATGCAATTTTACGGTTAGCTGGAGAAAAGTTCATCCAATCCTATTCTGAAACATTTGATGAGTTCTCTGTGCTTAGCCATTCGTATGCTAGTTCAGTTATAAGCCTTCTGATGAGGAGGTTAAAGACGTGGGACTAGTCCAGAATCTTCTAGCTTCAGCCGAGAAAGTAGGCCAGCAACAGTTTGATCATGCAAGCAAGCGCCTCAACAGGTATGATGACCCATATCTCATCAGAGGAAATACTGTTAAAAGAATAGTATACTATTTTTCTGAAGCTCTTCGAGAAAAAATCAATAGATAAACAGAAGGGGTAACATTAAATGGCTTGGGAAGGAAACAATCATTAAATCATAAAGAGGCAGTGATGAGCCCAGACACCAGTCTCATTTCGTTTTACCAAAAGGTACCCTTCATTCAGGTCAGTCAAGTCAGTGGAGTGCAAACGATAATTGAGAATGTGGGAGAGGCGAAAAAGGTCCATATAATTGACCTTGAGATTAGGGGTGGGATACAATGTACAATTTTGATGCAAGCTCTTGTAGCTCAAAGTGACTTTCCCCTTGAGCATCTCAAGATAACTGCTATTGGAACCATATCAAAACCAAAAATTAAGGAGACTGGTAAGCGATTGATGAGTTTTGCCCAGTCCATGAACTTACCATTCTCTTTTAATGTAGTCATGGTAGCAGACATGCTAGATCTCAATGAAGACCTCTTTAATTTGGATGCTGAGGAAGTAGTTGCTGTCTACTCACCATATGTACTAAATGGCATGATTCAAAAGCCAGATAGGTTGGAGTGTTCGATGAAAGTGATGAGAAACATTAATCCTCGTGTGATGGTTGTCATTGAAGTTGAGGCAAACATTAATTCACCACACTCTTTGTTCACCGTTTCCTGGAAGCTCTTTTATTCTATGGAGCATTTTTCGATTCTCTGGGAGATGGTATGTATCATGATGAACCAAATAGAATGGTTACAGAATCAGTATACCTTAGTCAGGCAATTCGAGACATTGTGGCAGCAGAGGGAGAGGAGAGGACAACTTGACATGTGAATAGTAACGTTTGGAGCTCATTTTTTGCCAGATTTGGTATGGTGAAGATAGATCTGAGCACGTCATCCCTGTATCAAGCAAATTTGTTGCTTAAGAACTTTTCTTGTGGCAATTCTTGCACACTTGACCTCCATGGGAAAAGCCTAATAATTGGGTGGAAGGGAACACCAATGTTTTCTCTTTCTGCTTTGAAATTCCAATGAGTCATTAATTTGGATTCAAGTATTCCATTTAGTCTGTCTTTTCTAAATTCTGTAGGAAGTACTCTAATGGATTCTACGCATTTTCAGATGTACATGTCAGCTTGGATAATCTGGAAGCGATTGCAGGACTTTGTGGTTATTCGGAATTCTAAATTCCTGCAGAACAATACAGAGCCGATTCCTATTTGAGTTGAGTCGCACCTAAGTAATCTCATGTGTAATTGACGATCCCATGTTTTTGCCTGTTTTGCACATGCCCGAATGGCAATATTATGTGTATATGTTCATCATTGTTGGATATCTTTGATTCTAACTATGCTTGTTAAGCTTCTCAGTGTAATTTTTTCCTTGGAATATTAATTTTGATATTAAAGGGAGTGGTTTCTAGCATTTTTTGGTACTGCCTTTGGTGGACTCAGTGTACAGATCTAATGAAGTGCAAGCATTAGGAATGCATATATTCCATCTGCTTGAGCTTGGATTGGGGTACAATATCCCAGAAATATGGTTGACACAGAATGATTTAACTTAAAACCAACCCCAGAAAAATTCATGTTTGGGAATGATTATGAACTCTGGTGAAGTATAGCATAACAAATGGTTGCATTTGTCATAGTTATAGAGTAGGCCAAACAATTCTAGACATTATTTATGAACTTCACGTAAAATTGGACTTAGAGTTTATAATGACATTCTTTCTTTTTCAGTAGAGTGAGATGGTGTCCTAAGGGACGAGTTGAAAGAATTATCAAATAATGAGAGTGTGATGGACAAAATGTGCTAAATATGATCCCAATTCTTTTATCCCAAACTTGAAATATGTGATTTGATAAATCCATTTTTTCAGGGGCGGCCCAACCTAATTTGGGGCCCTAAGCAAAAATGTTACATGAAGCCGCTAAAGGGAAAGGACTACCATTGAGTCATTGTCGATAGAATGTGCTGTTTTAGACATCGGTTGTGGTGGATCCCACATCGGTTAAAAATAAGACTAGATGTGTACACTCTTCTCTTACAAGTCGATTTTCAAGAATGAGTTATACTCATGAGTTCGTAACAAAATCTCATCCTTCAAGGGATGAACTTTTTTTTTTTTTTTTGTGCACAAAATCCGCATTTGGGTTTAGTTCTTTATAACAATCTTGCTGGAACGGGTTTTAGGTGACTCTTATTTTTATAATCTTCAAGTGCATTGTTTTCTTCTCTCTGTCTTTATTCTCAAGCTGGGAAGAAAATGTCAACTGGACCGTCGTTTTCATATGTCAATACTTGTTTGGATTTCAATGGTTGTTTGTATCATTTGTGAATTTTACAATTACTAGGTGTACCATGCAGGCGGCATCTATAATGACCTTATAATATCTTGGCACAATTTTTCACTGAAGCGATAACATCGAACACATGGCAGTCGATGCTTTACCTTATGGTTTTGTTGGGTAGTTGAATATTTCAATTATTTAACCCAACGAGTAGTTCAAATGATAATAAAGACGAGCTCAAATGAAGATAAGGATGAGCTGCAAATTTAGATGTTCTGAATTCGAATCTTAAGAATCTCTTGAGACAAGGTCAAAAATACCTTAATCTCGGCGAGGATGATTTACTTTGACCGGACCGAGGAAGAAATAGTCGAAATGCACGTAAGCTGGCTCGAACACCCTTAATGATTAAACCAAAATCACAGAATATGTCAATTCTTATTACTTATGCTAACTAATTTTTTGTAATTTAGTTCATAGCCTTTGTACTGTTGTGAAAAAACTGGGTCTTCTTATATCTGTAGGATTAGTAGCATATTCCCTTAAGAATTGAGTAACTGTCTTGTGAAAACATTTAGGGGTGGTTTTGTTCTTGAGGTGATGAGTGAAATGTTCACCATACAGCAAGTTGATTTTGGTGTTGATCCTGACAAGAATAGTTCTTGTGAGGATTACAGCAGTGTGGTAGGTGGGACAATTGCAAAACAAACTCATTTGGGCGGAGCAGATGAACTGTTGGAATCAGGGAACATCAATTTGCCAAGGTTTGAGCTTGGACAATGTCAAGACAACACAACTGTGGAAGAACTTCTGCGAGATCAGTATCAACAAGAACTACAGGTAGAATTATTTTCTGTTTGTGGTCGTTTAGATGATTTATATACTGATACTGCCTCTCCACCATTTCAATCATGTGAACCTAAGGAAGAAAAGCGAATCATGCATCCTTCACCAGCACTTAAGATTCTTAATAGCTATGGAAGGGGATTCACTCAGTTGGATGGAGAAAAGGTAAAGACGCCAAATTATGACATAGAATGCACTAAGTTGAGTGGCCAAAAATTATCAACTGATGAAATTCTAAGGTTAGGTGGAGAAAAGTTCATCCAATGCTATTCACAAGCATCTGATGAATTCTTTGGGCTTGAACATTTCTATTCTAGTGCAGTTCTAGGCCTTCCTGATGAGGAAGTTAATGACATGGAACTCGTCCAGTGTCTTCTAGCTTCAGCTGAGAAAGTAGGCCAGCAACAGTATGAACATGCCAGCATGCTAATTAACCTTTCTAATGGCTCAAATCTCAATAGAGGGAGTCCTGTTCAAAGAATAGTATATTATTTTTTTGAAGCTCTTCAAGAAAAGATTGATCGAGAAATAGGAGGAGCCACATCGGATGATTTGGTAAACAACCAATCATCAGACGTTCTAGAGGCAATGATGAGCCCGGATGCTGCTCTCATTGCTTATTTCCAAAAGATACCCTTTATTAAGGTTAGCCAATTCAGTGCAGTGCAAGCAATAATCGAGAATGTAGGAGAGGCACAAAAGGTCCATATAATTGACCTTGAGATCAGGGGTGGGACGCAATGTACGGTTTTGATGCAAGGTCTTGCAGCTCGAGTCGACTATCCCCTTGAGCATCTCAAGATAACTGCTATTGGAACCAGATCAAAATCAAAAATTGAGGAGACAGGTAAGCGATTGATGAGTTTTGCCCAGTCCATGAACTTACCATTCTCCTTTAATGTAGTAATGGTAGCAGACATGCTAGATCTCAATGAAGGACTATTTGAGCTGGATGCTGGGGTAGCGGTTGCAGTCTACGCACCATATGTATTATATACCATGATTCATAGGCCAGATAGGTTGGAGTGTTTGATGAGGGTGATGAGAAACATTAATCCCTGTGTAATGGTTGTCATTGAACTTGAGGCAAAACTTAATTCTCCAGTTTTTGTTAACCGTTTCCTCGAAGCCCTTTTCTTCTATGGTGCATTTTTTGATTCTCTGGGAGATGTTATGCATCATGATGAAACAAATAGAATGATGCTGGAATCAATATATCTTAGTCAGGTGATAAGGAACATCGTGGCTGCTGAGGGAGAGGAAAGGATATTTCGACACGTGAATATTAAGGTTTGGGGGGCTTTTTTTGCCAGATTTGGGATGGTGGAGATAGATCTGATCACTTCATCCCTGTATCAAGCACATCTGCTGCTTAATAACTTTGCTTGTGGAAGTTCCTGCACACTTGGCATTGATGGGAAAAGCCTAACGATTGGCTGGAAGGGAGCACCAATATATTCTATTTCTGCTTGGAAATTTCAATGAAGCATCCTAAATCTGGATTCATGTCTTATATTTAGTCCTCTTTTCTGAATTTTGTCAAAAGTACTCCAATAAATTCTACGCCTGTTTCAGTTGTACATGTAAGCTTAGGTAATCTGGAAGCGACTGCAGGATTTTGTTGTTAATTGGACTTGTAATTCCCTTTAGAATTGCACATGGCATAGTTCATCTTGCAGTCTCTCACTTAAGGAATCTTATATGCAATTGTTGATCCTATGGGTTTTCCCTGGTTTTGCCCACCAAATCACAGTGGTGAATGTGCATGCGTTCATCATCATTAGGTGAATCTTTAATTCTAACTTCATTTGTTAAGCTTATCGGTGCAGTTTTTTTCCTCTAAAATTAAAGTTGATATTAAAGATTGGTTTCTGGTTTTTACTGGTAGGATCTTTGGTCGACTTTGTTTGCAGAACTATGGTACCTTCTGTCTGAGATTGGATAGGGGTACGATAGTCCAGAATTTGGTTGATATGTACAAGAACATCTTTTTCCTTTTTGTTTACAAGTCCAAGCAAAATTAGTCAGTTCTTGTAGAAATTTCAGTGGTTTTTAGGAAGACTAAGATTATTTTATGAAAACGTACTTTCGTTACTGAGATTATTTTATGAAAACGTACTTTCGTTTTAGTGTTCTTTACTTAAAATCAATAACTTGTAGCAATGTTCAATTTGTTTTGAGACTGATTCTGTGAAAATCATTGGTTTAATTTTGGACAATTTACACCTCTTATGGTATGCTTGTTAAACCAAACCTTTTTTCCCAGATGCCATATGATAGGCACCACAATAGGATGAGTTTTCCTGTATTCTCTTCTCTGACATTGCATAAAATCTCAGATTGTTACAAGTCTCAACTATATTATCTTTTTTTCAGATATTACTTTCAAAAACTATATCTGTTTTACAATTTATACAATCTTCTTTTTAAATTTTGCTTTGATTTGTCTATTACATATGTCACTCTGCCTTTTTTATTACTAGCATTACTAATATGTTGTATTGCAACCCATAATATTTTAACTTTTGTGTGGTTTACTTACCTAGGGGAAAGAAAATAAAACAATATGAGTATTATGTTTTCACCCTGTTTTGTTTGTCTAATGCAGGAAAACCTACCCCCCTATATGTCAAATGATATCGTTGGGTCTATTTGGTGGAGACCCATTGGACTTTTATTTTGTTTTTCACATTGAATTGTTACTATTTTGCTTGTTGTGTTTGTTTTTTTAATTGAGTTCCAAGTAATGAACTGCTTGTAACATCCCTTTTAGACTTCAAAAAATAATAACTTTTAATACGGTACCATATTTTTTCTACTGAAAATTATCCTATAAGTTATGGGTTTGTTAAGTAGTGCTATACACTTCAATTCATATGCCTTAGTTCTTAGCTTGGATCCAACTCTTCTATGCTAGGTCGAGTACGATATTGAACAAAAAATTCGGTATTGTACCATCAAATTTTGTGAGTTGAGATACAAGTTTTTAGGTTTATTTACGATAAAAAATTTTTTACAACTTTATGGTTCAAGTTACAAATTTTGTAAGTCATTTATAAGTAACCTCAAAAGTTATAAAATGACCCTTTAAAATTATAAACAACCTTAAAACTTGTAAATGACTCTCAAAAGTTATAAATAACCGTTAAAAATTATAAAAATAAATCACAAAACTTATAATAGCGTTATGGTACCAAAAAAAAAACTTTTTAATACCGTAAACTTTTTGGTATACGTAAAAATGATCACCGAGAAAAAGGCAATTTTTGTGAATTTAGTGCAGAGCCTTTGTGCTCCTATAAAAGCAAGGAATTTCTAAGGATTAGTTGCATATACCCTTAACAATTGATAAGCTCTATTGAGGTAATAGGCAAAGTTTGCCCAAATTTTAAAAAGAGTGGATGCCAAGAGAATCTGCATCTATTTTGAATGGTGATGGTACACATAATAAAAAAACTAGTTTATTCACAGTTTTTTTTTTAATAGACCGTTCAGATTTATGTTGATTATTCTATCGACTTTGAATATTGGTCACTGTAATTTAAATAAGATTAAAACATGTTCTCTAAGAAATAAGGGTAATTGACCTTTAAGAGTATGAAAAGTATCGACTCAGCTCGAACCACTAAATCACTCCTAAGAGGGAATACCGTTAAAAGTTAATCCAAAATTTTATTATATTAATATTAATTATTGATTGTACTTGAAGACACAAAATAATAAAAAATGATAAACAATAAACATATTTGTATTCATATCCAAAATCAAATCACAAATATATAGGAGAGGTAAATGAATTTAAGCATCAGTTGTAGTGGGGATGAGAAGTAGTGGACGACAGTGGCGGTGGTAGGAGACGGTGATAATTGTGGTGGGTGGCAATGACCGTGATGGTGGCGATGGTGACGACAACGATGGTGGTGGTGGCAATGGCAACGACGACGGCAATGACAACAGTGGTGGTGTTGGTAGCGATGACACTGGTGATTTTGGCGACGGTGGTGGTGACAGTAGAGGTAGTGGTAGTGGGGCAGTTTCAAATACTATTTTTTTTAAAATACTTATGAGAAATAATTTGTAGAAGTAGTTTTAAAAAATCACTCCAAACATACCTTTAGCGCCCTATTTTTTCTATTAAATTTAGGGTATTAATATTAGTCATTATATTAATTTTAAAATAAAATTAAAGCGATATGAACCGCAAATAGCAAAAGTCCTTTTGAAATTTAAATTATAAGTTACTTTATTATATAAATTTTATTCAGCAAACATAAAACGGTTGTGGCTGTAGTTTAGTGGTAAGAATTCCACGTTGTGGCCGTGGAGACCTGGGCTCGAATCCCAGCAGCCACATTAATTCTTTGTTTTGCTATCCTATACTCTTTTTCGTGGGGATGCCACAATCATATTTACTTCTCTTTTTTTTTTTTGTTGGTAACTGTCATAGTTATTTGTGTGTTACTTGAAATGGGGAAAAAGTTAATATCTGCAAAATATTTTTCCTTTACACAATCTAAATTAATTTTGGCACTTAGATTTTGACAAAATTGCAATTGGAGAGAAAGAAAGCTTATGCAAATATTATCTACAAAGCGATGAATTTATCAAAAATTATGTCCGAACAGATCATTTATCAAAAAATGTATTTATTTTGATAGTTAGTGTTTTAATTAATTTTGAATATGGCTTCTTACTAGCAGCGGAGAGGATGGGAGTTGGGGCCAACAATGGGGTTATTATTCTTTTTGTTTATTTTAGAACTTGGGTTCAATGACGCCGAAATATATATTTTCAAGAGAATGAGTAGTACTACTAAGAGATTATATTACACAAATTCAAAATAAAAAGAATGCAATGTAATTTAAAAAAATCACTAGTGTCTACTTTACAATTGTTAAAAACTAGAAACAAAGCAGTTGTAATTTGTCATTAATTAATTTTATAGAATTTCAAAACATTTTTATTCCTAATAACACATTGGGAAATTAAAAGGTATGATAAAATATTATTTTCCAACAAATGGAGTAATGTAGTACAACTAGGGCTCATTTGGTTGGTGCATAGTAAGAGGAATGTCTTACTTTATATAATATATATATATATATATATATATATATATATATATATATATATATATATATTTTAAATATACATAATTTTCAAATGACTACATTTACCAAGTTATAATCATTTGATTAAACAAAAAAATTGCATATAAAAAAAATTGGGGCTCAATAGGTAATATAAAGAAGGTTTTTTTTTAATTCATTTACCATTTTTAAAAATTATATATAATTTTACTATATTTTTAAACTTATTTCTCAAATATATTTTTGAAAAATGTTTTTTTTATTGAATTTGTGGTTCTTTAACACACTCTCGAAAAAGGATAATTTCATAAATAAATTTAAAAGACGGGCCAGATAATATATAAATTTTAAAAAAAGGATAAATGAATAAATAATTCGTAATATAAGTATGAGGTATATTATCCTTAGGAAAAATCCAGTTCATTCGCCATTAACCGGAGCACACGCGTTTCATCCGTGCGTAGTATACAATCCCCAAATTATCCGTATTTTTATATTTTGGTTTATCATTTTAAACCCCAACGAAGCATCTTTTAGGAGTGGGCGTAAAGATTCAAAACGCTTCCTTCAACCATTCTCTCTCTCTCTCTCTCTCTCTACAATTTTTTCTTCGCCTCTCTCTCTCTTTTAGAAAGCCAACTCCTACAGAGTCCGAATCGAAAAATCCGAGCTCCCTCCAATATATCTAAATTCCTCTCTTCGTGTTCTGTATTTTCTTTATCTCTAAAGATTCATATTCTCTCTTTCTTCTACCTCTAAAATTCTTTGAACCAGTCTGTTTCTCGATCCCCATTCTGTTGCAATAGTTTCAGTCGGCATACCGAGCTCGACGGTATATTCTTCAACAGCACTTCATTGCAGGTATTCATGAATCTTTCAATCAAAACCTTGCTTCTTGTTTGTTTTCTTGTGTAAAGGAATGGAATTGCAATAGGGCTTTTTGCATGTGGTTGATTGGTTCCAAGAGTGAGTCTTTTTAGTGTTTTTAATTGTTTATATGTTTTTTCAATATATTTGTGAAGTGCGAATGACTCGAATTTTGGGGTTTTTTTTTAGGTTACAGTGGAATGCTTATTGGTATGGTCGATCAGGGTCTTGGACCCTCGTGGCCGAGTTTCTGGTTTTCGATTATTGTCTGTCTGATCAACTAGCTCCGGGCATTTAAAAGGTGCAATATTGTTTATCCACTGTGTTTCAGTATTCTTTCGTTTCATTCTTTTTTGCAATGTATTTGAGGCTTGAATCGCTTGAATTTAATAATTATATATGTATCTTTTTTTTTTTTTCTGTGACTTCACCACTGATTGTGTAATGCATGCATAGCTCTTCATCTGCATATGCGTGGCTGTATAGATGCTTTTTTCAGCTAAGGTCAAAACCTTTTGCTGTTGGTTGATGATATATGATAATGAGCTCTTAGGACAAACTAGTTTGGGGGTTCTCTTAGAAAATTTATCAGGTCTCTGATTGTTTAGAAATTTTGTCCCTTTCGTGATCTGACCTTTTTGGAGGAGTTGTATTATTTTTTATTTTTTTGCACAGGGATTCTACCCGTTTGTTGTTCTGGTTTGAGGCATCATAGGTGGAGAATGTCTTCAAATTTTTGAGACAGCTCAAGCTCATGCACTTTCGGCCTCTATTCCCCGAGAGTTATGAGCAGAGGTCGTCCTTACCATGGTTGAAAGATAAAATATAAGAGGATCTAACATCCACACACACACACAGACAGACAGACAGATATATATATTCTTACAACCCAAGGTTTGAGCAATTTGTTGCTTGGATCTTTCTCAGTGATGCATTTTTTGCTCAAAACCAAGCTGTTTCACTTACAATTAGATGGTTGTGCAATATTCAGTTAATAAAATAGGATAATAATTCGGATGATATCTTACTTAACAAATGTGTATCAATTCAATTGATCTAAAAAGAAAAAAATAAATAAAAAGAGGGCCTTTAATGTCTGTGGATATTTGATGTGACTTGTGAGAGAGAGGGAGGGAGGCAATTGCCAGCTTATCTGAATACATTTTTCTTTTGTTTTCCTATGTTAAGAATCTGAAAAGTGACCCATGATCTGAAGTGATTTATCTGTATACATGGGGCACTCAAACCCCTTTTTGAAACCCAGGAAAAGTTTTAAATGCTCACTTGTTTGTATCCAAACAAAGGATTCCAGAACTAAAGATTCTCGATTTTTTTGCAGCCTTGAATCCTTTCCCTAATCATTCATCTAATGACTTGTTCAACAATGTAACATTGTTTTTTATTTTTTCTTCCTTTCTTCCCCTCAGTAGTAACGATAGGTCTGGATGTAATTATATCAGCCCATAAATAATGTTAGGCAAATTCTGCAATTGTCATGTGCGTGATTGGAATTTCTCTGCCATGAGTGATGCCTTTTGCTGGATATTAATTGAAAAGGAAGAACATCAGTGGTCACCTTACATTTGGCTTTTCAAAATCCTAATCTATGATTGGTTTTTCTTACTGAGAAATTGAGTGGAGTGTGCTGTGTTTCATAAGAAATCGTTAATTTAACAATTTTTAGGTCATAACTCCTAGATTTTACAGGAAACATGGCTCTTCAAAAATATGTTCCTAGTGGCGGTGTGCCTTCTGTGAATATGAAGTCGTTGAGTTTTTCCAGTAAGGCAAATGGGGGAGCTCAACTTGCAGATCCAGGGAGAAGTCCTATGGTGGCTGATATGGATATTGACCTCAAAGAAGTATACTTTTTGATTATGCATTTCTTATCAGCTGGGCCATGTCAGAGGACTTGTGGGCAGTTCTGGAATGAACTTCTGGAACATCAACTTCTACCTAGAAGATATCATGCTTGGTATTCAAGGAGTGGGGCACACAGCGGGGATGAAAATGATGATGGCTTGTCTTTACCGTTAAGTTACAATAAGCTGGTGGAGAGGTATTTAATGTGCCTTGTACAATGCTCACTCTAGTATTTTTTCTATGAATGATCTAGTACATTTGCTGTTTTTGTCCAACTGTTATGTGGTTTAGATAACTTATATGATCAATTTTTAGGATTTTTTTTGGCTTTATCTTGGCATTAAGTTTTCATGGCCTTCCACGTGCATCATATGTAGCTATTTATGACTCCTGATTTTGATCAGAGAAGTAAATAATTGTATGTTTTATTCCACTCTAAATTAGAAAGGAAGTTGGGTTGGGTTCATAGGGCAGGCACTTCCTACAGTATTTTTTGGGTTGGGCTTTCACCTAGTGACCTAGTCCACCCATATGAGCAGCCAACATTGGTGCGAGCAACACAGGGTGGTGTCTTCTATTATTATGAACTAATTGAAGACATTTTCTTGAAAGAATAATTAATGTTTCTTGTTTCCGGTACTTACCAGAATGTAGTGATTTAGAAATGTAGACATGCTGAACTATCTTTCCCTTATCCTTTTTCCCTTTTTTCCTTCCAATAGCATGGTTGATCATTCTTGCATCATTTTATGTTTATACAGGTATCCACACATTGAAAAGGATCACTTGGTCAAACTTCTGCAGCAACTGATACTTAGTGCAGGTGTTCCTTCGCAAGGCGTGGTTGGTGGGAATGCTTTAAATGCAGCTTCTGTTCCTACCCTCTTGGGAACTGGTTATTTTTCACTTCTGGGACGTATGTGATAACTATGTTCACTAAATTAGAACCTTTGAGCATTATATACATCGACATGTACTACATTTCATACTTGGTACTGTGATCTGGCAAGTCATTGACAAAATAAACCCTGCTAAGCTAAAAAAAAAAAGAGAATGGATGCAGAACTGTTTCTCTGATGTATATGACATTTATCCTCTTTTGTTTTTGTCTCATTCCATCATTGTTTTTTTTTTTTTTGCCATTAATATATTCTCTCTCCGATTCTTTATTATTAACCAGAGAGTCATATTACGAGAAAAAATGAAGTCAATCACCCTCCTGGTTACATGCGTTGGCCTCATATGATAGCTGATCAGGTGCACGGGCTAAGTTTGAGGGAAGTTGGGGGTGGCTTCTCAAGACACCATCGTGCACCATCTATACGTGCTGCTTGTTATGCTATCGCAAAACCATCTACCATGGTGCAGAAGATGCAAAATATTAGGAGGGTTAGGGGTCACCGCAATGCTGTTTACTGTGGTAAGGTTCCCTCTGCACTCCCCTTCTTTTTCAAACTCGAAGTGAATGGCTATATTTATTATTTTTCTGGTGAATATTATGTAGTAAACGCATCAAAAGTGCCTTACTATCACCTATTTTTTATAGGTTATTTTAGGCCTTACATAGAGTAACTTAGGCCTTTGGGGTTCTTAATCTCACCTGACTTTCATCTCATAATAGTGATATTGACAATGTCGTGATCTCATATCTAAGTGAATGTAGTCTGTATTTCTGGAGTGCACTTGTAAAAAATCATTTGCAATTGATATGAAAGCTTCCTATTGTGGTCAGTCTCAGTCCTGCATGAAACTCAGCGTTACTTTCAATTGAACTACTGGGGAATGCCCAAGCATATTAGATCCTAAAGCATGAACATTATAGGTCATTAGCTCCAGGATTATCAATGTAAGGTCAGTTTTTTCGAAATCCCATTTTTGTTAATGAAACATGTTGGTGACTTTATTCTTTAGGTCGTTTAGAAAGGCAGGAATTGTAATGGCATTGGCTAATGTAGAATAATTTGCATACATGCAGCCATATTTGATCGATCTGGGAGATATGTTATTACTGGTTCAGACGACCGCCTGGTAAAAATTTGGTCAATGGAAACTGCATATTGCTTGGCGAGCTGCCGTGGACATGAAGTAAGTTAGAGTATATACTTAAAGTGCATCCATTTGTCGTCCTCCTTTTTTATGCCTTTTCACTTTTGGTTCACTTGTCTTCATTTCTCACTTTATGCTTGAAAGGGTGACATAACTGACCTGGCTGTGAACTTCAACAATACTTTGGTGGCTTCTGCTTCAAATGACTGCATCATCCGAGTTGTAAGATTCTTTCCTAGTCAACTAGTTAGACGTTTATGTTTTTCGACTCGTTCACTATTTGATTGTTCGTTGGTTTATGGCAGTGGCGCTTACCTGATGGGCTTCCAATTTCAGTTTTGCGAGGTCATACTGGAGCTGTTACTGCCATCACATTTAGTCCTAGACCAAGTTCTGTATACCAACTCTTATCGTAAGGCAATTTCCCCGGAATTATATCCTGTTTGACTTTTTCTTCTCGTGAGGATTTGTTTGTACTTGTATTGTGTATTTGAAAATATAGTAGATGCAAATAAATGGAGAAGATTGTTTGTTATAGTGGTTTTATTCAGGGTTCAAAGTATAAGCCGAGTCGTATTTGTGTCGGCCCTCTGTGATTTGATACTGATACCCGTTTCACAAAAATCCCGAGTCTCAATTGACTCGGCCTCGACTTGGTTGACTCTGCCCAACTGAGTCATTTTGTTCGGAATATACGAGTCGCAACTGAGTTGGACGAAGTGTTCCCCAAACAGAAAACCCAGAAGAAATCAATCAACAAATAAAAGAATAAAAGGAGGAGAAAGGAAAATCTGGAGATCCACATCTGAATAACTCTGACGCAACAGATTGACACAATACCCATATGATCCATCTGCAATTTTATAACCAAAAGAAGAAATTGAAAGCAAGACTTGCATAATTGAAGTCATCTCCATGATTACATTAGCACCATGAGTTCGTCCCCTTCATCTCCTCTTCTTCTTTTTCTTCTGCATGATGCTGTCATGCACAAACCTTATCTCTTTTCTTGGACCCACGTCAATTGCGAAGACCTATTGACGTCAATTGCGAAGATCTATTGATGTCAATTGCAAAGACCTATTGACCCACGCAGCCACGATTTGATCGGCAAGAGGGGAGACCGAATGACCGAGGCTCCCTCGGGCTCTCTCTCTCAATCAATGTTGTTTTGAGTGTGATTAATTTATCAGTTTTCAGTTTCTAGTAAATTTTGTTTTGTTAGGGTGCATATTATCTTTGAATTGTTTTTGGATTATGCGATGGCTTTTATGCTTTTGGAATTTGAGTGACTTTTTCAATCATATAAAGGTTCCACAATTATTTTTTCTTATTGTAGCTTTATTTGCAGTGCATCTTTGGTCTCTTAAAAAAAGAAATGCGCCTGTTTTGTTGTAGTAACAACCAATGTTATTCCTTTTTGCTTCGTAACTTTTAAGTTTATTTTTTTCCCTTTCTTTTCTGTAGATCATCCGATGATGGGACATGTAGAATTTGGGATGTCAGGCACTCCCACTTCAGTCCACGGATATACGTGCCTAAACCTTCAGAATCTTTAGCTGGTTAGTGGCTGCTTGTATATGAATTGGTTATTACTTGACTGAATAGTTGGTGAACACTCTTAATTACAGATTCTTTGGATGGTGTAGGGAAGAACAATGTGCCGTCGTCGAGTAGTGGTCAACAGGGCCATCAGATCTTCTGTTGTGCATTCAATGCTAGCGGAACGGTATTTGTCACTGGTAGCTCAGATACTCTTGCAAGGGTATATCTGATTATGTCCTCTTATATGTTTAAGCACCCCATTTTTTTTGTTTTCTGTGGATGTTTTTTTTTTTTTGTGCAATCCTTGATGCGTTGGATTTGAATCAGTTATCTATTTCTTAATGTGTCCTTATGGAGAGCTAGAGACTTGCAGGTTTGGAATGCTTGTAAATCCAACCCAGATGACTCAGAGCAACCTAATCATGAGATGGATATTTTAGCTGGTCATGAGAATGATGTCAACTATGTGCAATTTAGGTTAGTATGTAAAGGTTTTCTCAAAGTTTTTCTGAATTTGATTTTCTATTCTGATAAATGAGGCTGCCTGATTGTGCAGTGGCTGTGCCATGGCATCTAGATTTTCTACGTCTGATGCCTCGAAGGAAGATAATATTCCAAAATTCAAGAGTACCTGGTGCGTTTTGATACATTCTGAGAAAAGCAAGATTGTACTTGTCTATTCTTCTTTTTGCTTTTACAAGTAGCTGTATCTTATGTCGTTCTACATAAGTGATGCATTGCGCCTGGCTCGGGGTGTTTTGAAAAATTAATTAGGGGCGTTTCGACAAATAAGTTAGGGGTGCCTCATTAGCGCCCGGGTGCGGTGACAAATGGGCAAGGATCTTTGCGTCATGGATGGACGTGGGGGGTAAGGAAGCTAGTCCACGATGATAGATTTAGATTAACACATGAAACATATATACACTCATGGGCAAAATGATGGAATTAGTAGATAGTATGAGCAGGAAGAAAATTAGGAATAATTGTAGATAAAGACCTAAACGATAAGCATAGTAGTAGTTACAAGGAAAAGATATAGGATTATATCTATCAAACTTGTAGTCGGAGAGAATATAATTAATGTGATTAGCGCTTATGCACCTCAAGTAAGGTTAGAAGAATATATTAAAAAACAATTTTGGAAGCAAATAGATGAATTAATTCAATATATACCTATAAGAAAAAAGATAATCATAGGAGATTTCAATGGACATGTATGAAAAGATAGGACACAATATGAGAGGAGTCATGGTGGTTATGGATATGGTGATCGAAATGAAGTCAAAGAGAGTATTTTAGAATTTGTAATGACATATGACCTTGTAGTGACAAACACCTTGTTTAGAAAACGAAAAGAAATCTAAAACGAGATGGTGGAATCTAAAAGATGAGAAAATAGTACTATTTAAGAGTAGAATGCTTAAAGAGGCCTTATGGAACTTAGAGGATGAGACTAACGTTATGTAGAGTAGGATGACGGAAGATATTAAAAGTAATTTCGAGAGAGGTTCTTAGAAAAATAAAAGGGTGGTGGAATCTAAAAGATGAGAAAATAGTACTATTTAAGAGTAGAATGCTTAAAGAGGCCTTATGGAACTTAGAGGATGAGACTAACGTTTTAGAGTAGATGACAAGAATTAAAAAAATAGAGAAAATTTTCAAAGATATAAATTAGCTAATAAGGAGGTTAAAAATATAGTTAGAATGCTAAGTTAAAAGCCTACGATGAGTTGTACAAAAAACTAGATAGGAAAGAGGGAGAAAAAGACATCTACAAATTAGCTAAAATTAGATAAAGGAAAACAAGAGACTTTAACCAAGTTAAGTGCATCGAGGGCGAGGAGTCAAAGGTTTTAGTTAAAGATGAAGAAATAAATGATCGGTGGAAAGACTATTTTGAAAAACTATTAAACGAAAATCACTTAGGAAACCTAGAAGAGATAGAAAATAGTAGGATCTATGAAACGTTTTTTCGTATAATAAAGAATTTAGAGGTAGAGTTTGCATTGAAGAAAATGAAATTAACGAAGGGTTTAGGACCGGATGAGATTCCAATTGAGGTTTGGAAGTGCATTGGAAATGAGGTGGTGTCGTGGTTAACGAAATTATTCAATAGAATTATTGTTATTAGGAAAATGCCTAATGAACGGAGAAAGAGTATTTTAGTACCTATCTATAAAAATAGAGGAGATATTCAAAATTATAATAATTATAGAGGGATAAATTTAATGAGTCATACAATGAAATTATGAGAAAGAGTTATTAAATGGCGCCTAAGAGTTGAGACTACAGTGTCGGAAAATTAGTTTGGATTTATGCCGGGTAGATCAACTATGGAGGTTATATATTTATTAAGAACACTCATAAAAAAATATAGAGATAAGAAGAAAAATTTTCATTGGTATTTATAGATCAACAAAAGGCATATGATAAAGTACTTAGAAATATAATATGAAGGGTGCTTGAAAGAAAATGAGTAACAAATAGGTATATTGAGGTGGTAAATGATATGTATGACGGGGTTATGACTACAATTAGGTCTTCCGCAGGAGGAAGTAAGAATTTTGAATTACGGTGGAATTATACCAAAGATCGGCCTTAAATTCATACCCATTCGCCCTAATTATGGATGAACTCACTAGAAACATTCAAGATGATGTTTCACAGTGTATGCTATTTGTAGATGATATTGTATTAGTCGATGAAATTCGAAGGGGGATTAACAATAAGTTAAAATTTGAAGAAAGACATTCGAGTTGAAAAGGTTTAAAATAAGTAGGAGTAAGGCTGAATATATACAATGCAATGTTAATAATAAAAAAAATAGACATAGTGAAAAAGTCAAGATTGAAAATTTAGAAATATCAACGAGTAAATAATTTAGATATCTAGAATCGATCATTAAAAATAATAAAGAGATTGAAGATGATGTAATTTATAGAATCAACGCTGGTTGGCTTAAGTGGAGGAAAACCTCTAGCATATTATGTGATAGGAGGATACCAATAAAATTGAAAGGTAAGTTTTATCGGACACATATAAGAACAACAATGTTGTATGTGACAGAATGTTGGGTAAGTAGGAAACAATATAGTGACAAAAAAGGTGTAGCAGAAATGAGAATGTCAAGGTGGATGTGTAGAAAAACTAGAAAGGATAAAATAAGAAATGACCGTATTAAAGAAATTGTAGGATTAACTCAAATTGAGGATAAATTAAGAGAAAATAGATTAAAATGGTTTGGTCATGTTCAACGGAGCCGATAGAGACACCGGTTCGAAAAAGTGAGATAATCTCTCTTAATAGTACTATAAGTAGGGGTAGACTTAAATTAATATTGAACAAAATAATAAGGAAAGATATGAGAATATTTAACTTAAATAAGCGTATGGTGCATGATCGAAATGAATGACGAAGACCTACTCATATAGCCTACCCCAAATGATTGGGACATAAGGCTTAATTTGGTTGGGTTTGGTTTGTATCTTATTTTGCACATGTTTGAGAATACAGATGCATTTATATCACTATTTTTGTTTTCAGGTTTAACCATGACAATATAGTTACCTGTTCTCGCGATGGCAGTGCAATTATTTGGATACCAAGAACACGTAGATCATATGTGAGCTTTTCTTATGCTCCCTTCACTCTTTTGGGTCTGTGAAAATGCTGGTTGTCTGTGAGTGGACATTTTTTGTTTGGGCTCTTTTTTTTTTTGGTTGGGTGGGTGGAGGAAATGGGAAGGGTGAGGATGTAAGCTTTCCATTTTCACTCTCCTTTTCATGATTCTGGTGGCCTTGATTTGACTTGATTAGAGTGGGACAGACTGTCCGCATTCCACTTAAAATGCACTATCTTTTTTTCTTAAAAAATGTACGTGTAAATTTAGGGGAAGATTGGACGATGGACTCGAGCATATCATCTGAAAGTTCCACCACCACCAATGCCTCCTCAACCTCCACGAGGAGGTCCACGTCAGAGAATTCTTCCAACTCCTCGTGGTGTTAATATGATCACGTGGAGCCTCGACAATCGTTTTGTCCTTGCTGCTATCATGGGTAAGTGGCTTATATATTAGTGTTTATTTTAACAAAAAGTTGTCATGTTTGATCTTCAAGTGTCACTTGATTTCTAATAGTTTGCTTGTATTTCTTCTTACTCATATCAGTCTACAGTATGTGTGAGAAGGATAGTTTTTATGTCAGCATGCTGGGTTTGACCTGTGACTTGGAAACTATGTTGGTTGGATGGTGGTTAACATTTAACAACAAAAACAATTTATATTGAAAATATCATTTTGCATATTTGTAATATTTATAAATAAATAAATGTAAGAAAGCTCAATTATGATGTTGGTAATTGTGGTATTTTGAAAAATTTCCTTTCTCCCAAAATCGTAACAGTAAGCTTGCGGTCAGTTGTATTTTTGTTTGTACCTCTCTCTCTCTCTCTCTCATACACACAATCATGTTTGTGCTCATTGCGTAGCTTCAATTGATTGTATTTTCCATAGGCACCTCCTTCTTTCTCTTCTATTTACTGTTCTTGTTTTAGTATGTTTGAGGATAAGATGTATACTAAACAATTTCTTTGAGAGTTAGGGGTTGAAAGTATAAGTCACTTGTCCTGTGAGAGAAAGTTTGCGACAGTAATGTTGTTGGAGGTTTGAAATGCTCCTCTTAGTTGATATGGATCAGAGGCAGCTTGGCCAGAGTAAGCAACACATGTGTGCATTGAGATTAGCTTCAGTCACATATAGTCCTATTAACAAGCTTGGATGGCATGACATGTGGTATTCAGCAAGTGGATGTGAATTTTGGCATGCCTGCCAAAGACTATACCATTTTTTTGGTCTGTGAGGAAGTCTTTTTTGGAGTGGGATTCTTGAAAAGCAATATAGTAGGTCCTTGACTTGGTGAATTTGTAAACTCAGGTCTTAGCACTCAATAGAGGGTTTTCTAATGATACGAGAATGTGATTTTGGGGTGTATGTCAGACTATGAGGTGGGTTCATATGTCTTGTAAAGCAATTTGTAAGTCACCAACTTTATCTTAGGTTCACAATCCTCCTCCAACAAAAGATTAGTTATACTTTCTTTCTTTATTTTAATGTCATGCATAGAATTTCTTCTTCTCTCTCTGTGCGTGTCATTGCATTGAAGTCAACTTTGGTCACATACTGTACTATTAAACAATCTTTGATGCCGTATTCAGAAAGTTGATGAGGAATTTGGCGTGCCTGCCATGTTTGAAGACATTACCATTTTCTCCCTGTTTTTGTTTTGTGAGGAAATCTTTTCTGGTGTGCCACTCTTGAAAAGCAATCTTGGCAGTATGCCTTTGACTTATTGAATTTGTAACTTCAGTCCTTAGCAGTTAGCACTCTGTAGAGGGATAGGGTCCTATAATACATAAATTCATTTTGAGTTTGTATGTGTGGCAGATTTTGAGGCAGGTCCATTTTTCTTGTTATGCAATTTGAAAGCCACCACCTTAATCTTAGGTTCACAATCATTCTTCAACAACAGATTCTCTATACATGCATTGAAATTCTTATTTCTCTCTCAGTGGGGGTGTGTGTGGAAGCTATCTTTGACTTATGCTTAAGAACTATGGTATCTGTTGGATTTTTGCTGTGTGTGCGCGTGCGAGATTTTTGATTTATGCTCCAGAACAAATTGGGATCCGTTCGATTTCACTACATAAAATTGTTTACATGATGCAGATTGCAGGATTTGTGTCTGGAATGCTGTTGATGGTAGCTTAGTACACTCTTTGACCGGTCATAATGAATCTGTGAGCTATTTTAACCTTTTATATTTGCTGCATTATGTGGTACTATTTACAAATTTGGATGACATGATGTCACATCCTTGCTCAACTTTATAGGAAATTTAGTGCTTCTGTCCTGACTGAAAAATGTTTGTTGGATGGTGCTTTAGCACCATAGATTGTTCTTTTAAAATGCCCATGTCTCATGATGTGCCAGTGGTTCACAGTAACATGCCAATGATGTGTTTTCACCAGAATGCCAATGCCCTGTGTCCATTGTTCTGGTTGATTGCACCAGCTCATTCTAACTTGTTACTTGTTAGCATAACTAAATTTCTTTGAAATGTTGAAAATGGTTAATTTGAGATGAACAACACATCTATGTGCTGAACTTCTGACCCGAGAATCTGATGATTGCAACAGCTCATTCTGATTTTTTAGCATGACCTACTATGCCATGAAAATAGAAAATCAGGAATCTGAGCTGTCAACATATATTTGCCTTAAATGTCTGACATTTATTACAGAAAATTTGCGTAATAGATTATTTCTTAGTTTAGTTCATTTATTAATTTTTCTGCCATCTCCATCAATTTATGATATATCTGTTTATTAATTGTTCCATGTTCTGCTCTAGTCTTCTGAGACCATATACTTTCTCTTTAGTCGGTTGATTGTGTGTCTGATATTTAGCTCTTCACATCCAAGACTCCCACGATATCTCATTGCCTTAGGCAACATTGTTAATGATTTTCTTTGAGCAATAATATGAAGCCAGTGAAAGCATTTTATTCCATGATAGCATTTACCTGCCTTATATTAGTTTCCTAGCTCTCCATAGTCCATACAGAGTGGCATTTTTAGTGGGATCCATACGTTTGACATTATTGGAATTATTTTCGGAAGTTCAGAAATGTATTTTAGTAGGGCCAAAGTTGCTCTTATTTTCACAATGCTAATTTTAACTTCATAGTGGATCGAATATGTCATGGTTCTAGTTTCTCGAGAACTTTTATATAACTATGATTATATCTATTTTCTCAAAAGGAGTGGCATTAAAAGAGGAAGAGTGATTTTGTTATACTTGATCTGAATTCGATACAATTGTTTATTTTTATTTCATTGAGCCTGTACTAACTTTATTCTTTCTTTTTCTATAATTGCACATGTTCTAAGCTGTAATTTATTTTTCCTCCATGCAGAAATACTTGGCTTTGGTTGTTATCTCTTCCTTCTCCCATGACCTTGCTTGTCTTTTTTGGCCAATTCAACGACACATATAAGCTATCTCCTTCCATGCTACCCCAGTTGTTGGCCTCTCTACATTTGCGCCTTTTCCCCTCCTATTCTACCTTGTTGGTCTTTCTGTTGACAGAATGTTTCATGGAGACAAAATGGTGCTTCTTGAATGGTTTAAAAACCTGCCTTTTCCACGTAGCATCTATCCAATTTGTGATCTTGTTTTTGGGATGTGAAACTGCACAAAATTGAAAGGATGAAGACTTAATCATTTTGTTGCTGTCTTTTCATGATTAGAAGACATAGAGGCACCGTTGAGATAAGAAAAAAAAACTGCTTTGTGGCGTAAACCTGTTGGAATTCTTCTTGGATAATCCAGATTTGTCTCACTTCGAATGAATTAAAAGATTGCACAAATGGTGCATTGTGAATCTGTGATAACCGAGTCCTCTAAATTCCTCCAAATCTGGGAAAATGATAGCTCAAGCAAGAGTTTGTTCCATCTTCTTTTGTTTGCTTGTTTCTTCTGGAGTGGCGCTCTTTTGGGTGCCTTAACCGTAAAATTTGGGTGCCTGGTGATGGAAGTAATGGCTGTTTGTTCCTCTCCAGAATTTGTGAGGCTTTCTGCAGATGACGTTGTGATGGAATAGCTGATAGAGTTGTCTTATCAGAGGGCCATCTTTAAAACAGACCTTTAGCCTCCTAACTTCCGTTCACACCACAATACAAGCAGACCTGTCCTCACAAACCCTGTGCTAATAGCGTAAAATCTAGGCATTTCTTTCGTTCTTTATTATGCTAGATTTTTTTTCAATATTGCTTCACTGCTTATCTTGTTGCTTGCGTCATCTGTTTCAAGATAGAATATGTCAAGAATGTCTTATTGGGGTTATTTTGACCATTTTATTCTTGTTTTTTGTAGACTTATGTTCTGGATGTTCATCCTTTCAATCCCCGAATAGCAATGAGTGCTGGATATGATGGGAAAACAATAGTGTGGGATGTGAGCTTCCTCTTTTTAAAGCTCTGTGAAGTTTCTGATGATTTTTCATAATTTGTTGAATGCCTTCTCTCTCTGACACACTGTCTCTGTGTAAATAGATATGGGAAGGAACACCTATTCGGATATATGAAATTGGTCGTTTCAGACTGGTGGATGGAAAGTTCTCTCCGTAAGCATTTCTTGAAAGTTCTCCCAGTTTTATAGACTAATCATTTTTTGCTGTCTATATATCTGTACTTTATTTTTCTTAGAAGAAATTGATTAAAGTCCTCTATACTTTTTGACTGTACTGGTATTATTCCCAACTGATCAACTGTTCTTGGTTTTATGACACTGAGCTTTAATATTGTTTAGGTATTTCTTAAGTTCTCAGTTAAAGGTTCTCTCCATCTACTCTTAAAAAATGTTCACCTTATCAGCTGAACTATATTCAAAGCAAAGGTTCCAATATCTCTAGCAAATTTAGGAATATAATTGTGTCCTCTTGACATCATACAAACTTAAGCAATGTGAAATATTTGCCACAACCTAGTTGTCGCCTTCTTGTACTATAAAATATGAATATTTTTGTCTGTTATCCAGGGATGGGACATCAATCATACTTTCTGACGATGTTGGTCAATTATATGTATTGAACACAGGCCAAGGCGAGTCCCAAAAGGATGCCAAGTATGATCAGGTACATGACAAGAACAAGCATTCATCATAAATGGTAGTTGGATACATATATCATAACTTGCAGCTTTTTTTCAGTATTGATGATGTATGCATCCATGTTAACAGTTTTTCCTTGGGGATTATCGCCCACTTATTCAAGATACCCATGGGAATGTTCTTGACCAGGTTAGTTATCCAGTTCTGGCCCTTTCCATTGGTTTGTCTTCATTTATCAGGTATTGAGTTTATATATATATATTCAAAGGAATACGTAAAATGTTTGTGGATTAAATATTTATTCCAAGAAACTGACTTATTTGTACGTATGATGGAGCATTATAATTGCATAGCACTGTAGCCCTTAGGATTCACCATGTTAGGTTGTTTTGAGTTGAATGCAAATTTTTATAACACGTGCATTGTGTATCTATTCTACTGAGTTTACGTGATGGTTTTTCCAGATGTGAGGGACTGCAATACACTATGTTTAAAGGAACTGGGCAACCAGCTTCGGTATAAAATTGTGTTTGTTTTTGATGATATTTAAGCATCCAAGGTGTACAATACTACCTTGATGAGTAGTTGAACTTGCTTCCCTAACCCCATGCTTGATAAGTGATGATTAATTTCATTTACATGTGAATGAATGTCCTATCTTTAACCTCAAATCCTGATATTACCACTTATTTATAATCGCCAGAAATTCAACTTTTTCAATATTCATGATGACCTGTTCAATTTGAATGCTTAATGACCTCTGATGTTTTTGATGTAGGAAACTCAACTTGCTCCTTATCGAAGGAATATTCAGGATCTCCTTTGTGATTCAGGTTTGTTGGTTCTGTTTTTGAGTACTCATAGTTTTTTTGTGGTTTATTCAATTCTTTCTTTATCTTATTTTTGTAAATGGCGGTTATGTGTTGGGAAATGCTAGGCATGATTCCATACCCAGAGCCATATCAGAGTATGTACCAGCAGCGACGGTTGGGAGCTCTGGGCTTCGAGTGGCGCCCGTCTTCTGTAAGATTTGCTGTTGGGGCTGACATCAGTCTGGACCAAGATTACCAAATGCTTCCCATAGCAGACCTGGATGTGTTGATTGATCCACTTCCCGAGTTTGTGGATGCAATGGATTGGGAACCAGAAAATGAAGTACAAAGTGATGATACTGATTCAGAGTATCATGTTACAGAGGACTACTCTTCTGGAGGGGAGCGATGTAGTTTAAGTATTAACTCTTGTAGTGATCCAGAGTGCAGTGCGGAAGACAGTGAGGTTGGGAACACTCATAGAGATGGCCTCCGCAGATCTAGGAGGAAAAAGCAAAAGGCAGAAGTACATATTTCTCCATATTCTTTTTAATTTTTGTTTGCATGGACTTGGATTATCATATTGCTTTTTTTCTTTGTCAGGTCGAGATCACAACTTCTTCTGGGAGACGTGTTAAGAGGAAGAATTTGGATGAGGGTGACGATGGTTCATTAAAAAATCATCGAACTAGAAAATCAAGAAATGGTCGAAAAACCTCGAGGAGGAAGTCTTCTTTGTCAAAGACTTTGAGACCTCAAAGAGCTGCTGCACGCAATGCTCTTCATTTGTTTTCCCAAATCACGGGAATGTCTACAGATGGAGAAGATGAAGAGGGCTCGGAAGGTGATTCTCTAGAAAGTGGATCTACACTGCAGGATTCAAATACTGAGAGTGAAGAATCTGATGTATCTTTGCGAAACGAACAATGTGAGCATTCAAAAGGCAAAGAAATACCCAAGGATGTGTCTGAGGATACGGTCAAGCTTCACCAATGTCCTGAAACTCATATGAATGCTGGAAGTAGGAGGAGATTGGTCCTCAAATTGCCAAGTCGTGGTTCAAATAAACTTGTGCCCCTGCAAAACACAATACTCGAGTGTGAAAGCCAGCCTGATCCAGTATGCCCATCATCTACAGTTCCTCAGGAAGCTGTTAAAGTAAATAAGAACTACTTTCAGGGTCAAGGGTGTACTTCTGGTGATGGAAACAGTGACAGAATGGAAAAGAGTGAGAAGGGGCAACCTGCAAAGGTAGAACATTATTTAGACCTGCTTGAAGGATACAAAGACGGGAAAATTAGCTGGGGAGGGGTTAAGACCCGCACATCGAAGCATTTGAGGATTGGAGAACCCTTGTCGTCACACACAGCGGGATCTAAGTCATGCCTCGAGGGTCCTGGTACAATAGAAAATTTTGGTAATGGGCAACTTATGTCTGATAAGGACTGTGGCACAATGTCGCCTAGTTCAGAAGTCCAATGTAAGGGAGGTAAGATGAATGAAGCAGTTGTCATCGACCAGCATCATTACGTGTCTACTACCCCAGAGAGTTTGGATGTAGCTGGAAATGGTAAAAAGGACAATGGCTCTGATGAATGCAATGAATGTGACAAATCACCAGGATTTTTAAATACATTTGTAGGCAATATGGCCACATCTTCTGCCTCTGCTAATGATGCGACTGAAAACTGTCCTGACCTGAAAGAGAACCCTGCACCAATTCCAACAAAGTTAAGGATAAGGTCAAAAATTATTTCAACGGATCATGGAAGTCCTACTAAGACGAAAATTGAGTCTTCAGTGGAAGATTCTAGGAATGGTGAATGTGATACATTGTCTGAAAGCCCATCAAACACCAAACTGAGTATGAAGTCAAATGTGCCTGATCATGATGACACAAGAAGGCCTAGTTCTTATCATGGAGATCGCAACAGTGTGCTAGAATTGGATACTCAGACTGGTGGAACTTCAAGGTCTGTTTTGCATGACACCCAGAAGTTGCATTTGCCTAACAGGATGTTCAATGCTGTTTATACAAGGTCAAAAGCATTTAGGGCTAGAAATATTTCAGTAGGTGACAATAGAGGCTTGGAAGCAAGCACGTCAAACGCAGTTGATCATAATCTAAATGGCGGAATGCACGACACAACTGCAGGGGTACGTAGGACAAGGTCCATGGGGCTGAGGTCAACCATTAGTGATTTAAATGTTGTTGATAGCAAAATCAGATTAAGGGAAGCCCATGATGGTTCAGAAGGTACATCATCCAGTGGCGAAAAGTCTTCCTTTAACATTGGCGATGAACTCACTCCTGAAGAGTGGAGATCAAGTTCTAGGGTTTCTGTTGGATTAAGATCTACCAGAAACAGGAGGGGCAGTCATTATGTTCGTGATAGTAGTCCACCAGAGAGAAGGAAACCACATCAATCAGCAAAATCATGGTTGATGTTGTTGACACATGAGGAGGGCTCTCGATATATTCCCCAAAGAGGGGATGAAGTTGTTTATTTGAGACAGGTAGCTTCTCTCTTTTCATATGTATTTTTGGTGTTCGCTGTTTGTGATGATGAATCTACTGTTTTTCACATTCTGGGCTTAAATATTTTCAGGGTCAGCAGGAGTATATTAGCTATAGTGGTTCAAGAGAGTTAGGCCCTTGGAAGACAATTAAGGGCAACATCAGGGATGTCGAATTTTGTAGGGTTGAAGACCTTGAGTATTCAACACGTCCAGGTTCTGGGGAGAGTTGCTGTAAAATGACACTTCAACTTGTGGATCCTACTTCCTGTGTGGTTGGTAAATCATTCAGCTTGACTCTGCCTGAAGTGACTGGTTTCCCAGATTTTCTTGTCGAAAGAACAAGGTATGATGCTGCTGTCAAGAGAAACTGGACTTATAGGGATAAATGCCAAGTCTGGTGGAAGAATGAAGGCGAGGAAGATGGTAGTTGGTGGGAAGGTCGGATCCTGACTGTGAAGCCCAAATCCCCCGAATTCCCTGATAGTCCATGGGAAAGATATGTTGTTCAATACAAGAGTGAACCTACTGAAACCCATCAACATAGTCCTTGGGAACTTTATGATGCTAATACACAATGGGAGCAACCTCATATTGATGATGAGATTAGAGATAAGCTGCTGCATGCTTTTGCCAAACTGGAGCAATCAGGAAACAAAGTTCAGGTATTCTAGTTGACGCCTAAAATATAGACACACTCATATACTTGATTATGTTAATGACAGATATGTTGATTTGAAGTTTGACCAAGGGTTTCTTTTGACTTTGTACTGATTTACAGGATCATTATGGGGTTCAAAAGTTGAAACAAGAATCACAGAGGTCAAATTTTGTCAACAGGTAGACCTACCTTTGCCAATTCTCATCTGTGTCTTAAATTTATTGCATGGATAATTATCTCCTTAATTCCGTAAAACCTATGGACTAGTTTTTTTTTTTCCTTTAGTTTTTCTTTAAAACCAAATTTACATTGTGACTGTACAAAGTTATGTTGATGTTCTTTACATTTGGATTTAACTTGGCTGTCAAATGCATCAAAAATTGCAGGTTCCCTGTTCCATTATCTCTCGAAGTGATCCAGTCTAGATTGGAGAACAACTATTACAGAAGTTTGGAGGCAATGAAGCATGACATTTCGGTGATGCTATCAAATGCTGAATTATACTTTGGGAGAAAAGCAGAGGTTTTAACGAAGATGAGGCGCTTGTCAGACTGGTTCACACGGACACTTTCATCTTTTTAGGTTGCTTCGATACAAATTTTTTAGAAAATTCATCCATTATTGAGCTTGAGCCAATCCTTTCTGTTTTCTTAATAGATAATATTCCCGTCTAATTTGTTGATTATTTATTCCTTTTTGGGTCTTTCTTTAGAGTAACCAACGGTCCAATTTAGATCAAGTGGTTGACCTTGTAGGGATCACTGTTTCTCTCTCTTTTTTTTTTTTTAATTTTTTCGGCTCAGCCAAAAAAGTAGCTGATTCTGGGAAAATTATCCACCAGAATACTCATCCATGTACAGAGATAGACACTTTTTAAGTAGTCAAAATGAAAATATTCGAAAATTTTGGCCTTCTTTCACAAGGACTTTTTTTGCTTTGCAGGCTTGCTTCACTCGCTCTCCCCATTTTATCTTTCAATGTACAGAAGTGAGGCCTTCAGTCATTAGCAATGGGTCTCTCATTAATAGTGAATAATGTACCAAAAAGGAAATTGAAAGAAAAATATATGGAAGAAGATCTGAATGCTCAGGGTTCATGTTAAACAGAATTTGATGATATACTGATCCTCTATTTTTGGCCGGTGGTCAACTCATTCAGCAACCCTCAGTTACTGGAGTAGCTATAAGCCACAGCCAATTTGAAATTCAACAGATTAACAACTTTTCATTCACAGATGGACAGATTAACAACTTTTCATTAACAGATGGATTTGTTTTATAAAGAGAAGATGTTTTTGCAAACGAAAGATCAAAATTTCATACCCACAGTTATCAAACCTTTGCCTAGAACAAGTGGCTCTGTGAAAGAATGCAGAGAGATATATGGCCAAAACAGGGCCCAAGTTCACAGGGTTTGCATTTCTGACAGTTAAAATGATTATATTGAGAATTCAACAGTGCACAGTTACAAGTCACCACAAAGTTCTTTGATAGAGGGAAGTCAACAGCGTTTAATATCTTAAATTCGGCCAGTTTTCTGGTGCACCATTAATCTCTCCAACGGTGGCCACAGTTTGGGTTGCAGCAAACAAAGAACAGTGTCATACCTTCTTCTCCCCGAGCAGTAGCCTGCACAGTTATTTGACAAATAAAAAAGATGAAAAGTGAAAACAAAAATTAGAAACACGGATTATCAAACCTCACTACTTAAGCCATTGGTAATACACGTCTACTAAAAGAAAGTGCACATAATCATATGATAACTCAAATCCACACTATTATACCATTTTACCAAGTCTCCAACAATCACTTGCAGATGGTTCATGCGAAATGGAAAAAGATTTCTCCACTCTAAATAATTGTCAAAATCTTATTTTTGTTTCATTTTGATACTACTTTTTGTTCTTTGCAAGAGACATACAATCAAGCACTCTCAGTTTCAAGCAAATCCACAGTGACAGAAACAACCCTTTCCCAGGATTCTCAAGAACAAAGCTCAAAATAATACCTTGGAAAAAGTTTAACCACCAAAACAAAATTGAACAAGTTCCCTTTTCTTTAACACAAAAAAACTAAACAGAGGTTAAACAAGACCAAGAATCATGCTAGTAAATCCCTACTGAAAAGATCAAATTGAGCAGGACATATAGCAGAATAAACAGGACATATAGCAGAATAAGTAGGACATATAGCAGGGGTAATAACTAACGTTAGCGATATATAACAATTTCATACAATTATAGATCAACTTCATATCAATAACAAATGACCTGGAAGAAAACAGCTTCTCCATGATTGCATTGAGAGCAATGAACAGATTTTGTACGAGGAAGAGTTGGATCCGCAGCTACATCCTGCAAGACTTGAGTCCGCTCCCCGACAGAGTGGTGTATCTCATTTCTATAGACACAATTGTTATCAGCAACCTCCTGTAGAGTTTTGAACAAATAATCCAAACAAGAAATTAAAAAGAGATCAGAAGTCAGTGAAATCATAAAAGGATCCTGTTGTCCTGGGTGAGTGAGATCTAAAATGCCTTATCACTGTCAACTCAAGTCTATTGCATAATAGGAAAGCAAACTTAGCAAGGAAAGGCCCCTAATCATGCATGCATGGGCCTTGACAAGGAACTATAGTATTTACTATACTCCAAATGGACATCATTTCTTTAGTAGGAAGAGCAAATAATAAAAATTCTTACTTTCACCGAGTGGACAACACAGCTGACAATAAACTGAAAGGGATTTTTGTTCCCCCAGATTTATGCAGATCAGGGAGATCAAGACAAGTCGGCCAATCTAGATCATCACTAATGGCTGTACTTCCTGAGAGCGAAACCATCACATTTTATTGAGACTAAATTTGGCTAAAGAAGCTTTTGTTGTCGAAGGTGGGTCTTCTCTCTCTCTCTCTCATCACACACACACACACAAAACACACTTTCAATCATTCCTCCTGGCAAGCCATGCTGGAAGGGGTAGCAAATGAAGTATAACAAGTTGAAGTCAAATAGCAGATAAGCTGTTTTATCATGGAATGAAAATTTCAACTTCTGCAAATATCTTATTGATACGCTTTAAGCATACTTCTAGAGGCATCCCTATAAATGACTGGACGATTACTTTTATTGCAGGATCAATCTAATCTGCCTACTGCAAGGTTGAAAAGGATTTTGAGCAATGATCCAAGAGCTAGAGGGTGACTTGAGGGGGTTGTAGGTGTTGTTATGAGGGGATGATTTTCTGGTGGTCAATGATGATCAGCTGGAAACCATTAAAGTGGGATGCAGAGGATTGGATGGTTTGGTGCATTGCTGAGGTTGATGCATCAGATTCTATGAGCTGGTGCAGGTCCATATCAGAGCTATGAGCTGAGTTTAGTAGCTGATTTAGAAGGATTTTTAATCCTTTTGAAGGATTAAAGCCAACTCTTGTTGGCAGTCTTCTATTGTCCCAGGGTGCAGATTTGCTGGTGTCCTTAAATCTAGTTTGAGATGAGTGAAGGAGAGCTGATCTGATGCTGGAGTAGTGGATCATTTTCTGAGGGCAGATGGTCTGATGCTACAGGAATTTGATCAGATGATCTTATGCTAAGAGGAGTGTGCTGTCTATTTTGGTCAGTTGCTCTTCCCAGCTGTTTTAGCAGTTGAAGCAGGTTTTGAGCTGCAATTGGAGGTTGCTATCCGATGAATGCTAGATTGGATGATGCTGTGTCTGCTGGTAAGGAGATTCTGCTGTGCTGATTAGGCAGTGCAGCTGGGTTTTGTCTTTCCAGCTGGTTCAGCAGTTGCAGCAGGCGTACAGGTGGCAGCTCAATGGTTTTGCCTGTTTTTTCTGTAAATGCTTCTTTAACAGAATTTCTGTTACAAAACAGAAAATCTGTTTGGAACAGTTTTCTGTTTTCAATTTTGTAAGTACAGTTACTGTTTTGTCTTAAAAACAGTTTCTGTTTTAATTTTTGTAATTTTTGCGGTTTAATCAATAAAATTTTCTCTCTTTTCCTTAAAAAAAAATAGGCATCCCTATAAAGCCTCAATCAAATTGGCACCATCTTATACTTCAAGAAAGTGTTGGTTAAACCAGGACACGTGTCTCTTTTAGATGGAACTGCCTGATCCTTATGTATATATTTTCCATTTGCAATAAATTTCATGGACCCAATCCCTCGACCACTTGACTCCCCATAAAAAACCGAAAAAGAAGAATTCAAGCCCCTATAAGTTATAACTTCCCACCACCCTCTGCCACTTCCTCCGCCCCCCCCCCCCCCCCCCAAAAAAAAAAAAAGCACCCCCTCTGCATGAATATGTATGTGGAACCTCACTTTTATCTAATAAGTGCAAATACTCCAAAAACCTGAATATTATGACATTTTGAAATATGGGCAAATGATGCGACCATGGTTTTCAGCTACAAATATAGAGAAATTAAGCTATTTTACTCTTAGAGAAGACAAGTGTATTGGATGCCAAATTTAAGCATCATAACAAAAAGATTTTCTCTCTGAGGGAACAATCAAAACAAAGAAAAGAAATATTTAAATGCTTTCTTTCAATATAAAAATTCCCTTTGTAAGCAGCATAACAACTTTGTATCAGAAACAAGTTCAAAACTGGTTTTCCTAAAAATTTGTAAAGCAATATTCAGCTTGTATTGAACATTCCCAACTCAACTCAATGACATTCAATCTCAAATACAGCTCATAATGCACATATCTTCAAAAAAGTATCAATACATGAAACCGATCTAAAACACCATTATTTTCATCCAGGGTCTCATGTACAACTTTGAATTTTAAACACCTCAATACACAAACAAACAGCATTTGTTAACCCAACAATCTTGCAATAGGAAAAATTCTCAATTTTTTCCACATTACAGAAATTTTCAAAAATCAAATGACCACACCGAAAAAAAAGTATTTGACAGCATTGGATGTGTGCGTGCGTGTGTGTGTGTGTGTGAGAGAGAGAGAGAGAGAGAGAGAGAGAGAGAGAGAGAGAGAGAGAGAGAGAGAGGGAACCTGGTGATCGCAGTTGCGACAAGCATAGAGGAGGATCTTCTGCTCCTTATCTTCCTTTGGGTACAGAATGTTGTTGCTGATACAACAACACATAAATAAACACAAAAATTTATGAAAATCTACACGCAACACACACACTGAAGGATGTGAAGATATCGAGATAAAGACATACCACTCGCGGCAAAATTTCATGGTACTCATGTTTGAAGTTGAACAGAGACAGAGATTTGAAGCTCTCCTTCCTTCGGATGCCTTTGTCTGTCAGTCTGTATGTGTCCCTAGGGTTTCCTTTTGGTTTCGCTTCTTTCAACTGGACTACTCCACAGTCCAGATAGGGACTCGGCTCCTCTGCTGTTCGCGAGGAACAGCAGCCCCGGCTGTTCAGTTCAAACGGCACCGTTTGGTGCCCTTTTTTTAAAAGGGATTTAAGGGGGCGGTACTTTTTTAGAAATTATAAGATAAAAAATATTACTTTTAAAAATATTGATCAAAAAGTACATAATACATAACAAATGTCTAAAATAGCCTATTCGGAAGAAGTTGAACAATCTCCTAAATTTTTCCCTTCAAAATCGAAACAACAGGAATGGACTGTTACCATAACTCCTTTAATATTGTCGAAAATATAGGCTTTTCAAAGATTGATGACATAACTTCCTAAAACATTCGTTCTTTTCAAAAGAGGGTGTTCAAAATCAATTTTTTTTTATTGTTCTTCGAATGGGTTTCTCTCTGAGTTAGTGAAAGGGCACTAGTGGACAGTGAAGAACGAATCAGTGAAAAAAGGCTTTCATTGTAGAGATAAAAGGTATGTGAAAACTTTCTAAACCTTTCTTCCTTTCGAAACAAGACGTTCAAAAAAGGGTTTTTCTTTCAACCCATTATAATTTTTTTTTTTTTGTTCACTGTTCAATTTTGATGGGTTCACTTTAACAATGTTGAAAACTTATGTTCAAGACCTGATGTTCAAAATGGGTTTTTCGTTCAACCCATTTTTAATTAATTTTTTTTTTGACGTGTTCACTGTTCAATTTGGATGAGTTCACTTTAACAATGTTGAAAACTTCCGTTCATGAACTCATTCTCTTTTTTTTTTGTGGTCACTGTTCAAAATGGTTTTGCCGTTCTGTTTGACACTTTTGTGGTATATTTTTCTATATATATATTTTTTTATTCTCAATCATTATTTTATATGATTTATGGTGTTTTGATCAAATTGATTGTGGGTGATTAGCAAATTTTGATTTTTTATGTTGCTCTGTATCTATATTGGTAATTTTGATGATCGGATTGTCCATTACAGTATCAATGGGTACTTTTTTTTAAAATATCATTGTACCTTTTTGTTTGTTGTTACATTGTGTAGATGAAAATGAACCATTGATACTTTTATTTTTGATCATCTTTCTTTTTTGTTCCATTCAATACATGATATCCAGAACGTGTTTTTCGTTCAACCCATTTTTAATTATTTTTTATATTTTTATGTTTTGTGGATTCACCATTCAAATTTTAAAAATTCCACTAAATACATTATTTTCAGAATGAGTTTTTTGTTTACTTGACGGGTGCATTGTTAAATTTTGGTGGTTTTACTTTAACAATTTTGAAAACTTATTGTTCAACATGGCTTCAGTGTGTAATAGTGATAGTCACTACTGCAGACAGTGATGACCACACCATTAACTGTGTGGAAGACATACTTGACGCACGTCTTCTACTGCAAGTTTGTGGAAGATGTGTCAAAACTCAGTAACGTTATGGAGGTCAAAGCAAATCTGTTAAGAAATATGTAAGTAACTCAAGCAGACTAACAAATGGATATTTGAATACAACTTTTATAGACTGTATAAAGCATGAGTTAAGGATTGGATCAGGAAATCGTCTGTTAAATGAATGAGGAAAAGGAAATTCAAAATTCAAAAATGATATAGCATAAAAAAAGAAAAACTGAATCTAAAATATAATTGTCATATTTGTATTCAATTAATAAAGGAAAAGGGCAATTTTGTAAGAGAAAAAATTATAATTTAGAAAAAGTGTATCTCCACACCAAACATTTACACATAAAGGTACTTATACACAAATATTTTATATTGAGATACTTTTCCACAATTAAGTATTACATGCCGTCCTTTTTCACAATTTTCCCTAATTTCTTTTGTGTTTTTTGTATCTAACTTAATGACATTTTTTTTTTACATATATATTATACAAAATGAAGAACGGTGTCAAATTGTGTTGCATTTTTTGTGGATTTTTAGTCGAACAATTGGTTTGGTTTGGGTTTAGCGTCGGATTCAAGTTTGAGGTCAGGTCAAGGGTCAAGTCTGGTTTGGAATAGGGGACAAGTCTAGGTCGAGTTCGGGGTCTAAATCTAAAGTTAGGTCCAAGTGTGGGGTCAAGTCCAGGGGTCAGGTTCGAGTCTTGGTTTGAATCCTGGGTCAAGTCTGTGTCTAGGGTTGAGTCCTAATTCAGAGTCAGGTCTAGGTTGGGTTGAGTCTGAGTTCGAGGTCAAGTCAACAGTTTAAGTCCAAAACCGAGGTCGAGTTTGAGGTTAGTTCAGGATCTGAGTCGATTCAAATCCAAGTTTGAGGTCAAGTCAACGGTTTAAGTCCAAAGCCGAAGTCGAGTTTGGGGTTGGTTCAAGATCTGAGTCGGTTCAAATCCAAATCCAAGTTTGAGGTCAAGTGCAGGGTTCGTACCCGGTCAAGTTTGAGTCTGCCGTCGGGTTCTTGTGTATGTGCATATATTTTAATATATTAATGTATTTACATTTGTGTATTTTAATGCATTAATATATATGCAATTTAATATGTTATTAAAATAATCTTTAACCAAAATTTTGGAAGTAACCTTTAACCTAATAAAAAAAATTTAAAACGATCTAACCCATTTTTAAAATTTAAAATGCCTTATACTTTATTATATAGATATAATTTCCTAGCCATGTTTTGAGGTAGCATAAGGTGGCATTGGTCTCTGACTCTCTAAGCCTGTTAAACTAGAAAAAGACCCCCCTCCCCCTATCCACCCACCCACCCCAAAGTTAGGTAACCTCTGATTCTCGCATTTAATCTGTTACATAACGCTTGGACAGATAAGCATTTGATACTACTTCAAATCGGACTTCTAAAACCGATCCCACTCATCACATACTGCACTCAGATAAAAAGCACTAAAACAACCAGTCGAATTGAGCATGACTATTCCAGTCGCAGGACTCACATTCAGAAACACCTGCTCAAGCTCTTATCCTCCAAGCACTAAAAATGCACTCAGCATAGCACGTTAGGAGGCAAACAAACAAAACAAATTCCAAAAGAAAATTCTAAGTAGAGTTTGCTTAGTTAAGTTCTACATCGTTTGCATCAGAGTAGACACAGAATTATACGTCAGTGCCATTCAGCAGCTTAAAATATCCCTGAGAGAAGATTTGCAGTAGTGGCAATAGCTGCACCAGTTATGGCACACTGCACTATCTGCTCATGGGAAGAATCCTCAATTGTTAGAGCAAGCGCTGCACCCGTAACTGCTCCTACCACTGCACTGTTTTTCTGCACCAAGACAAGCAGCAACATAGTTTAAGAATGTTTCGAGGATATCCAAAACACGAGAAGCAACACCGAGAACAACAATTAGACAGCAAGTCGGAAACATGGTATGTTATTTAGGTAAGCGAATTGTCACACCTAAAGTTCAACACCAAATTTCAGCGAAGGATCAGCTATCTAGTGATGGCTTATGTGTGCCAGCTCCAAAGTTTGTCAAAGTTCACAAACTATAACAAACAAAGGACTCCACATCAATTAAAACCAAGAATTCATGCTCATGGAGACCTCATTCTCATGGGGCTTCACGGTATTAAGAATGACATTTCAAGGGAAGTCAAAAACAGATGAAAATCTGATTGGTGCTGCAGCTGACATAGAAACCAGTACAATTTTTATGGTACAGTGAGCATGGTTAAATATCAATCCAGATCTCAAAAGGAAGTTAAAAGCGGTTCACAAGTTGGGAACATACTTCAGAATTCATCTAGTGAAAGAATGTTGAAATTAGCATTCTTATTTTCAGACAACATGCTATAATGAACTCTACTAACGTGATTGAGGTCCTATGATGTAGTTTCTGCCAGAGGTTTGATATCTGGAGTTACTGAAACATAGTAATAAGAGCAAAACAACCATCTAGCCCACTATCCAATGAAGTTAACTATGACGAGGACGTGACAGGATGTTGATCCACTGGAAACTTCAACGATGGAGATCACATAGTAATGAACAGGACAAAGTACCCAATCATGAACTCCACGAGCCTCCTTTAGTCCATAGGTGAGACCTGAATACATTCCTGCAGTGAGTCCTGCAGTAAAAATTAAGTCTTAGCTCAACTCTTTTTATCATCTACACAAATGGTTCGTCCAATTTCACACAATCCACATTTAAAATATAACCACTCAAGGTAAGAAACACCCTTCCATTGGATAAATACACTTAAAGCTCATATTTAACTCCCTCAACCAATATGTGATTTAAAGTCTTTCATTATGACAACTGCCAAAGCCCAAAGAAAACAACACAGATAATTAACAAAAAAAAATAAAATTTCATGTGAACTTTCAAAGCATGCTTGCCAACCATGGTTCATGTGCAATATCACTCTATGAGAAGGAATGTCTTTAAGGAACAACCATAATTCGACAATTAATTTGTGCTTAATACACCTCCAAAAAAAGCGGCTAATTTGGGTGTTTAGACTTACCCCACTGTAGAGATTCTTTTCCGGTGTTCTTCACCTGAAATTGTTTCAACAATCCATGGTAAAGATTAAAAATGGCTACATAGATGAGTGAGGTACCTCAAAATAAGCACTTCTAAAAATAATTCTATGCTCTCACACACAAAATAAGCCAAAGTTCCATTACATGGATAGGGACCAATTGAAAAAGACCCTGTTAATTCCCAGGGAAAAAAGCAAGCCCAGTCTCTTAAACAGACACCAATAGCTGCACTCTTTGATCAGCGCACAAAATGACATTTCACATGGCCTATCACGGAAGCCATATAGCACAAATAATGGGCTCTTTGTTTATTAAAATTTCGATCTCATTCTTTCAGTTTGTAGGACCTTACGATTCTCAGATCTGATCTTATGATCTTGATCCTTTAGTTTCAAGATAGTATCCCCATTTAAAAAAAATCTTGATGGGCTACCAGGGGCAGAAATCAAGATATTGCTTCCACCACACGAAAAACTAAAGCCTTTTATGTTAGCCCATCTTTAGAGACTTTATTGCATCAAGGTTCACATTTACCAGGGCTTCAATGGATTTGCTGTTGGTCTCCCCTGCAAAGAACATTAAGAACCCATTAAACTCGAGTAATGGAGTGTAGCAGCCAACAGAATTCAGCATCTAGCTAGAGACTATTAAACTCAACTGACATATTGCATTATGATATTCAGAGAAAAACACTGATCATCTTGTGTACATGAACATGTACTCTTCTCTCTTCTAAATTCCACAATTCTATATGGGTCTAAAATAAAGGCTTTAACTTCTCAGTGAGTAACATGTTTGTGATCATCCGATGGACCGATATGATCAAATCATATTTACCTCAGTAACAAAACTGCCCGACCACCTTTTAGCCGAGATCTCTCATGGTGAACTCCTTACTACTCAACCTAGAGATTGCTCGGTTTATAGGTTAATTACATGAAAAGGTGTTTCTTCTTCAGTTCTTCTGGTACATATAAAGATAATAAATCTATATATTACATGTATTATGAAATGGAAAACAAAACGATGCTAAATGCTAATCCATTAATGTTTAAATGGATCGATGTTAAATGTACCTTTGAGATCAGGAAAACGGTGCTTTTTAGCACCACCAGTATTCCCACTAGCACCTGATCATTCATACGCATATATTCAAACACACAGAAGACAAGAAAAAAAAAAAAAAACAAACAAACAAACAAATTCACCAAAACATCGAGCACATCTCACTTTCAACAGCCGTAAGAAAGGAGTCCCGCGACACAGCCTGAATCGCCCCGATCTGCCATGCACATAAAACCATAATTCACATCAACCCCGTGCAGAGAGAGAGAGAGAGTATGTGTGTGATGTTTTACCCCAGCAGCTTTGACGAAGCTTTCAGCGATGCGATTGAGCAGAGGGTGGCCGAGATCAAAGAAACCACCCTTGTCAAAGCTGCGAAGCTCATCCAGCAACGATCGAGTCCCCGAATTACTACTCATTTTTCCTTGTTTCAAATCAAAAGCAAAACCTCGAAGAACACCGTGAAACAATGACAACAGTTGCAATTTTCACCGAGGAGAGGGAGAGAGACTTGGAGTGAGTTCCCGAAGGATTAGAAGAAGAAAAATTCTTGGACACGTGCACCTGTTGACTGAGTACGTGGCTGATTTCTGTAGCGAGAATGCGGACTTCGTGGCTGATTGATCGAAAAGTTTTTGCTCTCTTCTTACGCTACGTTTGTTACATAGTACTAAGTGTAGGAAAAGAATATACGTTTACTTATAATGGTCATTGGCTGGTTGGAATAAAAATTAATTCATATTGCTAAAGAATTATTAATCCTCCAACTCTTGGGATTAAGCATTATCAAATCTAACATAGTATTTCTGATTCCGAATTCACCCAGAATGTCCTAATAAAAAAACGCGATTAGATTTCACAATCTCTCTTGTCTCTCTCCTCTCGTCTCTTCTCTCTTGTCAACACTATCTCTCTTCAGTCTCTTGCTGCTCTCGTCTCCTCTTATCCCCTCCCAATCACTTTTTGCCTTTCCTTCTTCTTTGTATGAAGCAAAAGGTCACATTGGTGACCAAGATCAACGTATAATAGCTCAGATGCGACCTAATATTAGATAATTTTTCTGTAAATTTAGTCAATTATTCTTAGATCTATAACTTCCAAAGGTATAATTCTCAAATGCAACCTTTCCTTGTGTGGTCCTCTATGTCTGAGTGTGTGTGTCCGTACTTCACTTGATAATCATATTAGGTGAGAAAGATTGATATATTTTTTTTCTTCCTTTCTTTTTCAGATAGTTTAGTTTATCTTTACATTCATATATATTCGGATGCAATAATGTTCAAAACCTGTTCGATGATATTCCTAATAGAAATGAGAAAGTAGTTGTAAAGTTGTATTATAGAGGATATTTTTTGGGCCATTTTTATGTTCCTAGTGCCATTTGAACCTACTGCATTGCTACTGCAACTACCTTTTAGTTTGATTTTATCTAGTTTGATATTGTTGGCAAGGACGAACACTCAATAGAGACAATATGTCAATACTCTTTATGCCATTTTATTAGCACAAAAGTATAATTTTCCTACTTTACTCTATGCTTAGATTTATTAGATTAATCATTGGGTTTGAAGTGGTTTGTATGGGTGGAATGGAATTGAATTGGGAAAAATTGAGTTGAGTTAGTTCTTGATTGAATTGTTTTGTAATTACATAATGGCAAGATTTCTTGATCATGGCATCCTTAACCATTGTCATTATTGCACTTGATTTTTGTTCCTTTAACAAACCTTGTATTGTAGTTGGAAGATGAAATAATAATGCAGGGCAAATGAAGTAGAGTAAGACAAGTAGAAGAAATATCATCTCTTTTGATTCCATGTTGCTTCCTTCCCAGAAATCTCACAGCTTTTCATGGTCTTGTCCTCCTCCAATCCTCATTTTATTTTCATGAATGCTCCATTTACTCTAGCCTAACTTTAGTAAAGTAAACAGGATAAGATAATCTTTGCCTACTTGTAATCCAGAAAGGATCTTATGAGAGAGATTAATCTATGGTCTACTACACTGGTTAGAATTTTTTAAAGTGCTTTTTTCTTTTATAATTGTAAAAAGTTGCACCCACTTTATATCTGGGCCATAGGAAGAGAATTCATCTTTTGCTTTAATCACCTCAACTAGATTTTGTTTGTCATCTTCATCTATCAAATTGAAATTGTGGGTAAAAAGTCAAATTGTCTGAGTCATTTTATTTATTTTTAGCCTTCATTTCAAGCATACAACTCACTTGATCATCAATGGTAAACCATGTAAGATGTTTTGTTAAAGCCGAATTTTGTTTTTGACCTTATTTCGACCTAAAAATCCAAACATGATTCCGTCTGATGTTGATATATAAGAAAAGTTGGCATTTGCTTGTTTTAGTTGAAATCCAATTCATCACCAACAAAAGTAGACATATATACTTTGGGGGACCTAAAATAGATTGATTTTATGGGTTTTATAGTAAAATAAATTAGGTCTGTTGAGACTTAGGTTTTGGACTAGCTTATGTACTTCATTTGCCCTGCATCATAAGAGTAAAAACCCTTCATTTTTGTTCCTTTAACATCACTGCCAATAGCTCAATGAAACAATAACAACTGGTTTGAATGAAAGCCAACAAGTTTATTGAAAGGCTTTTCTAGTGAAGCCATTGCTCTGTCAACAATTGCTTGTTTTGTGAGTGATTATATGCACATAAGTGATTGATTAGATTCACAAAAGATAACCTGGCAAAGGCTGAATGGTGTACTTTAACTTACATCATAAAAGATATTAGTCGCTCTTTCACAGAAGGGCTTTCACCGGTCACTGCATTTCCGAAAATACAAACAGGACAAGCAATTCTATGCACATCCAACTATAAGCAATTCAATAAAGCCAAAGAGGATTGAATACATGATACTATGAAAAATACCTATGAAATTCAAATCAATGGGTGGCTTAAAGTTTAACACTTAATTGAATTCCCCCCTTTTGCTGCTAGAAAATTTTGTTTTCATGTACCGCTGTGAACAATTTTGCATCTGTAATTTGGAAATCTAATTTTTTGGCTTTATCCCAAATACTGATTTTTCTTTGTAATTTTTGTGACAATTATGGCTCATTTAAATTTAGCAAGAAGAAAAATGATAAAGAAGAAGAAATTGATTGCATTATTTGTGTTGTGGACCAAAATCATGCATTTAGTCAATTATTTTTTCTATATGATGTCTACTGTCATCCTTTACTAAATGAGAAAAAAATCATTAAGAGGTCAAATGTATCACAATAACTTCTTTGCAAGGAGGACTGTTGTTTATGACTATGCTTATGCGAGTGATGACGCATGTGTTTCTCAACTTTGGATGAATAGACGAGCATTCATTAGGTTATGTTCCATGCTTGAGACAATAAGAAAGTTAAAACATACCAAAAACATGGAGATTGATGAGCAAGTGACAATTTTCATGCATATCCTTGTACATCACGTGAAAAATCGAGTTATAAAACAACGATTTAAGAGGTCTAGTGATACTATTAGCAGACACTTTCAGAATGTATTGAATGCGGTGATAAGATTGCAAGGCTATTTGCTCAAGACTCCCAAGCCAATACTAGAATATTCCATAAGACATGGGCTTCATTTATGTATTACCTGGTTGGGAAAGGTTAGCGGCAGATGATAGAGTGCTTAGGGATGCCATGATTAGAAGGAATGAGTTGGTGGTGAATCGTGGTACCTATTATGTGAGACCCGATCATACATTACATGCGTATTAGCATAATTATGTGGGCTTAATTGTAATTATGTGAAACTATGAAAGGGTTAATTAAAGTAAACCCTTCTTAGCCATGATGTGTGTGAAGATAGATCAATTATGTGGACCACGTTAGTGAAATATTAGTGAGACCCATTTATAGGATTTTATGTGTGAAAACAGTAGTTGGTCAATTTCGAAATCACTTAAAAACTTGGGGGGAGGCAAGTGTAATTATCCAATTGAAATGAGTTATCCTTACATGTGTACAAATATGAAATGGGTGAATCATATTTATAGCTAGGTGGCTGTGTGTGTGAGTGAAGGTGTGGAGTGTATGTGTGTGTGTGTAATTTAAGGTGTAGAAGTGTGTGTGTGTGTGTTTTAAACATGAATCAATGTGTGTGTATTTTGTTTTTACTGAAACCGTGAGTGAGGGAGAACAAGAAAATATGTGTGTGTGTGTCTCTTGAGTCGTGAGCAAGGAAGGAGAGAGGGAGAGATAAAAACCAAGTTTTGGTGGGTATTTCTAGCTCAAACCGAGAGGGAGAAGAAAGGAAAGAAAATAAAGGAACTTAGGGTAAACCTCCATGCCAGACCGAGAGTGAGAGAAGGCAAGAAGAAGGTGGGGAAAGAAGAAGAAAGCAAGAGAAGATAAGTATGTGTGTGTGTGTGTGTTTATTTTAGTGTGTGTGAGTGTTTGATTAAGTTTAAGCATGTGTGTGTATGTGTAGGTTGTTTTATTTTAATTTCAAAACAGACTTTGTGGGAGTCTAATTAAGGGTATTAAGCATAATTAAAGGGTTGTTAAGGAAGGATTTTAAGCGGGTGTTCAACCGAGTGTGAGTAAAGTGTGAAAAATGAACATTTGAGATGCTCAGGATGCTTTTAGTGGGCTAGGTTGAAACTGAGATTTATGGGTATGAAATAGAGGGTTTAAGGATTCAATTAAGGGGTTGTTTTGCATGATTAAATGTGTGTGTGAATTTAAGTGTAGTTGTTTTAAAAGGAAAGTGCGATAGAGTTGAAAAATGGGTTTCGATAATGCCGAAATTCTGATTTATAAACGTTATTATCACATGTGTGAATTTTGATCCAAATGCTTGATGTGATAATGTAAGTTTCAAATGCAAATGAATATAATACCCGATGCGAAATGTATGAAATGTCAGAAATGTAGTTTTTGAGATTCGGGGTCGAAATGTGTGAAAATGGGGCCGTCAATGTGTTTGACCTACTTAACCTTAATTGTGATTAATGTGAGTGATTTTGGAGATTTGAGGACGAAATGTGATCCATAAATCTAATGTGTCAATGTGTGAGTGGATAATGCGGTAACCGGGGCACTTTTAGTTGAATCATCTTGAATGCATTAGTGCATAATTAATTATTAAATGTGTTAGGTGGAACAAGTAGAACAGTCGGTGTTGAGACAGATACGGTAATATCGAAAGGATCCACTGGTAGATCCGAATACCCGTAGATCTGTACACTTGAGGTAGATACATATTTTTATATGTTTTGAAAATGCTATTATAAGATGATAGTAAATTATAGAATTTAATAGCATTTATCCAGGATTATTTGTTATGTGTTTATGTGATTGAATGATGTTTTGTACGGTGTATTGTAGAATGTGGCGCATTATCTGAAACAGGAGCATCGATGCCTGATCACTGGGCATGCAGTGACGTGCTAGCACTGTGGTGTTTCCGAGTAGTTTATGAGACACGAATCTATGTGGGATCAACTACCCAGTGAGGGATGATATGGATGTGTTGTGCTTGTGAACTCTTTGAAATTAGATTGATGTTGTTGTTTGACACGTATATCTACGTAGTATCTACTTACTTTTGTGTATTACTATTATTTCCATTTTATATATAACATATATACTTGTTGAGCGTGTGATTTAGCTCACACCCCTATAGTTTCTCTTTTTCATGTACTATTGAAGGAGTTGCAGATCAGTCCACTGCCAAGTCGGTTAAGGATTATCTCGTGGAGTTGAATTCAATCCGAAGTAGTCCAACATAGTTGGTGTGTTATTACTCAGGTTGTATGTCCGTTAATTATGTATTTAGTTTTAATGAGTGAGTAACACAAGTTGAGTGTTTGTATTATATTTAATTGGATTGTATATTATATTGAGTGAGAGAGTATTATAGCAGGTTAATAGTGTATAATTGTAAACAGAATCAACAAGCATACTTTATGATATATGTTATGTGGGTGTGAGATTTTGTATATGCATATGGCTTGGAAAAATAAATGGTACATGTGTTATATATGGTACAGGTTATGAGTCTGGTATTATCATTATGCTTAATAGCTAAAGTGATAGGCGGTGTTGTGCACCTGTGCAATTATTTAGTATTTGATTAATCCAAATTACATATGTAAACAAGTGTATCAAAAACCTAATCGCGTCTCATCCTTGGGAGACCAGGATGGGGCGTGACATATTACCTTGTGGATGGGGGATATTCCAATGTGATGGATTTCTTGCCCCATTTAGAGATCAAATTTATCATTTAAAATAATTGAGAGACGCTCACCAACCTAGGACACCTGAAGAGTTCTTTAACATGAAGCATTCTGCTAGAAATGTAATTGAAGGATGTTTTGGGCTACTGAAGAAGTGTGGGGCTATTTTAAGAAGCCCGTCTTTCTACCGTATCAAAATACAGAACTGTATAATAATAGTTTGTTATTTGCTTCACAATTATATTAGAGATCGTATGTCGATAGACCCAATCCAGGAAGAGGTAGATGCAACAGGTCTCGTGGTGGAAAATGATGCACATGATGATCGTATTACCACGGTTGAAACATCCTATGAGTGGTCAACATTTAGATTGAATTTGGTAAACAAAATATTTGATGAGTGGAGAGCAAGTAGACAAATAGTGCAGTTTTTTGTACTTATATTTGAGAATGATTTTATTTTTTGGAATTCTATCTCCAATGCTATTAAGATGAAATTAATTGAATTTAAAATTTTCTAATTTTATTCAACTTGTTTTTGTTTTCCGTACACTATTGATTATTTTTTAGACTTGCTTTTCATCAATTTATTTTTTAGTTCAACCTACATGTTCGAATGAGATTCCTAGTTGTCTTGATATTTTTTTTTTGGTTGGCACATGTGCTATATTGAATTCATAAAAAATTATAGTTGTTCATTTGAAACGAATGACCAATTTTGAATAGTTTTTTATTTTGATTTCTTTTTGTTAACCTATTTTTGAAGGAATTTGTTTTATAATTTTTTAAAATTTATAGGGGTTTAATTTTTTTCAATGGATTCTCATTTTTTTCTAATTATAAATTTTTTTACACAACTTTTAAAGACAATCGCAATCATAAAAAAAAAATTAGTTATTAATTATGTTTAGTAACTATGGATGTTTGGGTTAAATTTGATTTCATTCTAATGAAAAAATTGTTTTATCCAAATATAAGAATGGAATGAATATTCTATTCCATCACTTAATCCTAAACAGCTGTCAAACATTGAAATAGTAATACACATTCTATTCCATTTTCAAGTTCATTTTATTCCTAAACTCGTTCAATTCCTACTAAAAAGTATTATTGTGTACCAAACACAGCGTTAGAGTTTTAAATTATTAAACTTCAAATAAACTAACATGAATTGCCAATAACAATACTCATCTTCCACTTTAGATGGCTCACCGATTGAATCGATTATTCAGAGATCTTAGGTTTAATATATTTTATAATTTTTAAAGATTAATTATTCTTATTTTTGAGAAACATGTTTTAAACCCACTTAAACTATGATAGCCAGTATTTAAATTCGATAAAATAATCAACACAAACTTGAAAAGAAGATGTATAAGAATAACCCATCATCCTCATTATTTTATTATCCTTTAATTTTTTATAATTACTTTTATAGCTTATTAGAGAGAGAAAATATATTCTTATTACTTTTGTACTTATATTTGAGAATGATTTGTTATCCTTATACATCCCCTACATAATGTATTATAAATATTGTACAAACAATATACCCCTGGTTGAAATTTAGTTTTACTATCCTTCTATATGCCAAAATTTATACACATTAGGAAACTCAATTGATTTTGAATTTGCAAATATTCTCAGATCCTGATAATTCACATAACAATTAGATTCTTGCAAAATTAGAGGATAGAAAAACTCACATCAAAATTAATGCAATGGTTACAGCTCCTCAAATTAGATACAAATAACATTATTGTCGTCCCAAACAATGACCAAAAAACCAAAGAAAAAAGCAAAACATACATTTTCTATCAGTAATGTGCAAGACAATCGAATGGCATATGGTGGGTGGTATAGTTTTTGGTGGTTGGGACAATCATAAATAGAGTTTTGTTATAAAGTTCCCACTAACTTCCCTTCAAAAATACAATGTACATTCACTTTTGACTAGATTACAGACTTGGAATCAGAAAAGAACCTCGGCCTCAGGCCAGTTCACTAACCTTTTTCTCTCAGTACACCCACAACCACCACAAAAATAGCACAATTGAACCAAACCATGTAGGGCAACATTGGTGCCCCATCTATATATCACATTATAATTCTACAAAGCTAAAACAGTGGGGCAGGACGGGGAAAAAAATGAAACAAACAAAAATTTAGGAAAAAGAAAAACTATTGCTAGTAACTGTTTTATAGAGGTAGCAATTACTCAGCTGATGGTGGCATCATAAAGACTAAAAAATCTTCACGCCCCACCTTTTCAGTTGCACTGCACAGTATCCTCTCCAAGCGTTGATAGAACGCTGTTAAGGGTCAGGCCGGTATTGTTGGTTGATGCCTCTTTTACCGGAGAAAGCTCAACATATAGAGTGGATGGACACGAAGCAGACATGCGAGCAGATATAATCAATGACAGTAGTAGTCACCAGGCTGAATATGATGTTAAAAAATAACTTACGATCCATTTACAGTCATTTCCGCGGAGGACTTTGGCGGTATCAATGGAGAGTCATCACCGCCCCTCTGTCTATTTTCTATAGCATTGTGCACACTATCAGAACAGTTTCTAGGAGCATCTGATTCCTTGTCTATATGAATTTCGTCCTCTACACAGCTAATTGATCCCTTCTCTTTGTGATTTTCTTCGTCAGAGTTGTCGTTCACGTCCGAACAGCGAGGAACAATATGCACAGAAACTGCGGTTTTCTTACCGGGTAAAACTGCATGACTTAAAGTTGAGCATAAGGCAGCAAATACACCATCTTTTGACTTTGAGTTTTTACCTAACCGTTGCTTCTTTATCAGCTCAGGCTCCTCCTTTGAAGCCAATTTCCGTTTCAACCTAAAGGACTCTACCGTTTCCTCGTCTTCATCAGAACTATCTGACTGTTTCTTGGGCGGTGGCTTGTAGTCTTCATCATCCTCGTCATCATCATAGTCAACAAGTCCCCCCGATCTTGAACAATAAAGTGAAAATCAACATAATGTACAGTAGATGTCCACAATGTTGTAAATCAATATTATGATAGAGAATATTAAAATACCTTAAAGAAGGTTGGCTTGCAGCAGATCCATTGGGCAAAGCAGGCTGCGCCTGTACTCTGCTGGCATTAGACATAGATGCTGATGCTGAATTTTCTTCGTCACTGAGCAAGTGGCCAGATTCAGCGGTTATTGGCTGAAGAAAAATCCAGCATTACATTTGTACAATAAAACACACACCTGTCCTCATTGAAGTAGTCTTCTTCTTCTTTCTCAAGAGCACGTTCATCTACTCGTTTTCTAGGGTCCAACAAATTAGTGGCACTTTTCATTCCCGAGCTGTCTAGGGACTGCAAATGCACTCATCATAAAGCAGAGTCTCCCAAACCCAAGAGTAAGATAAAAGTAAGAAAAAATGGAAAATACCTGCTCATATTTAACCTTTAGAGAATGAATGGCAGACAAATTCTCAAATTTGACCAATTGATCCCAGAATGAATCAACCAGATATTTGAGTAATATCTTCAAGTTCTCCTGCATGAAACAAACTCAGAAGGGAACAAAATAAATACATGCAATTCTATCCATCTAACATGAAAGGGAAGGAACGGGTAAAAGCTATAAGCACCTTCCTAATATATTCAAGAAGCTCCAGGACAGCAGAGTTCAACAGATTATAACGACTGCCATTGGCGACAAAAGAATCTACAATTGGTTTCAAAAGGTTGTTCTTCACAATATGATTCATCAGGTGTTCATCCTGAAAAAAATCACACAAAGTTACCTCAAGCAAATATACACCACAAAATGATTGTCCAAATAGATACCTGACCCAGGAAGGGAAAAGAAAGAAGGGAGAAGACATTATAGACTTAAGGGAACACAATCTATACTTAACAAACGTTTAGAACAAAGTAAGGAAAGTGCACAACAATAACTAGCCATGACGAATCAGAAAAATAATCATTGGGTTGCATCATGTTAACCTTTCCTCCTATTCCTCGCTATTCTTCCATGATAAGTTCTGCTGTATAGTCATGAAGGATGCATATGCAACTGAATGCAACGGCAGTGCCAATCATGAAATTGTTAACTGGTCACTGTATGCACTGTTTGTCACAAACATACAACAAATGGGATATATGTATATACACCACAGCAAACATTATCTGAAAAGCTCCAAATCAAAGCAAGTGAAAATTCAAAACAAAAAATGTGAACAATGAAGGTAAACTTCTCAGAATCTGGAAGAAGATCTCCAACATCGAGGATCCAATCACCTAGATAAGACAACCAGGTTTGAGTGATCAGCTACTGAGTGCCGATTAGGTGCTCTCAATTCGTAAAATTTTGCTCTATTGAGAGAACATCATTAAAACTAGTTACTAGAGCAAAAATATCTTCAACTTTGTCACAACCCAAAAGCCTCAACCTCAATATCAGAAGTCTTGATTAACTAAAAAAGCCACATCCTAACAGACCTAAGATTCTAATGGTGACCCACCATTTGATTTTCAAAAGGCTGGTTCGCTGTCCAGACCAAGATAAGGCCATATTTGCATTGGCAACCATAAATTACAGCCTCAAGCTTCAAGTGAATTGCACCAGTTTTCTTATATGAATCCAACTTTAAGCCAACTTTTCTTTTAAAGAATTTAAAAAAAACATTGTAACCCCTTATCATTACAAGTGGCACGCAAATACAGTATTGTTCTGTATCTCAACCTGACCTATCTCTCTTTCCTGGGGTGATTGCAATGATTCCCAATCAACATTAGTCCAAAGTGCTAAACAAGCTCATCATCAAGGATTAAGTGAAACTAATTAAACATTAGAACACCTCAACAAGCATCCACATAGGCATCAAGGGGACATAAAACAGATGAGCGATAACTGCAAAAGAATGGAAGAATATGGTATAAAACCCAAGACTACAACAGATGGCATATTGTCACGGTTCAAGTCACACAACAATAGGGAATGCAACTTATACTAAGTGCTTCAAAAGTTGATTTTGTCTTCAGTAGAACATTTTAGACTACTTTTTTTAAATTGAGTTTGCTAGTGACAATTAATTCACCTGGTGATTGGGATCCACTTTGTCCATGACATTTCTAATTACCCTTGTTCTTAAGAACATAATTCTTAATTTAACTTTAAAATGTCTATGGCCTTGACAAACATAAAATATATGTAAATACTAGAAGTACAACACCTGATTTTTTGTCCATAATGCCAACTCGAATTCTCTGTTTTTCAACACAACAATCTCCACTCAAGGATCAAATAAAACCACTTACATTGCGGGCAATCAGAGTTCGGACAAATCGAACAGCAGCAACTACGAGGTACTTTTCCCTTCTTTGAGTCAGAAAAAGAACTTTATCTATCACATTATTAAGAAGAAAGTTGCACCTGCAAACCCAAAAGCAAAAGACATTTAAACGTTAAATACATTCTATATACAACACATTAAATCAAAAGAATATATAAGAGCCCAAAAGATTACTTTATCCTGTATGGATGGTGCAAAACACAAAAGCACAGGAGATCACATATGTTTAGAAGTATTTCAGGCTTCGTACTTGTTTGATTCCCAGTGCCTCTATCAGGACCTGAAGACTTACTGATCAATCGAACAGCGCCATTTGGAGGGCATGATGATGTTATAACATCAATTAATTGACCCAAGTGCTTCTCATAGAAAATGTCAAGAATAGTATCCCTCTGCAACAAAATTAGAAACGATCAAAGGTGCAACAAATATTTCAGGTTCACAGAGAACTACCATTAAGAGCCACAAAATATCAAAAGACTTCATTCTCACATGCAAACTTTACAGACAATTCTTCGAACAATCTACCAGAAGTATACAAATACAAACGAGCATTCAAAATGATATGCCTGCATAGATGAACTAAAATAAGTTGACTCAAATGCACTAATAACACAAAACATCACTGTAATAGTAGTACAACAACCAATGAGCAATGTGCCATCTACAGTACTAAATCAACTAAATAAAAAATGGACAGATGAAAACTTAGATAGGAAATGCATCATCATGTCAACAAACAAGAAGCAACTTTTTTTAGATTTATAAGACGATTTGACTACATAATCACTAACTCAGATACTTAAAAAACTTTTGTTTTCAAATCATGGTTTAGAAAGTTGAGAGGAAGCTTTTGCTATACTTTCTGATTCCTTCGATAATTAATTATTAGTTTTTGGCCAAAAACACACAAGGTTACTGGAAGTACAAAATCGAGATGTGGGACTCACAGGCCAGGGCAAAAAAAAAATAACGAGGCCATATTGTTTTGCGGAGGACGGAGAAGAATCAAATAAAGAAAAAAGTAATATTTGTCCCCATCATATCCTCCTCTATCAAACCAGGAACACCAAACTTTATGTTTTATAGCGCAAGTTGTGCTTCAGTTGAGAAAAACATAAAGTATAAAAGAGAAGAACAGCAAAGCATTAATTTACAAGTAAAGAAAGGGGCTGAACAAGAAGAGCAGAAGAAGGAAAATTATAAGGCTTAAGAATGGGACACTTTGTGCAATTCAAAGTCTTTGCAACTGTTATCACATGAATAACTACCCTCCCAAAAAACAAAGCAAAGACCCAAGGAAAAATGAAACCCGATTAGCCAACATATTAACCAAATGATTCAATTATTCAGGAAATAACTTTTTTTTCACAAAGTTTAAAAAGCCAAATTTCCACAAAAAATTTAGAAACACTCGCTATAGACCTCAAGGAACTTTTACCTCTGAAATATTGTACTTTGTATTTAAATAAAAAATACAATATTAGACATACCAATACACATTCATCATTAACATCCATAATCCAATAATCAATAAAAATTACAATTTTTATTTTTAAAAAATTCCACTTCGTAACCCTAATTTTCATCAATTCCCAATTTCATAATCCCATTTTTCATCACATTACTTTCATATATAAAGTTTTTTTTTATTCCAATTTAAAAAATTATATTATATCCATATCAAATGTTCATGGAGTGATGTAACTTTTTTTACCTCATGTCTTTGATTCATATTTCTTTTATGGTTTTCTTAATTATAAAGTAATTTGACAATTTTTCAAAAATTTGAGAAAAAAACTCAAAACGTGATCAGAAAAAAAAATTAACAATAAAAAATTTGGACACTCAATTTATCATGTCTGACATGTGTCTGAGCATGTCCGTGTCTAAGACGTGTCCAACACCGACATTTTGACCAAAATGAAGTGTTCGTTGTTCCTAGAAGATAAATTAACTAAAAGGGAGAAATAAGTAAATTGTGACATCATATCGCCCGATTATACTAATATTGGAAGGATCCTCCGAGGATAAGTAAATCCTATATCTAGTCCATTAATGTGAAATTGTATGCCATTATATCAATGTAGTTTACTATCATCAATTTGTTAGGAGACCGAGCGTACCAAAGTAGAAAATTATAATGATTGCTCTCATAGTCATAGTCACAAATCCTTTTCGTTAGTATAACTTTTATGCATTTTTTTGTTTTTTCTAGCAAATTTGAAGTTAAATTTAAAAACGGTTAGTCGGAAGTAGTATATAGTCATTCACTGAATAACATAATCATTAATCAATATTTCATGCTTTGTTAATTAAATGCATCAGCATGTTTAATCTTTATTTGTAAAAACCACCTAAAGAAACTTCTAACATGTAACCAGTCACCATGGGAGTATTGCACACAGACATTAAGTCTTTATCTGCTATTTAAGAACATGTGTCCAAAAAGTGTTGGTATCCCTTCTTAAATTTATAGATAAGCAAATGTGGTTCTCATGTTCGAATCCAAACATAGGTAAAAAATTATCCCTAGAATAAATTGTTTTGAGCACCAAACAATAGTTGCCTAAAAGGGCACATCATTGTAATCATTATACTCCCTAAATAAAAGAGTTTTATTCGAGTCCAGGAATAGCAAATCCAATTATCTGTAAAGATTACATCAATTAAAAGTTTTATCTCCAATTTCTTTTAAAAAAATAACTTCTCTTCCCCATGCTCCCCCCACCCCCTTACTCTTGCTTTCCTCTCAATTAAAAACACTTATCTCATTGAGAAATCTCTCCTTGACACAACACATATGCATGCACACACAAAATCCTCAAGTGCAACTCAACAAAAAAAGGAAACTTCAAATTTTCTATAGAAATTCGAGTTTCCCATTAAAAGAGTTATTTATAAAAAAACTAACAACCAAGGCACCTGGGATCCTGATGCATACGAATCCAAAAGACTTCGAAGAATTTCAAGAAATTGGCAATGCATATCATCCCCAAAATCTGTTATCATACCTTTTACCTGCAAGTGCACAACCACAATATCATTTATTTCCAATGATAAGCAACTAGAAAAATAAATAGATTGTACAAAAAATACGCGTGGTTACGTGACACTACAAGCTAGATTCTTAAGGTTGTCAACCACAAGAAGAGAAGAGGACGGGAGCAGACACAATAAATTGGAAAAAAAATGAATTAACGAAACAAAAAGGAAGAAAAAAGGAAAAAGAAAACGAGGAGCAATTGGATAAACGTATAAAGATCTTAAAAATATTAGACAAAAACGAATCTCATAAAATTTCAAGAACATTACGAAAAAAGTGTATATCCCACTGCTTATGGTACATAGGCACATGTCTAAAGAAAAAGAGCCATATATATCCCCTAAGCATAACAACTATGCCATTTTTTGTATGTACCATGGCCATTATGTAAAATAAGATTCCTACTCAACAACTGATACAAGGAGCGTCAGACAAGTTGACACAAATTTCCCATATAAAAAAAGGCGACTTAACCATATTTTCTCTAAGCATACTAACATTACATGCCTCCTTGAATGGATATGCCATAGCCCATTATATTAACAACTCATATCAGGAGCGCCAGACGAGAAGACAAAAATCCCAAATGCAAAACGGCATCTTAGGTTTGGACTTTGGATTCTTAGAGATGACAAAAATCCCAAATGTGAAACGGCACCTTAGGTTTTGGACTTTGGATGCTTACGGATGTAATTGCTGTTACCATCAAGTGGAAGACATGAAATCTTGCCTCCTCACAAGAAACACCCCCCCCCCCCCTATAATCATCTGGAGAATAACTAGCATAGAAATTAGAGGACCCCTAAAAAGAAATTCAGTAGCACTGGCAACTCCACTCCTTCAAAAGCCCTTCTATCGGATCAAGTCAGATAGTCCACAAGCTACAATAAAGGCAACTTTGTCCTTGTCTGACCCTTTTCTCACAACCACCACATTGCTAACTTCTAATCAATCCCTCTACTAAACATGGAAGCACACCCGATCAATACCAAAATTGTAAAAAGGAACAGCTAGGCTCAATACAAAAACTCTAGCAACAGTACAATGCAACACTGGTGATTAACTCTCTTCTACGATACTCCATATGTGACTCAGCATCACTTTATTCTTGCACCTCCTCACAATACCCTTCTTAACACCCCCCCCCCCTTTTTCTTTCTCTTTTTTCATCCCTTTCTTCTGATATCCCTTGCTCTGGTTCCTTTATATCATGACAGGTAAAAATTGCCTCTATATCTATTTCCAATAAAAGAGGAATTCCATTTACCCCTTAAACCATGTAAAAAGATTTCACCTTGTCATTCCTCAGGATCCTCCCTATGTTTATTGTTGTAAAACTGTTGCAAAACCCATCCAACTGTCTCCAGCTCATGGAGCTGCACCACCTAATAGAAGGGAGGTCTCAGAACACGTCACCAGCTCCAAAGCATTTCTATTCCCAAAAACTTGAAATACTACCTGACATCCTAAAAATCATATCATAGCAACTGTTTTGAGCTTCTTCATGATAAATTGCATTCACAAAAATACAAGCACATCTGATATGCATATTTTAGAAGAACCAATACAATAAAGGACGAAGAACCCTTGTTGATGGGGAAGAAAAAAAAAGCAATATTAAAGGAAAGCATAGGAAGGGAGAACTACTAATAACCACAACCAAGTTATTTTAGCTTCCAAAAGAACAGTCTATCAACATCCAGATTTTGTTGTGTGGAAACATTTTGTCAACAATGTCTTTCCCCTTGAACTTTCTTGGATATGAATGCGGCTATTTCTTCGTACATTCTTTCTAGGCTCTGGTTGGGGTCTAGTTGGGGCTGGGGTTGGAATTAGGCACACCACAGGCAGTTCAACTTGAAAGATTGAAAATTAATTATCAGAATCACCCAGTTCTGTATATTCCACATCATCCGTTGATATACATAAATATCCGTTTTCAATTATATAAGTTCATCATAGAACCTCAAATCTTTCTTTGTTATCAGCTTAAGGGGGCAATCCCGCTTAGTTTTCTTTTTATAGGTGCACTATTTTGAAGCTTAGGCACTAGTAAATTATATGAAAAAAGATGTAACAAGTTGCATACCAAGAGTCCAAGAAGAGGGACACCTTCCTGCCGAGTGACATAAGATCGCAGAAGGTTCGGGTCCTGGTTCAGCAAAAGAATAAGGATGTCTGTCCTGCATCCATTACAATCACAAATCATAAGGACCTTATCATTAGGCCATCAACACAGACAGCAGGTATGGGGAACAAATCTTAGCAAAATGGACAAAGTATATGTCCAAACATGATAATCTGGATCATTACCCAGTTAACACAAGCTTTTTATCTTGACTCTGCAAAACATCAGCAATGATGTCAAAGATGCCCTCGCTCACAAGATCCCTACAGGCATTAAAAAAAATTTCTATTGTGTTACAAATACACAAGTGAAATCATTTGCAAGAGATAAAGCAGTTTTTAGACCAAAAATTATTCTTTTTTGGACAAATCATACTCAGCCCAAAACATGCAAATTTGTTGTGCATACCTAAATAACCGGAGTTGCTGGCCCATCTGCAAACTCTTGCTTAGACTACAAAACTCGTGCAAGAAATGTACCTATTTTTATTTGAAATGAATCACACAGAAAGATTCCACTGAGAGGTATACTACAAGAAAATAGGCATCCACATACAAAAAGAAAGGAAAGAAACGCACACACACACACGGAGCAAAAAGGAAGACTCCAACTGATAGCCACAATCAAACATGCGTAGCAAAGACTGCTTGAGAAGATACTGTTAGAGCATCTAGGCTCAGAAATTGTTTATGGGTAAAGTGGCCCAAAAGTGTATAAACCCACCCAGGGTATACCTAATCAATGTAAAATCTCCTCACACCCTCCATCACGTGTGACATGGACTCATACATGTGCTAAGCGCGAAACTGAAACAGACAAACAAACAAACTAGGACTAAAGCAAAACAGACTCACAAAAAATTGGAGAATTCAAATGGGTGAATGACTTAATTCACCAACTACCTAAAACACAACTCTAATACCATGTTAGTGCATCCAACCAAAAGCAATTGGTAACGGGTGGAATGGCCCCTCAATTACACATAACAATCTTGGACGCATATAATCTTTCGATGTTGATGCAACCTCCCTTCAATGTAATTAGGCTTTGAAGGCCGTTGTAAGTTTTATACGCATAATGAATTTACCTATAGATGCAGGTGTGGTGGCAGCAGGGCAACAAATTGCCAACAATGGTTGGTGGCAATGGCAAAAATCAGTTGACAATTGCATAATTTTCATCATTCCGGGCATATCATTTAATTGGTCAGTTACTCTTTCTTTTCATATTCCAATGGACAATATTAGGGTTGTCTTCGAGGAATCAGATTAAATGAATAAAAGTGTTGCCTCATAGTTCATTCTCAAAGTAGAAACTTTTGTCAATAAAAAACACAAATGTAGAAAATATGCAGTATGACAGAAGAGGAATGGAACGGTTCGTGATAGTGGTGGATGTCGATGGTGGTTTGGAACAGAGGTTGATTGGCTATGAATGATACACAATGGTGGTGAACTCAACAGAGGTGGTGACTGGTGGTCAATAATGTTGGAGGCAGAAGCAACTGACCCCAATGGTTACAGCTTGCTGAATGTGATGATTTAGACAAAACATGGCAATAAAAGCTTACAATAATGGTGGCAGAGAATGTCAATTCGAGAGGGCTATCGTGGCTGTGCACATGGACATAGAAGTAATGGAAAAGGAGGTTGGAAAAAGTCCATTCTAGCCACTGGCATCTATAGTCAGTGGACCTCCTCCTCCCCCCCAAACACAAAAAAAAAAAAAAAGAAAGAAAAACTGGTGCCGTCTGCAGTTGATCAAGTGAAAAATGGTTTTTTTCATGTTGTGAAAGAGTGGAACAATGAAAAACAATGGTGCAGTAGTGCACCTGGACATGTTTTAGTGAGCCCATAAATTAGTTCCACCACAGATGTATGCAAAGGGATTGAGAGTTGACGATGTGGAAGGTAATTGTGGTCAGCGGGAGCCAGCAACCATGAAGATTGAACAAGTCGATTCTATCTGTCTTTGCTGGTCCATGGCCCTGCAAAACGCTATCTTCCAAACTCACAGCAACCTCATGATCTGTAGCCGTAGACCAAGATATCGTCTGATGAAAACAAGGAGGTCATCAAATTGAAAAATTATCTACCAACGTCCACTTATGTGGCTTATCCTGAATTGGCTATTCTCCTATGACTTATAGACAAAAACAGTATAGAATGTTGACTTGGAAAACAGGGTGTCTAAAAATCCAGACACTGGACTAATGGAGACAGAGCTGCACATATGTGTAGTGTACAATTATATGGTAGTCCATCTTCTAGATATTCTCTCCTTTATAATAAAATCCTTCACAGTTTGTAATCAGCATGACCAGATTGCTTGATAACCAAAAAGAATAGGGTAAATTTTAAAGAATTCAGAATGATAATTAAAAAATACACAAATTTTCTTAATCCTTAACAAATGAACTCTTCAGGCAATTTTCCCCTTCTATAGATGTTTTCAGCTTTTCATTAAAAGATATTTGTCATTCAACCTTCACAAAGATGTAGTGCTGCACTTGACAGACTTAGCACACCTAATGGAGGAAATTAAGTCGTCCTTGACTGTAGTAAGGATAAAGCAGCTTCAAGTCCGGATGGTTTTACTATGGCCATTTTTTTAGGTTTGTCGGGAAGAGAAGAATGATCATTTGACGAGGGTATTTGGGGAATTCTTTCAAAATGGGGTTGTGAATGCAATTACAAATGCAACATTTATTTTTCTTATCCCGAAAAAGATAAAGTCTTTGAAGTTGAAAGACTTTAGACCTATACCCCTAGTTAATAGCTTGTATAAGACTTGAAGCTGTAACTTGCTAAGGTTCTTTCTGCTAGGATTAGGGAGTGTTTTAAGTCGGACTATTTCACCTTCCCAAGGGGTTTTTGTGAAAGGTAAACAATTATGGATGTGGCTTTGGTTGCAATGAAATTGTTGATGATTATAGAGTTAGAGGTGAGGAGAGAATTGTATTGAAAAGGCTTATGGACTAGCACTTTTCTCGATTTTGTCCTATCTAGAAGTAGAGAATATGAATTTCTCTGTTATTCTTAACGGAAAATCGAGGGGTAAATTTAGGGCAACCAGGGGGTTCCTTTATCCCCGTTCTTGTTTACTTTGGTGGTAGATGGGTTGAGGAGACTCATGGAAAGGACGGAGAGATGTAATTTAATTGAGGGTTTTATGACCGGGAAGGAGAGGGTTATGGTTTCTAACTTGCAATTTAAGGATGATACCATTTTCTTTTCTTCATGATATGAGTTCAAGTTCAAAAATTTGAAGAAAATTGTTGATTATTTTGGGATTGTTTCAGGGCTTAAGGTTAACATGGAAAAGAGTATGGTTGTGGGTATTAACAATAATCAAGAAAAAATTGATAGAGTGGTTTCTGAGTTGGGATGCTCTATGGGTGCTTAGCCTTTGAAATATATAGGACTCCTTTTAGGGAGTAATCCTTTGCCTAGGAATTTTTGGGATCCAGTTATTAAGAAGGTGGGGGAAACAATTAGATGGGTTGAAGAAAGCCCTTATATCTAGGAATGGTAGGTTAACGCTTGTTCAATTTGTTTAATAGCTAACATTCCTATTTACTACATGTCTCTTTCAAGCTATCTGTTTTGATAGCAAGAAAAATTGAAGGAATGATGAGGGATTCCTTATCGAAAGATAGAGGGGAAGGAAGGAAGGATCATTTGATTTCCTAAGAGGTGATGTCTAGATCTAAGGATAAAGGAGGTCTTTTGGTTGAAAATTTTTTGAAAAAGAATGAAGATTTGATTGGAAAATGACTTTGGAGATTTCCTTTAGAACAAGATTCATTATGGTGCCGAAGCAAGTATAGAGTGCAAACTAATGATTCGAAGTCCTTGGAAGTTTATTTATCAGGGATTACCACTCTTTTCCCACAAATTAAAGTTCATTGTACGAGATGGAACAAGGGTTCGTTTCTGGGAAGATATTTGGGTAAGAGATTCTTTCTTTCACATTATTTTCCCCTGGATTTATCGAGTGTCTAGAGCTAATGAGGCTTCTTTCTTTGATCAATAATGTCTCCTTGAATCATAGTAGTTTTCTCATTTAAATCCTATTATGAGTCTTTAATTCATACTCCTTCAATTCTTTTATTTCTTCCTTCGAAGGTGATTTTGGAAGCCAAATCGCCTTTAAAGGTGGAAATTTGTACATGAATAATTGTTTACGGTAAGATTAATACTAATGATGTGCTTCAAAGGAGACCTATGATTTGGCACTACATCGGTGTATTATGTACAAAGATGATAGTGAGTGTGTGAATCATTTATTCGTACATTGTCCCATTGCACTTTCACTATGGAGCAAGTTGTTTTACCATCTGGGAATTCGTTGGGTGAGGCTGAGTACTCTGTCATCTATGATTTGTTTATAGATGTTATGGGTGGGGGAAGCAATAGAAGATAGAGGTAGGATTGTGCTTTTTATGCTACCAGGAATGTTTGGTTAGAAGGAATGCAAGGATTTTTGGGATAAAAGTGAGACAGTTGAAACACCATGGGATCGGCTTTACTTTTTGGCCACCTTTTGGGCTTCGATGACTAAGGAGTTTGAATTTGTTCCTCTTTTTTGCATCACATCGTGCTGGATTGCTGGATGTAGTCTTGATTTTCCATTGTTTACATTTCGATTAGTTATTCGTTTGGACAGCTTGTCCAACTTCGACTGAATTTGTATTGTTCACATGTATATTTTATTATCAATAATATTATCATTTCTTATCGGGGAAAAAAAAAATTTAGTTGCAATGGAAAAGTAAAGCCTCTAACTCTTCCTCCACCCTTGATGAGGTTCAAAGACAGCCTTTTTAAAGAGTCGGAGTTGATGAGAGATAGTTAAGAGTACAGCTGGTTCCCCAAACATAATCTTGCTAGAGACAATTATGTCTCACAAGTGGATATCAAGCAGCCACCAATGAGTAAGCCACTAGAATTAATATCATTTTGGACCAGCCTCTAGCAAAACACATTAGCTTTCACAAAATTGAAAATAAAGAGTAATCTGAAAACAGTACCAGCACGACTTGTTCACTGAAACAACATAAATCATAAGCATACTATTTTCTCAAGAATAAATCAGAAAGATTAACTACTCTTGATCAGTGAAAACAATTATTTATGACATACATTATGCCAAAACCATAAAGAGCAATTTCCAGGTAACAGTCATTTAAATTCATCAGCATTTATATCCTGGCACTAAGAAATGAAATTTCATGCTGGAGAGTGATTTTGACTCGGACCTCGCTACCAAAAATTGAAAGAGATGTCCATCTCTCCAATCATTCAACATCATTACATATAAAAGAAAACACCTAATCGAAGGAAGAGAAATGTCCCTCAGATTGCAACCTAACAAGAAAATTCATGACTTTAACTAAGATAAGAGAGTGAAGAATGACCATTTACCAAATTTTGCTTAGATTCAGCGGAAATTGTAGATGATTTCAATCTTGCAAACATTTCCTGAATGAATGTGCTGTCATCTTTTAACAAAGAAATGACCTAAAATAAAATAAATGAATTAGAGATGAAAAAGAAAAGCCATGTGTCAGATAAGTGACCAATTGAATCTAAAATCTTACATGTGCATTATTTGCATATATTATGGAATTGAGATTTGCAACAGTGGCATCATCCAATACTCTAGGCAAAACAACATCCTGTAAGAGGAGATATAAAAGTAAAAATTTTCATCACAAAAGAAGCAAGTAATCTTCAAGCCAACATTGGAGATCATCACAAAGACAGGCAAGTACTCCACAAAGCATTGATGATCATTACCTTCAGATAACTAACTCTGTAAGTCTGGTGAATCTTCGAGAGAACTACAGGATCTTTAATGGGTATAGCCTATACACGTGCACAAAATGCAACAAATACACAAAACAAACGAAGATGCTAAAATTTTACGACAACCAGCAAACCTCCATACCCTATCCTGTAAGATAACAGTAATACATACCTCCTTAAACACCACATGTTCTCTTAGAAAATTGCGATGATGCACATGAGGTACATCAGGATCATCTGCATAAGAATTAGGTAGATCATAGTCATTACACGAACAAATCACAGGGGAAAATGGAACCAGAGGAAGTATCCTCTGAACACACTCATGAACAAAAAATGAAACCTTTTTTCTTCTGCCCACAACAATTTGCGGGTCATTTTATATACCAAAGCTATATCCCAGAATAAATCAATTATGTTGGTTTGCTGGAAACTTGTTGAAGCATTAAAATCATGAACCAACAAGCATATCACAAATGTTAAGGAAGGAGTCAAAAAAGCACTGTTCTAAACACCTCTGGAGTAACATGCACTCACTGGATGTACATTTATATCGACGAGCAGCTTGGCAAAAGATCTAAAAAAGAAAGAAAAAGGAGGGGGAACAACATTACCCAGTTTTGGCAGCAGAGAAATTGCAGAGAATATGGAAGAAGATAACAAAAAAGAACAATGAGCTGTGGCCATAAAAGCTACAACCACACGCAAACTGTTTATTATTCTTCTATGATTGTTTGATTTATAATTATCACCTTCATGTAGTTGAAGGAATAAACCACATCCAATGAATCAGAATATAATGATTGAGGAACAGTATTCGTGTAACACAAATCTGAATGTAATGATTGAGGAAATCACTCCTATGACTATGGATTTCAATATATCCCATCCCAAAGTCAAGTAGAAAAGTTCTCTCTAAGCAAGTAGTAAGAACCACTAATCAATACAAAAAAACTAACACAAGCCAAGAAGCAGTCTCATATAAGGGAACTCCAGCTATGAGGGTCATGGTCACAATAATTATGTTAGGGTGTAATCCTTCAAGCAACAAACCATAAGTATACAAACGAAAGCAATCAAAAGGGATTTTTCAGACCCAAAACATAAACAACTTACATTCAAGGCATCCAATAACATCCATGATCAATTCATCCCCAAATATTTTCTCAAAAATTTGAGGACTATTGAGAAAAACTGCAGGTAGGCGGGAAAAAAAGTCAATTACATCTAAAGAAAATGAATGCAACTAATACGATAATCAATATTTTTCCAGAGTTGAAAGTTAGGGTACTAACTGATCCCCCTGACTATTTTGAAAATCGTGTGAAGACCATCCATATTTTCCAAATCTTCACAGATCCCAAACAGGTCCATCAGCTTCCGAAAAAAATCTTGCTGCATAAATAATTTAATTATACTTAAACAATTACAAATGTTGATTACTCAGGCCATGAATTAATCACTGTTAGGAGAACCATAGAAAAAAAAAACAAAGACATCTATGCATATTAAAATATACATACATACAACAAATACACATATCTATATCCACACACATACATTTATATATACATAAACATGCAAGCACACATATATATGTATCGGAAAAAAGGAAAAGCTGAGTTTCCAAGGAAACTGTAACAAGAGACAATATTTTTAACCCAATTTCACATAAAAGGATGTTTATGTTCCTGTTTTATAAACAATTTCCCACATTTTAGCATAAACACACAGCAAACACCATTTTGCCTTGAGCACTTATAAGAAATTTCTCCAATGGGATGTGCATTGCCGAGCAATCTACTTGCATGCAAAGGTAATGGACGAATTTTATACCAAAAAAATAAGCTAATCTGATCTGTAGTTGCTTAAAGCTTCTTAGATTGCTTGGGTTTATTACAATTTACAGGTCATTAAATCACATTTCGATGAATAAATTAAACAATGAATGGTCAGTCAGCCTTCCCAGAAATATTGATTGTTGCAAAACAATTAGTGGTGGTTGTTGTGTTTTTTTTAGTGTGTGAAAAGGTCAAGTCAATTATTTGACAAGGCCATTTAGACATGCAGTAGAACAAAGGTGGAAATCAGTTCACAACCAAAATTTGCAAAATGAATTCATTCTATGCATGACATATGCAAGGCTATAGCACAGGCATTTGGTCAACCAGCAAGGCCATCTAAGGCTCCCTGAGGCTTTCTATGGCAGCTATTACCCATCTCATATTTGACTCATACAATGGAAATTTCAAATTACTAGAATGTCGATAATAAAGAACATGGAAATTCTTAAGTTGGAAATCAGATTCATCATTATGCAGAGCATAACGGAAGCATGGAATATAATGAAAGTGTATAGTCATCACCATCAAATACACTCCAGTACAATAAAAATTCTCAAATACAATCATGTTGTCCATCAGATACTCCTGAATATCACAATATGATATCGTTCTACGATAGATAAAAAAAATTCTAATCACCATGAACTAAGAAAAGATTGAACAAAGCTCACATCATGCAGTATGAGTTCTGTCACAAGCAACTGATCAGCAATGCCACCCTCAGCCACAGTCTGCAAGAACAAAAGAAATATATAAGCTTACCTAGACATTAAAGACCAAAGCTAAAATGACACAAGCAAAACTTCAATGATAAGGAAAAGAAACATAATCATGAGGAAGCACCAACGCAATATTACCTATCTATTGCAATAATTTTGCCAACTATTTGTACCAGGAAGACAATGGGAGGAAATTAACCACCTTTATACATACTCAGGGATACCACAAAAAAAAATTCCTATCAGTAAGATCCCAAGATATAAGGCTTTCCAGAACATTACGAATGTAAGTGGAGGTTATTGAAGGTCGCTCACTATTTCAGATTAAACACTAAATATCTGCTCATTTCCTTTCAATGTTACCTCAGTGGTTCTCATGCTCAAATAACAAAGCAGCAGGAATAAGAACAACAAAAAAAACAATTCTCAACAGGAATTGGAAAAGCCAAAGCAGTGATCTTCCAACAATTCCCACTGTAAGTCCCTATGATAATCCAATTATCTTCAACGTGAGCATTTCTAACATGAAACATACTCATCCTGAGGAGAAGCAGTAAAGATATGTAGGCAATAAAGATTTCTGATGTGATGAATATGTCCGACAACAAATTAACTAGAAAGTTAACAAGTTTATAGTCTAAGTCACCATTTCTCATCAGAAGAGGACATGTCAAACTAAAAGGACAAAAAAACATCCTGTCATAAAGGCAACATAGACGATGACAAGTGTAGAAAATAAAAAAGATTAAGATTCTATTTAAATTCCCGAGAAAAATGATAAGAAATAAATACTATGAAGTTTCCTTAGACATGTCAATCACCAAGATATACCATTAAAAGTAGGCAAGTTTCCGGGCAAGCATGAAACGTTCATGTATTAAGAACATACAATTGGAGATGAAGAGTACAAGAGAAAGGCAAGGTGGAGGAAGAATTTCTACATGGTATCCAATTATAAACTCCCAATCAAATATCAGTAGTTAGAATGACATTCACATGCCTGTATCAGGAGTTGACAAAAACCTCAGTGATCACATATATAGCCAAGAGATATGCCATACAAGTTAGAAATATAGAACACCCTTCTGACTAAAAAAATATTAAACATCCAATTGTATCTCAGCACTCATTTGGGGGTGACCACTTACATCCTGCGGCATACATATCAAGAATTACAGGAGGGGCAGTAATAATCGTGAAGGGATCAACCAGAGCCAGAAAATATTCCAAGAATGCCAAACAACACGATAATGAGTCCAATAAGCTTACATTATGCCCCAGGAACAAAAAAAGTCAAAGCAAAATTGTAGCAAACAGTAAAAGAATAGAAATTGTAAGCTGAAGAATACCTTGAGTATTAAAGGAAGTGTAGATAGCTCAACTGCGGGCAATTCTCTCAACTCACTATTGACACTATGATATGTCTCATCTGAAGAAATAACAAAAAGAAATAATAACTATCCATGACATCACGCAAAATTCTAGATTTCATGCATAAGGTTACTTGAAACAGCATAAAAACAAACACTGAAAGCTAACATTTTCTATCAGAGGATGTAAGGATTCAGGCCTGCTCTATGCAAGACATTTCAACCATTCCAAGCAGATATAGATTTATTTCTTCCGGTGGATCAGTAAAGATCTTTTCTAGTCCATCAAAATAAGTTCTTTGAGCAGACCAGAGCAATAGGTACAATTTAACCATGAATAATTTCCGGTGGGATATATTACAGGTCCAAAACGAGGTGGGCTTGGCCAAGAAGATTTGGAATTAGAGGACTAGTTATCCCACTTTCCCCATGCAACATATTTTTATGACATATGTATTTTCTCTACATTGTGCCCACATCTAGGCCTGATCTTATGGAAAGGGCATCAACAGCTAAAAGGTTGCATCTTGTTAAAAATTCACTTTTGTGGCCCAACTGAAAGAAAAAATACAAAAAAATGTTACCACAAGCACCGGATAAGAGATTGGAAAGATAATATTGTACTTTTTGGTGGCAGAGTAAATATTTGTTTGAAATTGGAACCTTGCATTGGTTGCCAGCGTAACTTTGCACTATGGAATGGATGCTAAAGTTCAAATGCCATCATCTATCTTCAGGAGACAAGTGTTTATTGAGTTAGAAGGTTGCGATTCCATTGTTTATTTCTAGTAGCGACCCACCCAAAATGAAGGGAACAAGGAAAAGAAAGAAGGCCTATGTAAAATTCATATAGCTGCTTCCAAAGAGTTTATGGCCCCTACTGTAATGATTAAGTCTAGGACGTGATCTCTCTTGCATGGCTGTATCACACACTCAACCAAATTGCAATGTAAATTTCACAAACTAGCACTCAACTCAATGTGACCCATTATTATGAGTCTTCAAATTAAATTGCCGACTTAGTTAAAATTTTAACCAAAAAGGCTCAATGGAGGAGGGAGGCAGATAGATAGATAGATAAAAAATGGGAATCATTTTCAGTTTCCAATTTTTGATCCATTGATGATGTTCCAAAAGGCAATAGGACTCCTGTACATGCCTTATGTCATTAATTGTAAACCTTAGGCAATTTCAAATCCACCCAGATCTGCAAGTAACATGCCCAGGACATTTCTTCTAGGGTTGCGGTCAATTATCAAACCGCCATTGTCCTATGAAAAAGGCCAAGAAGTCAAAATGCTCTACCTGGCTTGTATCATATTCAGATATAATCCCCCATGCATTAAGCAAGACCAGGCTTCAAACCTTACGGAGGCATGGAAGTTGGGAGATAATGACTATCAAGTAAATATGACCATGCTTTTTGAAATGGTTAAATGATTATCGCAAACACTTACTGGTAGGGGTACTGAAATGCATATTCCTTTGCACACGGCAAATGTTTTCCCTGCATTAAAACAAAATATCTCCTTAGACTATGCTGCAGTCACCATTAGGTAATAAGCAAACCAAAAAGGCTAGAGGGTCAAATAGCAGTTACCATATGTAAGAGCACCCATTAGTCTCTTGAAAGCTAAGAGCTAATTCCGTTGCATACTCTGGATCTCTCCAAGAAATAATGGTATCTAATTGTACAAAGCATATATTAACCAATAGCCTGGGAGGAAAAAACTTATTTATAATGCTCCCATGAAATCAAAAGGCTACCTTCTTGCTTCCTATAGATATCATCTGAGCTGATTCGGTGCAAAAGTAATGTTTCATTGTCATCTTCATCAATAACAAACAAACCTAGTTCTTCAGATTTCTGTAGAATAACATTTGGTCAATCCAAAATCCAAGATGACTCAAGTCCTCAACCAATCTCTTATATAGAGAAGCTCCAAAATTACAAATGACAGTGTTGAATATACGTAACCCCAGTAACAGTCATACCTCTAAATAATCAACAGTGACATGCCCAGTTCCTTGGTCATCCCATTTCCCATCTTCATTCAGTTGGTAGACCTTAACACGCTGGAATTTAAAATGACATAAGAAAGTGCAAAATGAGCAAGTTTGCAAGTCATGAAGAGAACAGTAGGCATAGAATTGAAAAACAACTAGGATAAATATAGAATGATGAAATTCCCCTAGAAAAGTGCACACAGGAAAAATATAAAAAAAATCTTACAAACGAAGCTTATTGATTAATTAATGGAGACAAGTGATTCCTACAAAACAAAATAATGCATTGAACATGCTTCTACCAGTAGCGCAAGGCCCAGCCGCCCAAGGTGATACGATACAAGCATGTTACCAAAGGCACTCACTTAGCAACAAGATGTCCCAAGTGACCTGGGTTATAAGCTCAGTTATTTGAGCACATGTATAAGATCAGTCGTTTGAGCCGGCAAACTAGCTGAGTAAAGGTACAGGTCGAAGCTTGCCCAATAAGGTGAAAAAAAAATGAATAATTTAATCACACTCGAACCAACACAACTCCTCAAGGCGTTACTAGGCCTAAAAAGAAAACTAGCACCGTAACCCTAATATGGAATTAAATCAACAGTTATCCAATCCCTGTCTATATTTACAGCATCAAAAGCAGGTAAGTTAAACACCAAATTCGATTAGACCACTGAATTTAAGACAGTTTTAAGAGAGAGAAAAACCTAAAACACACTTAGCTAGTGATTCGATACCCCGAGTATTAACAACTACACTAATATTGTCTGCATCTCTAGGGCTCAAACATTAAGCTTCGTGTGACAGTGAAACAGACTCACCTGCATCGAATTGTTCGTACTTGGTGATTTCTCCGGCGCTCCCATCACAGCTTCTTTATTTACTCGGTCAAATTTAAACTGTAATTAGTGCAGAGATTCAATTGTTGATGAAGTTAAAATTAGGGCTCCGAGGACAAGGAGAGAGAAAGACAGGGATTAAAATTGGAGGTTTGGGTGGTTTGAGGAGTCAGTTGAAAACCCTCATCACCATTGACGTAGCAGGAACCTTCGAAGCTATCTCTCTCTCTCTCTTCTTTTTATTCTTCTGTGTGAAGTGTCCGTTCTCGACCTTTGAAGCACAGAAAGAAATGAACTATGTACTGGAAATGGATACTGGAATCTCCGTAATGTCCTTCAAGTTTGTTTGAATTTACGAGGAATGCCACTGAATTGTAGTGTGATCACCGCCCCGGGGGGGGGAACTTTACGCGCTTTCGATCTCACAAACCAATCACGAGTGACCGAATGAGCTCTAAAATGTACTCCCACAAAAAATCATATGGATTTATGTCGTTTACAATTAAGGACGAGTAATTAATAATTCATGAATAAAAAATTCATCTGATATTCTAGGGACAATTCCCCTTATGCACGGAATTTGCACACATTTTTTTTTTCCGTCTTCTTTTTTTTTTTATTATTATCACAACATTTAAAAAGTAAGATAAAATATTAAAGCGATAAAATAATTAAGACAGTCCATCTAGTTTATCATATCTTTAAGGACACCTCCTCTAATTTTTGAATCTTCAATGACGCCCCTTCTAATTTAATTTAAATATTACTAACACCCCCTACCATTAAACTACTATTTCTAACAAAAAAATATTCATCTAAAATACCAAAAATGCCCCTACATAATCTCAAGTAATTTTTTTACATAAACTTTTATTAAAATTTGAGCTGTTAAAATTTTTAAAAAAATCATAAATAACAATTTTAGTAAATAATTTGTTAGTAAATACTAATTTGTTATTTACTAATTCGTAAATTTAAAAAAAAATAAAGCATATTAAATTATTTTTTTTACATATTAAAATTTGAACCGATTTGAACTCTACACGAGTTGTTAGCGCCGATTAAAATTTTCTTTCGAATCAATTAAAATTTATATTTTTTTACTTATTAAAATTCGTGTCAATTAAAATTATATTTTTTAAAATTTGGACCGATTAAAATTCAATGTGAATTAATTAAAATTTGATTTGAGTCTATTAAAAATAATTTTTAATTGGCTCAAACAAAATTTTAATTAGCCCAAATTATAATACGTAAAAAATAATAATTTTTAATTGGCACAAATTTTAATATGTAAAAAAATAAATTTTAATTAGCTTGAATCGAATTTTAATCGATTCGAATTTAATTACATAAAAAAAATTAGAAATCAGAGGGGGTTTCATTAAAAATATACTTATCTAGAGAAGGTCTCATTGAAAATATGTTTATCTGGAGAGGGGTGTGGATAAAATTTGTCCTCAAATATATCATGGGCAATTTAGTAAAATTGCATTCCACTTAATATTTTTAATCTGACAGGAGGTGTCATTGAAAATTCAAAAACTAAAAGGGGTGTCCTTGAAGATATGGTAAACTAAAGAGAGTGTGGTTAAAATTTTTTCAATAATTAAAAAAAGTTAAGGTGATAAAATTATATTTTCAAAATAATTTAAATATTTTTAAAAAACTTTTAAATCAATGGTAACTAATTACTGAGGAAGAGAGGTAGTTATATGAGACTGTTGTTATGATATAATTAGTTAAAATTATTTGTGATAATTAAATATTTAAAAACTTTAATAAAGAAAAATGAGAAGAAAAACTTTTTAAGTCATTCCTCACCTAATTTAATTATTTTTATATAAATCGTATTTCTTGCAAGGCTTGTTGAGCTTTTTTTATGTGACAGGCATCGCATTCCTCACCTAATTTAATTAATCCCTTGAATGATCGTGGAGAGAGGGCACTGTTAAAATATACGAATTTATGACTCATTAATTAATTACCAAATAAAATAGAAAAAGGTAAATGAAGTTGGTTAAATAAGCCATAAAAAAAGATTTAATTCAAAAAATATTTAAATAATTAGATAGATCTCGTCAATGCTTCTTGAACTATAGTCTTAATTTTAAATTATCTTCTGAACTTTCGACTGTCCTAATTTATTTATTAAAATATGCAATTCATTTCAATCAACTCTCTCGGTTAAGATTGTGTAATTAAAGAAGATAAATTATTATTTAAAATATGAATATTGCATAATTAATATTCATTTTTAATATTATAGAATGTCTTACACAGAATTATTGTTAGGATTTATATATTGATCCTTTTGTATAAATAGATTGCTTTTGAGTGAGGATTGCGTCTTTGCTTTGATCCCTTTGTATTTCCCTCCTTTCTCTCTAGCTTCGGAAAGAATGTGATAATAGTTGCCAGTAGGATTGTGATAATAACTCAATCTTAGTAATAATAAAGTAGGTTATGATTCAAATATTAAAAAATAAATAAAATAATTTTTATTATTCGTGTTTGAAATAATTTTAAATTTTATTTTTAAATTAATTTAACGACTAATATTAACACTCTAAATTTAATAGAAAAAATAGGCCTTTAAAGTGTGTTTGAAGTGACTTTTTAGAAGTATTTATAGAAATTATTTCTCATAAATATTTTAAAAATAAATAGTATTTGAAACCGTCCCGCCACTATCTCTACCACCGCCATCGCCACCACCACTATCGTCGCCGTCACCACCACCGCCGCCACCATCGTCATCGCTCTTGCCGCCACCACCATTGTTGCTACCCACCACAACTATCACCTTCTCTTACCACTACCACTACCACTACCGCCCACCACGTCTTACCCCCACTACAAGCCAATAATTAAATTTATTTATCTTTTCTCTATATTTATGATTTAATTTTAGATATAAATACACATAAGTTTATTGTTTATTATTTTTTATTATTATGTGTCTTCAGTCGCAGGTAATAACTAGTAAATTAATATTACATGAACTTTATTTGGTAATTTTATCATTCTCTATTATTAATTGAGAGTAAATTTCACTATTAGTTAAAATCCAATATCAATTTAATGACTATGATCTATTATGTTACCAAATAAAATTATTAAATTAAATACAAAAAACATTTTCCTATAAAAAAATATCACGAGAGAGACTGTGAAACACCATTTTCCATCATAATCATTAATGGATGAATGTCAAAGGATAACAAAGAAGTTATCGTAACAAGGATGTCCTAGTAACGAAGATGTCCTTGAATATTTGACCACAATAGGAAAACACCAACATGCATTCCCTCAAAAGAAAAAGACTAACAGAAAAGGTGTCGACGAGCAATACTATTATGACTTAATTTGTTGACCTAATTCATTATAATTTTTAGATTAATCGTGAACTCCATCAAACATCAGAACTTGATGTTAATTTAATGATTCTACTGAAACTACATCATTATGTCAATAAATTAAATCAAATTTTTAAGTCTAAATAAAATTACTCAAAAGGGTATAGATCACATTTTTGTACTCTTAATACCCACCAACCTACACTTTTGGGAAAAAAATTGTGCAAGTCACTTCTAAATACAAAACATTCCCCACTTTTCAATGGAGCAAACTTTCACCCCAGCTAAACACCCCCCCCCCTTTCTACTTTCCCCCAAAAAAAAACAAAACCCAAAACCACCGTCTCTCTCTCTCTGACACACGCACACATAGAGCAAGCCCAGTTCACCACACTGGAAACCATCCCGACCCCTCCACCTAAAGACCACCCAACCCTTTTAAATTGTTTGTTGTGGTTGAATTGGTTGCATGCGGAACGTAGGCACCCACCGTATAATGTCAGTATATATGATAGATGTCGCACCCTAATTGACTTGGGTGCAAATGATCGGTCTTGGTGGCACATTGCACCAAGGCATGCCAGAAATTAGAATCAAGGTGACGCGGCTAAGTGGTTCGACAGATTGGAGCGAACCAAAGCAGCATGAGACCACCCGGTTTAGCATGACAGCATGGGTGGGCTCAATTGAAGCAATGTGGGTGCAGAGCTTCGAATTGCATGGCATGGGTTGAACCCAACATGCACATTCGTTTGTGTAGCAAGGTGACTAGTGAATGTGGACACATGACTGCTGAATGTGGACACCTGATTGACACATGACTGCTCAATGCATGTGACCAGGAGAATGTAGGCAGTTATGATGCTGAGACTCAATCAAGACAGTTGCTGAAACAATTCTGGATGTCCCCAGTCTGAATCCAGTCTAGATGCATACTGATGAAGGGGCAGTTCCATAAAGTGGTGGGACTGCCTGCCAGGTGTTACACAGAGACCAAATCTACTAGTCCAATATGCTATGAAATAGCAAAAACGTGAATAACTACCCCTTGGCAGATGGGGGTGCCATCTACCTTCCTCTTGGATAAATAGTGGTGCTTGAGCGTTCTGGAAGACAGAGAGTGTTCTGACTTTTGAGAGTCCTTGTAAATTGTTGAGTTCAATATATAAGGTTTGAGAGTGTTGTCCCAGTAGATTCGTGTGTGCCTTCTGTGTGATTTTCTGTCCCTTATCCTTGAGTTGAGTGTGACTGATTGTAATAGCAACGCCTTCACAAGTAGATTCAAAAGAAAAATGAAAGTTAACCTGTGACAATAGTGGTGGTGCGGTGATGATTGACCTCAATGCTAATGGTTATCCTTCAGGCTCAACGAATGAATGAGAGGCTACAATCGTAGCCAGATAGAGATGGTGGTCTTCTGACGCATTCTCCTCTTCATCGAGACAACTCACATAGGCATAACTAATAAATCCACGACCACATAACAACCAATTCGCAGCCCTTCTCTCTCTCTCTCTCTCTCTCTCTCTTCCCCCTCCCTTTTTTCTTTTTTTTTTTTCCTTTCCTTTTTGCCACTCTGTACTCACCAATAACCACTGCACAGCCAACCATACACCCCCACCCCCTGATTAAAAAACTACAATCCCAATTCAATTATCCCAACAACCCAAATTCAACTAACATTTAACTAAAAATCACCTAACATTCAATTTGTGTGTGCGCTTAAGAAAGTTAGTATTGATGATGCCATCTATCAATTCAGATGTATAAGAAAGGGCATGAATGGAGAAAAAGGATTGGAGATCAAGGTTAAAAAGGATTTACTACACCGGTAATCTAAGGAGCTGATCTGGGTATGGCAGGTTGGTAAGCCTGATCCGAGTTGCCTGATAGCATTAGGAAATGTCAACATAATTCCACCAAAAACATGGCGCAGTTACTGAAGAATATAATTAAGGGAACTTGTAATAAAGGATCTCAAACTGTAATTGCTTAGAACACAGACAAAATTTGCCAAATAACATACTTGCCATGACTAGGAAATCAAAGTACAAGATGATGCACTGAAGAAATATAAGCATTAGATTCAAAATAACCACTACCAATCAAGATTTCAAAATTCCTAATCCTCAAAAGATAGCAATACCATTCCAAATTAAAAAGAAAAGTTCATGGGTTTACCTCATACTACCAATTCAAGTGCAAGTGCAAATGCAAAGTAAAATCCAAATTGAGATAGTTCCATACCCAAGTAAATTATAGCTCAAAGTCAGATTGATATACTTGCAGCAGCTAAAAGAAAACCAACAAATTAAAACATAATCATGTAAACCCTAATACAATTGCTTCTGCTCTACTCTTCCTCGGTGGCAGATTCACCGATTTTCTTGTTGTGCTTCCTGGCGTACCTCTGGTTTCTCAAAAACTTCGGATCCATCTATACATCCACATATAGAGATTAGTGTTTGAATACACGCACATAATAGATGTTCAAAAAGTTATCTGAACAAAACAAAGATGGTTGAATAAAATCAGAAAATTTACGAACCCCTTTGGTGGAAGTGTGGCGGTGCTTCTTGGGCTTCTTAATCCCGTTCCTGTGCGCCTTGTGTGACTGGTTGTGAGCCGTGTGATTCTTCGACTTCGCCATCTCTTCTCTCACCAAAACTGCTCAAACGAAACAGAAAAATGAAGTAAAACAAATACTATCGATAATTTTAAATACAAGATTTTGATTACATATCTATATATATGCACAAATACACACACACACACATAGAGAGAGAGAGAGAGAGACATACGTGGTTGCTGTGTAGCTCTGTAGGAGTCGGCGTTAGGATTCAGAGGATGAAAAAGAAAATGAGAACAGGGGACTGCTAGAACCCTAGTTCTTAGAGGCTTCAGACTTTTGTATGTCCAGATTACCTTTATAGGCCTAAGCCTTACATTTCTTTGGGCTGATCTGACTTGGACAACAACTGCTGAGCATTTTGTATTGGGCTTTTCTATAGTTCTTTGGCCATTCACAACCCAATAAAATGACCTTTTTTTGTTTTGAACTGGAATAAATTTATTAGTTAGGCTTAGAAAAAAAGGTGTGGGCCCCACAATGTGATATAAATTACATAATTTTTTGTTACAATGATGATTTATATTTTTTTGGTCAAAATGATATTGTTTTTTAATTTTAGGAAGAATGTAGGTGGATGATTAAAAGAAATTGACACGTGTGTCTATACTATGAGTAATTGGAGCAGGTGAGTAGAACAAGTGGATAAAATAGAAAGAACTCGAGTAACCTGTTAACCAAATGGCGAACCAGTTGGGTAGAGGGTAGATAAAAAATGCTCTCACCAGCCAGAAAATCCTCATCCGCAGTGGACAAGTAATGTGGATATTTATAGCACAGTGCCCGGGCAGATCGCGCAGTTTGAAGGATTGCTCGTCGCGACCTTCTACCACTCGCGCGAACCCACAATTGCCTCAACCACGACGTTACTAGTGGCCGTTAATTGCAAGCCACGCGTCCCAACATTAACTAGGTAGACGTAATGTTTCCTCAAATGCAACCTAGACGTGGTTTTGAGGAGGATGCAATAGCCAAGGTGAGAGAGGGCTCCCAAAGTCTATGACTGCAACTAGCCACCGTGGGACCATGACCTCTAGAGGACCATGTCTGTAATGCCCCCAATGCACTTCTACTCAGGTCTTTCTTTCCTTCTCTAAAACCTTTCTCGAGACTTTTGTCAAGGTGTCTGATATAGGAAACCCGCATAATTTTGATCCATTAGCTACCAATACACATGTCCCCTCATCTTATATGTTGATTTGGACCAATGATTTCAGTTACCTTTAGAAGTCCATCATAATCCTAGTCAAGTACATTCCCGTAAGCAATGAGTCATACACTAGGAGGCCTACTCGAGCAGACTAAATCTTCGAGACCCTACATCAGGGTGAGGTTGACAATCGTGCTCGTCCACCTTTACTACTTGGTTATTGTAACGCCCCAAAAACCCCCGTGGGTGACATTACATTCTAAAAACCATTTACCATATGAGAGCATTAAGTAAAATTCATCACGACGAAAGTTTCATTCATCAACCATTCATATTTTAACAAAATTTGGGCAGAGTCTCCTTTGTACGGGGAGCTCTACCCAAAACACAACCTGTACAATTATATTACAATTGACCACACCGGGTCCACATATGCATAACTATTGACCACACCGGGTCCATTTTTCCATCATAAAATAAACTTGCATTCATCATATGTCATATCCACACTATCATCCCAAATTAATAGGTCTAATCTTGGCCTTTACATCTCCAAAATGTAATAATATAACGCAGCGGAAATAACAGAAATGAACTAGAGTTCAAAAGGATATTCTAAGCATAATCTAGTCTAGAACAAAATAAAAGTGTCGCTCTAAGCGTCCACCTCGGGATCCACATCCCCGTCAAGCGGAGTCTTCCAATGGGTGGGCTCCTCGGCTCCTAACTCCTCCTCAAGTGTGAAATCTGAAAAAATTTTATTTGTAAGGGGTGAGCACGAAGCTCTGTAGCAAAATTCTCTCAATTCAAACAAGGTTTGAAAAATATAGCAAACGGTCGGTCTCATTTCACAACTAACATATATATAGGTTTGGAATGAAAACAGTGACATTTTAAAAGAGATCTCAAGTTTAAACAATAGCAATAATCAGTTAAAAGAATAAAATGAGTTTAGCATCGATAAACAAAATTCTAATTTAAGCTATTTAAGAAGGGCTTCTCCCTAAGCATTGTCCCATACCAATGCGTTGGCAAGAACGACCCAACTCCCGATTCCATGTATTTTTGGTTCATCCCCGTACCATGTATGTTGATTGCTTCTCGTGAATCTACCTAACGATCATGCCTAGTCCACCAATTCCAACCAACAATCACAAATCTCTTTAGGAAGGGCGTGTACCGTCTCCTACGGCATTGACGAAATCCTCCCAAGGTGTCTAGTATACTAACCCTTTTCCTCGGTGTATATGTGAACAATAGTGATCGCGAGCACAACAACGATCCACTACGAGCATTAGGCAACCATCTCACCCCCCATTGGGATAGACTAACCTCTAACACTCTACGGCATCTCTCGAAGGTAATCCAAGTCCATCACAACAACCATACAATGAGGAAATTAAGAATATTCACAATTCACAACAATTTTTCAAATATAGTAAAATCCCCAATTTTGTTTTCACATTTGTCATATAATCGAATAATCCAAGAAAATATGCAAGAGATCATAATCTATATCATTGTGTTATACAATATTCAACACTAAAGTTTTAAAATCAAAGACAAAGAAGAAACTAGGAGAAAATCCTTTTTTCTTGAAAACTAGGGCTTTGAAGATAAAAAAAAAAATCAATAGAGCTTTGGTGGTTACCCACCCTTCATATTGTTCAAAACATGGCATTTATTACAAATAGAACAAGAATCATGTATTTCATATTATATATATGAGAAGGAGAGTGAAGAAACATATATCTATATACATATATATATCTATATATATATATCTAGCCACAATGTGAAAGATTGAGAGAAAATCTCCTACCTTAAATCAAGATTCCAAGCTAAGACCCAAGCTTCAAGACCTTCTTGCTCTCCTTTCTTTTCCTCTTAATCTTCTCCTCCTAGGGTTTCAAAAGATTTGGGTGAGAGGGTGGCAAGAATGGAAGAAAATGGGAGGAGAATGTATTCTTGAAGAATTTGAAATTTTGATTTCTACAAGGTATAAATCCCTCTTGATTGGTATTTCTATCTTCCTCTCTTCCTCTAAAATGGTTCCTAGGGTTTGGAGGGGTGAAATGAATGCTAAAGGGACGACATTAGGTTTTTATAGGGCAAGAAAATCGAGCAAAACCCGATATTTTCTGTTCAGAAAAAATCGGGTTTTCCTTCGTACTGTTCACAGATTTTTGGTGCGACTTCCAGGTCAGTTTTGACCCATTTATAGGTCGAATTGAAAATTTTTCATGAAATACACTTTTGTAGCCCTAGATGTCTAATATTTTCTGTCAAAATTTCAGATCAATTGGACATCAAAATTTCAGATCAATTGGACATCAAAATATAAAGTTATGATCAAAATACTAAGCAGTGTCCATCACCCCTTTTTACCCAATTTCACTCCAATTTGGTTTTACTTCTAAAATACTTCCTAACTTCTAATACATCTCATATTACCTCTCCTAATGTTTTCCGACCTCCCGAATTCAATGGTAATGTTATTTTGATAAAAAAAAATTAATATATTTATTTAGTTACCCTTATCAATCTTAAACACATCCAAAAAAAAAAATAAAAAAATAAGTTTGACCCAAAAGTCAATCCGTTCGAAACTCAAACTTCATGATTAATATTTCAACAATGATTCTAAGTTTTTTATCCTCATTTTATTCATATTTGAAAAATTCTTAAGATATTAATATTCTTATTTAATTTTAGTACAGGGTCTTACAGTTCTCCCTTGAAGAGGGTCATACTTTCATATCCCTAAGTGAGGACACCTTCTCTTAGCCCAATGGATCAGTCGAGTAATGGTGTTCAATAGGCTGAGGATACCACTCCTGTAACGAGAGAGGCGAGTCTCGTCGTGTAAAACCCAAAAAAATAAATTATTATTATTATTATTAAAATCCTAAAAAAATAAGGGGTAAAATAATAATTAATTGTTATATTATGGGTCAAAAACGAAGAATTTCAAAAAAAAAAAATAATAATAAGATATATATAAGTGGAAGACTTTGTCTTCCACTTTTTATGTCTTCTACAGCCGGCGAGATAGAGAGAGTGAGAAAAAAAAATGAGTTCTTATTTTTTTTTCTCTTTTCTTCCTTCTCAGATTTAGGAAAATTTAACCGTTTAATCGCTTCGGGCCAAGAACTAAAGTTGCTCTACTCAGCGAGAGCTACGCAACCACACCAAATATCGTATTTTTCTTCGAAAGAATATCAAAGCCGATAATCTATGTCTAAAACTTAGGAAGCTAAATTTGGGCTTCCTTGACGTTCCAGTAAGTGGTCTCACGCTACGAGAGGTAGGGTTTCCCCTATTTAGATTTAATTTCAACTTAAAATATGGCATATGGAATGAGTAGATTATGAGTGTATATCACATGTTAGGTCTTGACTAGTGTGACTAGTGGGTCAAATATAGAATTTATAATTAATCTTATGATTAATAAAATTCTATTGTGATTAACTTGATGTAAGTTAATGTTAGTAGTTTAAAGCATGTTAATTGTATGTTAGCATTACTTTATATTTTAATGGCAAATCAAGTTTAATAAAATTATTAACTTGTTATATGATTGTGAAATAATAAATATATGTTAAATGATTATTTAACATATGATTATTTTGGTGGACTTGTGCTTATGTTAAACATGTTGTCATGTTGCAAGTCATAGCATGCTAGTTGTGTAAATTGATGTGCTCTTTAGGTGTTTGATTAAATGCTTAGGTGAATACAAGTATGTTAGTTGAGTTGATTATCTTACATAACATGCTTGAGATCGTGTTAAAATGTCATTATATTGTATTCATTATGTAATAGACATTGTATTTCATTATGCATGAGTTGCACTACATTCATGGGCATTGACATGGGTGAGAGTGTATGCATGGTATGATATCAATCACCACGTAGGTGGTTGAACGTGGACTCGAAAAAATCGCACCAAGGTTCGGTTGAGTTACACTAGAAATTAAATAGATAAATGTGTTGGGGACAGCAAGAAGGGTTAGATTCTCCCTCAGGTGCAAGACCCGTTTACTTGGTTTATACACTTTCTGGCGATAAAATTTCAGAAAAGTGTAACGGCAGAAACGGAGCCGCAGGTGGGATGTCCTGAAAATCCGTTGATGGTTGGTGTCCCATTGGTGTAATACCATAAATCACCTCCCCACATAGACACAAGAAAATGAATTAATTAGTCATTGAGTGTACATAACACCAATGATGGGGGCTTGGAATGCTCGAATACATACGCATGACATTGCATGTGTTATGGGAGCTCAGGATGGGGCTCGGGGTTGGTATTGCTTGCGTGAGTCTCATCTCATGGCATGACGTGATTTATAATATTCAATCATAATAGACATATTTGAATGAATGTATCAAATGATTGTTGCATGTGACATTCCATATGCATTTAGGTTGAGAGGTACTCTCTATAGGAGTTACCCTATTGAGCGTTGGCTCACCCTTTATGGGAACATTTTTCAGGTATCGCACAGGCGTCCACCGAAGGTGAGGCCATGGGCCCGCTTTGACGACAGAGCCGGTCAGTGGCTTTTATTTTGACATTGTAGTCCCTTGTTTATATTTACTTTTGGCCTTGTATAATTTTTGTAACAAACATTTGTTTATATTTACAAAGGCATGTATATGGGATTCTTTTGGGACATTTATTCTTTTACGAATAAATGTATGTATTGATAATGATTATGGTAGTATTCAAGACTATACAATTGTGAATGAATAGATAGACCCGGTGTAGTCAATATTGTACAGGTTGCGTTTTGAGTTGAGCTCCTCGTACAAAGGAGACTCTGTCCAAATTTTGTTAAGTTATGGATCCCGAGAAATGGGGCATAACGGTGTGGTATCAAATTATACGATATCCACCAGTATTACACAGGTCGATAAATAATCAATCGGATAATTACAGACACCCGAACTTTGGGGTGTCACACGTCGAGATTGTGTGACGCCCATAAAATCGAGGGTCCCGTTGACCACTCGTCAACCCGCCGAAATACCCGTGATTGTCGCATAACCCGACATCACGTCTATCATATCCCTGTAACCGGGATTACAACTCACACGAGGATCCGTATTTCCTTTTATCATTTAATCCCATCGAGGTTCAATATACTTCAATGTATCTCATTTAAAGTTCATTTGTGTCATTAGAACCAAAAAACACATAGCCCAAAAGTATGAAAATGCATTTTTAAAATTTTAGATTTTTAAAAAACCTTCCGGAATGTTTGCTCAGTGAAAAATTTTTACCAGAAGGTTTGCCAATTGGATGAAAAATTGCATGAACCTTCCAAAAGGTTTTGTGAACCTTCCGGTAGGTTTTACCTACTGGACAGAAAATTTATACTAACCTTCCGGAAGGTTTTGTCCAGAATTTCATGCTTCATCAGATTTTCATTTTCAATTCATCCAAAACCTTTCCAAACTCATTGCAAACATGGATAATGACATTTTCTATATTATACATGATCCATACAAGTTTTATTAAATGCATTTGCATAATTTTTACATGTTAAAACATTGTTCCAACAAAAATTACACAAAATATGCCACAAAAGCCACAAGTCGGCTTTTTTTCATCGTTGAGGCCCCGAATGCGAGTCCTCTCCCGGTACGAACCCCGCACCTGAAATGTTTTTCCATATAGGGTGAGCCAACGCCTAGTAGAATATTTCCTACAGAGGCTACTCCCCAACCTAAGTGCATATACAATGTTCATATACCACATTCACAATCGTATAATCATTCCAATCAAGAATATATATGTTCATGTTGGAATTTACCATGTCATGTCATGAATGAAATGAGATTCACTCACGCACCTCAACCCGAGCCTACTCTGGCTCTCACCACACTATGTAATACAAGTGTAAAACCTTTATCATCGATGAAATACATTTAATGATTATTTTTGAAATACCAGCTATATGTTTATAAAATCATTTCATTTATGGATGTTTTCCATCAAATGAAATATTTGTATTACAAAATCATGTGTCTTTATTGGATATCGGATTCCGGAATCACACCGACTAACTCCGTACGCCATTACACTTTTTTGGAATTTCACCATAGTGAAATGTATGAACCAAGTAGCCGAGCTTTTCACCCGAGGGAGTGTCAAGCCCTTCTTGCTATACCCGACACAAATTTTTCTCATGCAATATGTGACTCCATGGGATCTTCGATCCAACATCTCCGAGTCTACATATCAATCACCAAGAGTGGTATTGATTAAATCATGCATACACATCCACACCCATACCTAAGCCCATGAATATGATGCATTTTTTCCATGCAATATGCAATGTTATGAACCATTGTGCAATCAATGTCATACTCATATATAAAGAATGTCACATGAGCCATAACCAGATATCTCGCATATGTCATGACAATTTCAATGAAAGCATATAATTACCATAAATTATCGCAATGTTAATACATCAATTAGCACATATTAACATTTCCTTCCAACACATTTTATAAGTATGTTAACAACACACTTCATGTACAAGCACTATAAAACATATAGCATGCTCAAGATATCAAGTTTTAAGGGATTGTACAAGTACTTCCCCAATACCAAACTTTGCTAGGAATTGGTCTAGGCCAATTTCATACTCATTTCCTCTATTTCTTAACCATAGTCAAGTGACTTAGGTTATTTCAAACCCTTACCCCATTTATAATACACCCTAGGTAAGAAAATAAACCAAAGTAGGAGAAACCCTACCTCTTGGAGCATAATATGAAGACTAGAAGCTACAAGACACCTTCCTAGCTCCAAAAACTCTTGACTTCACAAAATCCTCCCCTTGGATCTTCGGTGAAATCTCTCGTTCTTAGTACGTACACGTAGCCCTCGTCGCGTAGACCAACTTTAACTCTTAGTTCGACGGATTCCGACCAACGGAACTTCGAAAATCAGAGAAGAAGGCTTGAAATTTTTATTTTCTCTCTTCTCCTCTTCACACGCCTGAAACTCAGCCGGCCAAATGGTGAGAAATATCTGAATTTTCAGATATTTTGCCCCTATTTATACTTTTAATTTCGAGGTCCACATTATCCCGCTCGTTTATCACTTCTAGGTCCGTTTTTAAGCCAAAACGACTTAATTAAATTTCGATTTTAGTTCAAATTAATTTTATTTGAACTTTTACTCAATTATAAGAAAATTTTTATAATTTCTATTTTTGGGGACCTTTGAAAGTTCATTCGTTACCCAATTATCTCGAAAAATGTACAAAATTCGATTATCTCAGAATTCGACGAAATTTGACATGGCGCTCAATTTCGTGATACGAATCCAACAGCGAAGTCCATTGCTCCATTCGAGCTCTTTAGAAATATGCATTTTAAACCCATATAATAATGACAAATTACTATTTTACCCTTTATCGGAAATAGTTCAAATTTTTTCGAATTCATAGATTGTCCCCATACTTCTGCGATTCTACTTCTATCTACCCTTGGTGAATGGTCCGTTTTGCACCTCCAATGCGATGGAGATGTATTTTGCCCTATTGCGGTGTCGCACTAGGGAGCATCGCTCATGACACTGTTATCTATACCAATCCAGTAAGACGTTGTTGGGCCCCATTTTCATGTCAACTTATAATCATTGCCACTTATTCTGTTATGGTGTAGACATGTGTATTGAAGTTTTCGGGTACTACAAGATCTAATGCCACTTTATATCTTGAAAGATGTTTTCATTCTCAATTTGTATCCTCAATATTATGAATTTGTAGAAATATAGATCTTGTCTAAATAACCGTTCAATTTTTCGTCATAAATTGAAATACGTGAGTTGTAAGTGCTTCAACCTAATTATTTTTGTCTTAATTTTGAACAATAATTGAATTTCTTAAAAAGAGAAATATATGCAGTAATCTGAGATAATCAAAAGACATAACACAAAACTCTACGCACACTGCCTCCATTGTTCAAGAGACTTAAACCCATGACTACCGGCTCTTCTTAGGACTTTCACCAATTACACATTTTCTATTTGATGATTTGCTCACAATCTTTGATGGTGGGACCAAGGGTCCTATCTATCTTTCATATATAGATCTTTTTGAAAACATGGGAGAAAGAGGGGGGGGGGGGGGGGGGGGGATAGTGCACAGGCCCCCTATGCCCAATTGTGGTTCAATCTATTTAACCAAAAGCCATCCAAATCATATTTCACTCACTAGCGAGAGCTTAAAGCAATGTCCAATTTAGAGTAAGATTAATTAACAATTAATAATAAAATAACAAATTAATGAGAACTTGAGTCAGTTTTCAATAGTCCTCGTAACATATAAACGCCCATCTAAACGATACGAAATTACAATATTTTAAAAATTATATGTAAAAAAAATTGGTTTAAAATTGATCAAATGCTAATTTATAAACCAAACATGGTGTTAGTTTAAATATGTTAGGGACAAAATAGTCAATGATACTATATTTCATCACCCTTTTCCATGGGTTTCACAAAAGTGCTTATGTGTTTTTCAAACATTGGAAAAGATAAAATATAGCTATTAAATCCTAACCAGTCCAATAATAAGTGAGTGTGGGTTGGATAAGAAAAAATATTTTTTTAGATCTTCAATCCAATCCAACCCTGTTATCCAAACACACGTAAACGGGCCTAAAATACTGACCAAAATGGAAACTGAAACCACATCCTCACCCTCCCCTAACCCCCAAGAAAGAAAAAAAAAAACTTCATAAAACATGTACGATGGCCAAAATTACTGGACTAACCTCACCTAAAGCATTTACAAGATGTACAAACATCACTGTTGAAGAACATAAACATGTCTTTTTTCACCTCACCCCTTTCCTCTCCGGTGCTGTTCCAAGCAAGCAATGCCTTAATCCCATTCTACTCTCATCACATGTCACCATCACGATCGAGAAGTCCGTATTCCAACTGCACAACATACGGATAAGTAGGCTTAAGTAATATTTAAGTCCATATTGTGATGCTTACAAATTCAAGAAGAAATTGCCTACCGTTGCTATATTATGCTCCAACTTCATTCTTTGATATTCTTCTTGGGCTCGCTTTGAACGAAACATGGCCTGGACCCGAATAACGGATCTCTCAACCCGATCCTCAGCTTGTTTCCTGCTGGCTTGGAAGAAGTCCTCCTCCCCATCACTTTCTTGAGTTGGATCTTTGACAGCTTCCATAGGATGAACTTGAAGGCCACGAAGACCTTTTCTCTTTAAACGCCAACGTAAAACTACTTTTTCAAGCACTCCAACTGACCAAATGATCTTCCGATAATGTTTCCGTGCATGGAAACCTCTGAAAACAGCCTGCATTGGGAAAGAAATCGAATCAATCATTTGCTAGACTCAACAAACACGGCGCTCTTGTGCAAAAACCATGCAGCCCAAGCTGCCTTTAGTAGATTTTAATACAAGACCTCTTAAGTTGAGGTCCAAAATTTGCATGCCATACAACTCGAATAATTCTGGCTAATCTATCAATAAGGCAAGAGCAAAAGGACAGCGAAAAAGAGCCCTTACTTGAATTTTGATTGCTTGACGGCGCAAATTGAGAAAGTCTCTTCGGATCTTCCAAGTACGGAACCTATGTTGGATTCTGGCAGCCGCTGCCATCTTTCTTCGCGTTTCAAAGTTGCGGAAGGCATTCTGAATTTTCATAGCTGCAATTATAGTGCGTGCTGCATCCTCTGGATTGGATTGCTGAACTGCTTTTGTCCGTAACTTGAGTGAGCGCTCCCTAAACGCAGCCTGTATTTGTGCAGCTGCATCAGCAGCTGTTCGATAAGCTACCAGAGTATCCTTCAGATACAGCTCCTCCTCGCTAAAGTTCCCAGTGTTTACCGAATCTGCTGTGGAAGTTTGCAGCGAACCACTGACATTTCCAGCTAGGGCCATATCCTCAAATTGTTTCACCAAACCTTTTTCTGCAAGATAAGCTGCTAAACCTTCATAACCATTTTTGGATGCAAGATCAGCGGCAGTGCATCCACCAGGATTTTCTGAAGTGGGATCTGTGACCAAATTTGCCTTTGCCCCGGCAGAAAGAAGAGCTGCAACCATTTTCTCCCTAACAATTGAAAATTCTCCAATATTAAGCAATGAACAAATTCAAATCAGTTATCTAAATCAAATGAGAAATGAGCTTCCATATATAAATAGACTAGTTGACACTAAAGTCTAAGAAACAGTGAAGGTCTGACTTCTATCTGATGTATAGCAAGACCATACCTTCCATAATATGCAGCCCAATGAAGAGCTGTCCATCCAAATTTGTCCCGATAATCCAATGACAAGCCGGACCATGAAAACGGATAAATAGCCCATGTATAACCCAGAATGGCACAAAAATGGATTACTCCTTGACCTTGCTCATCACGGTCAGAGATTTTGGACCCTTCAACTATTCTTTCCAACAGCCATTCTTGTAGTCTGTTCTGCAAAGTGAGCTCAAACAAGCTGTCTTTTGCTTGTGCAAAAGAGATTTTGCCGTCTTTGATTGACTTGATCAAATTTTCCCAGCTGTCAGTGATGTTGGAGGTTTTGAGTAAAAAATTTTTGGCTTCTTTCAGGGCATTTTGAGATATTTTACTATAGAAAACGTTAAGGCTCTTAGATGCAGAAAAGAGCAAATGAGCAAGCCTCAACTTGAAACAAAATTCTTCCCATTTGGACTTATCTTCTAAAGAAACCATTGAGCCGAGCATTGAAGGAGAGCGATACTCAAAGGTCACAACTTGGCTGATGGGATTTTGACCATCTAAACTCAAATAAAGATTCACTAATCCAGGACTCTGTGGTGGAAGCAGAAAACGGAATACTCCAGATTGGACAACTACAGGAATACAAGCATCTCCACATACACAAAATAAATTTGACTCTTCAAGGTGTTGCTGTCCATGAAAAAATCCAATCACTGTGATCTGCAACAATGACTATCAATCAACAATCTGTAATTAAATGACTTTTTTCCTTGTTTTCTTTGGCAAAGTGAACAATGTGCTACTAAATAAGCAAGCTTTTTCCCTCTCTCTCTCTCTCTCTCTATATATATATATATGTGTACACACGTGTACAGTGTGTGCGTGTGCGCGCAGGCAAATTATCCCTAGTTCATCATGAAAAATGTACCAATATAACAAGATCACCAAATAGAAGCACAGAATTGTAGTGAGGAAAGAACCTTGGTTTCTTCAGTTGAAAAAGCCCATGCAGGTGAGACTTCAGTGATACTGAATATTTGCTCCGAAGCAGAAGACTGATGATGATCCATATTTGGAGAAGAAAATGATTCATGACCTGTTGAAATTGAGGGCTCCACAATTGGATCATCTACCGATCCAGGAGAATCAGTCATAATGTAGTGTATCCACCTTCCAATGCTGTCCTGAGTTTGCAGGCCATCCTTGACTAGATTATCTGAAGAGTCAGCTGCACCCACTGTCAACAGTTCAGAATACTTTGTCTGCAAATCTGAATTCATTTGACCTCCCACTGTCTGAAAGCCAATATTGTCCTGAAGATTGAAACAAATGGAATTACTCCCAGAAACTTGCTCTGCAAACTGCAGAGGATTTTCTGCGTGCAATTTGTTTTCTGACAAGGAATTACTCTGCAAAGATGAAACATTGTCAATGAATCAGAACCCATACATATTTTGATGCTCGAGCTAACAACAGATAACATTACAGATAGATAACAGGTAAGCCACCTAGAAATCAATGCTTTTCAAATTGCACGTGCAGTTAAAGTTGCCAAAGAACTTTTCCAAAGCTAGGCGAGGAATATACAAATTTAAAGAAAGATACATAATTCAATACTAGAGGACCAAAGCATCCTAAATGTGAATCTTAAGCATATGCATCGGAAAGTCAGTCTTCCTTACATCAGAGCCACCACATCAATGGCAGCAAGAGAATCTATAAATATACCACTAACATAAAGGCTCTTATAAATGACTAACAATTTAGTTCCTATTTGTTAAGAATAATAGAGTAGTATGTGTAAATTGTTAATAGTAAGAAGATGTATGTGTTATTATTATTATTGTAGGTTAACTATAAATACAAGTTATGTATGAGAGCTAGGTTAAGTTTTTTAACCTCTCTCTGTTTCTCCCTAAATAGTATCTCTAATATTATGTTAATCTTTCAAACTTAACATGGTATCAGAACTAATGAACAATTTTAAAATTCAAATATTAACTCAAGTGTTTGTCCTTGTGTGACTATTGTCACTGTGATTACTGCTGGAGATCGACCGGTGGTGGTGGTGTTGTTGGTCCTGTGTTGGTCGACGTTGGTTGTTGTTGTTTGTCGAAGTATTGTGATGGTGGTAGTACTGTTGTGGTGGTCTGTCGTTCGGCATCGTCCGTCGTTCCTCGTGGTGGTGAGGCTCAGTCGAAGACTAAAGTTGCCGACGTCGTGGTGGTGGTGTGGCAGTTGTGGTGGGCTGTCGTTCGTAGTGTGGTGAGGCGCAGTCAAGACCAGGGTTCACTGAAACCCTAATCAAACGAAGAAGACAAGGTCGTCGGGTTGGTTTCAGGTCGGTTCAGCCCACTTCAGACCTGGTCCAGCTCAAGGTCCAAACCAAACTGGGTCCAGACCAAACCGGATCCAGTTCAAACCCGGTCCAGACCCTGACTAGACCGGTTCAAGGTCGGTTCACCTTGGTTTGATCCATTCCAAATCGGTTCAGGCAATTTTACACTGGCTCAAACCAGTTTCTTCTATTTTTTACTCTGGTTCAGCGATCCAGAGGGCTAAACCGGTCCGGTTCAGGCCACCAGCAGCCTTCTTTGGGCTAAAACAGGCCGGTTCAGCCTACCAGCAGACTCCTTTGGGCTAAAACAGGCCGGTTCAGCACTCCTTTCCTCCTTTCCTTTCCGGTTTGCTGCACTATTATGGACCCCAAACAAGATACCGGGTCCCTTACTCCATCTTTGCCTCCTCCGACTCTTATCAATGGTCCCATTACCTCTGTCAAACTTAATGGGACTAATTACACTTTATGGTCCTGATCTGTTCAAATCTTTCTTTGAGGCAAAGGATTTAAGAAATATCTGGTGGGTTCTAAACCCAAGGAAGACACTCCTGGGTATGATCAGTGGGAACAAGAGGATGCTCAGATTATTTCTTTATTGTTGAATAGCATAGAGCCCAATATTAGCTCTTCTCTGCTCTATCTTAATACTACCAAAGAGATATGGAATCACTTGACTACTATGTATTCTGGTACAGGTAATTTTACTCGTGCGTATGAGGTGTGCAAGGAGTACTTCTGGTTGGAACAGGGTATTCTGAGCCTTGCGGATTATTACTCTCATGTTCGGGGAGTCTGTGAGGAGATGAAAACTTACCATCCATTTACTACTGATGCAGCAGTTTGACAAAAGCAACATGAGGACCTGAATGTTGTTCGATTTTTGGTAGGATTGAAACCTGAATATGAGACTATTCGTTCTCAAATTTTGGGTGGATCCAGTCTTCCATCACTGCTGGAGGTTTTCTCTCGTTTACAGCGTGCTACACTGTCTACTACTTCAGTCATTGATCATGGTGTCTCCATTGATCGCTCAACTCTTGTAGTTCCTAATAGCCATAGTGATGGCCATCGAAGTGGACGTGGCGGACGTGGTGGTCGTACGGGAGGTCATACAGGTGGTCGTGGTGGATCTCGTTCCTATACTCACTGTGGTTGTGGGGGACACACTGTTGATTTCTGTTAGGATTTACATGAAAAACCTTCTGGTACTACTAATCAGGCTTCTTATCAGGATGACACCTCTGTTGTTGCTTCCATACCTCGGTCAGCTCCACCAGACACCGGGTTGGTGACTATTACACTGGGTCGAGAAGAGTATGCTCAGTTCCTGTCCCAACAACAAGCTGTTTCATCTCCCTTCACTGCTACTTTTGTCCAGTCAGGTACTGCTTCCACCTGTTTATTGTCCTCCACTCGCAGTCCTTGGATCATAAATTCTGGCGCCTCTGACCACATGACTGGTGTGTCTGACGTTTTCTCCACTTATCAGTTTGTTACTTCCACACGTAGTGTTACTCTTGCTAATGGTACTTGTTCTAAAGTTTCAGGTCTGGGGACTACTCACTTGAGTCCTGATATGTCCCTATCTTCTGTGTTATTTGTTCCTCAGTTTCCTTTTAGTTTACTTTCCATTAGTAAGATTACTCGTTCTCTCAATTGTTCTGTAATTTTTTATCCCTCTTATTGTGTCTTTCAGGATCTCAAGACGAAGAGGAAGATTGGTACGGGACATGAAGCTGGTGGCCTATATTACCTTGACTTTGATTCATCTACTCGAGCTCTACAGACCTCGTTGTCTCCTTTTCAATGGCATTGTCGTCTTGAACATCCTTCTCTCCAGAATCTGAAGCACCAAGTTCCCAGTCTTAGTTATGTGTCGTCTTTGTCTTGTGAAGCTTGTCAACTTAGTAAGCATCACTGTGTGTCATTTCAGTCTAGAGTCAATAATCGTGTGTCTAGTCCATTTGAATTAGTCTATTTTGATGTATGGAGTTCAATAAAGAATATTTCATCTAATAAATATCTTTATTTTGTGACATTTGTGGATAACTATTTTTGTGTGACTTGGTTATTTTTGATGAAAGCTCGGTCTGAATTATTCTCTATATTTGAGACTTTTCGTAAAGAAATAAAAACTTAGTTTGGTTGTCGTATACGTACTTTACGTTCCGATAATGCTCAGGAATATGAATCTGATCCTTTTTTAACTTATCTTAGTAAAATTGGCATTATTCATCAGACTTCTTGTGCTTGCACCTCTCCACAAAATGGTGTTGCTGAACGCAAGAACAGCTATTTGTTGGAAGTCACCCGTGCCTTGTTATTTCAGATGAATGTTCCCCGATATCATTGGAGTGATGTTGTTCTTACTACTTGTCATCTTGTTAATCGTATGCCCTCCTCTGTGTTAAATGGACAAAGTCCATATTCTGTTATGTTTCCTGGTAAGCCCTTATTTTTCCTGACTCCTAAGGTTTTTGGTTGTGTCTGTTATGTTCACAATTTGGGTCCTGGATTTGACAAACTTGACCCTTGAGCTACCAAATGTGTATTTCTTGGTTACTCCCGCACGCAGAAGTGGTATCGTTGGTACAGTCCTTCTCTGCACCAATACTTTACTAGTGTGGATGTCACATTTTAAGAATCTGTTCCATACTTTCCAGCACCTTCTCAGCCTTTGGATCTGGACTTTGGCTTCTCTCCTGTACCACCATCAGATATTTCGCTGTCCACTGCGTTACCATCTACTTTATCTCTCCGTGTCTACTCTCGTCGTCCTCACCCATTGACTGAAGTGCACGTACCGTCTTCCTTGCCGCCTTCTGATCCAGGAACATCAGAAAATTTAGATTCTTTACCTATTGCTCTTTGCAAAGGTACTCGTTCGTGTGTTACTAATTATCCCATTTCTCATTTTGTTTCATATGATGCCTTGTCTCCTGTCTTCTCCTGTTTTACTTCCCAATTATCTGCTATATCTATTCTTAAGCATTTACAGGATGCATTATCTGATTCGGGTTGGAGGAAAGCTATGGAGGAGGAGATGGATGCTTTACATCATAATGGGACTTGGGATCTCGTCCCTTTACCCTCTGGTAAACAAACTATTGGATGTCGTTGGGTGTATACTGTTAAATTTCATCCAGATGGTTCTGTGGAGCGTCTCAAAGCCCGGCTTGTTGCAAAGAGCTTTACTCAAACTTATGGTCTTGATTTCTTTGGCTGCTAATCTTGATTGACCCTTGTTTCAGTTAGATGTCAAGAATGCCTTCTTACATGGTGATTTGGTTGAAGAGGTCTACATGGAGCAGCCACCTGGGTTTATTGCTAAGGGGGAGTATGGTAAGAGTAAGAGTGTATGTCGGTTAAAAAAATCTTTGTATGGTTTAAAACAGTCACCGAGGGCATGATTTGGTAAATTTTCAGATGCAGTTTTAGAGTTTGGTCTTCTTCAATGTCAAACAGATCATTCTGTGTTTCATAGGCAACTGTCTGGGTATGTCCTATTGGTGGTCTATGTAGATGATATTGGGATTACTGGAAATGATTTTGAGGAGATTGTCAAGTTAAAATTATTTTTACAGGATCGATTTCATACTAAGGATTTGAAAAAACTTAGGTATTTCTTGGATATTGAGGTGGCTCGATCTAAACAGGGTATTTATTTATCTCAGAGAAAATATGTACTTGACATGCTTGAGGAAGCAGGTTTGTTGGGTGGTAGACCGATTGATGTCCCTATGGATCCGAATCAGAAATTATTGATGGATGATGGTGTATTGTTTGAGAATCTGGGTCGGTATCGCAGATTGGTTGGGAAGCTTAATTATCTCACTATTATTCGACCGGATATTTTCTATGCAGTCAGTATCGTAAGTCAGTTCATGGGATGTCGTAGAGTACCACATTGGGAGGCAGTTACTCGTATTCTGTGATATCTCAAACGAGCTCCAAGACTTAGACTGTTATATCGAGCTAATGAACATCTTAGAGTGGAAGGTTTCTCAGATGCTGATTGGGCTGACTCTCCTTCTAATCGGAGATCAACCACTGGTTATTGTACTTTCCTAGGAGGTAATGTTATCTCATGAAAAAGTAAGAAACAACCCGTGGTAGCAAGATCCAGTACTGAGGCTGAGTATAGAGCAATGGCACATACGACGAGTAAGTTGACTTCGCTACTACACTTCCTCGAGGAAATTGGGTTTCCAGTTCAACTTCCTTTACAGTTGTTCTGTGACAACCAGACAGCTATCCATATCACTGTCAATCCTGTATTTCATAAGAGAACCAAGAATATTGAGGTTGACTGTCACTTTATTCGGGACAAGATAATAGCTGGGAAGATTACAACTCCATTTGTAAAATCTGAAGATCAGCTTACAAATATGTTTACCAAAAGATTGAGTCGTACACGTCTTACAGCTATTTGTTCCAAGCTTGAGGGGGAGTGTTAAGAATAATAGGGTAGTATGTGTAAATTGTTAATAGTAAGAGGATGTATGTGTTATTATTATTATTGTAGGTTAACTATAAATACAAGTTATGAATGAAAGTTAGGTTAAGTTTTTTAACCTCTCTCTGTTTCTCCCTAAATAGTGTCTCTAATATTATGTTAATCTTCCAAACTTAACACTATTAATTGGGGGTTTTAGGGGGTAGATTTGGTAGCAACCTAACCTTTTGCATTATTAGCACAAATTGTTGCTCTCATGTTCGGACCCATAAGCTCATGGTTATTGGACCGAATTTGAACCATACATACTCTTATGATGGAAGCAAAAGCAATTATCTACTGATGTAGCTGATTGCATTTTAGACTGCTATGATAGTAATGTAAGGTGCACTAGCATTCCGTCTGAAAAAAGGATTTAAAGAGGGAATACAGAATTCTCAATTTGTTCTATTTCTTTCACCAGACCGAATTTGAGTAAACAGGCAAACATGAGAAAAGGGGGTGAGATAGAAATCCCTACAATCCAAATTTCTGTTCAAAAGAGGAGAGAAATAGAATCCTAGATAAAATGAAAAACTATCATAAGTTTCTCACTCACTGTTCTGTGTTTTCTACATTTATTCCTTTTAAATGGAAGAGGAAATGTGAACATACTTTTTGCCCTTTTTTTCTTTCCAGAAAAACAAGTGGCGAAACAATTTAACATTTCATTTTTGAACTTTTCACTTGTTTAGTTTATCATGACCAGTCCATGTCAAAAGCAGTGACACTTCCCCCTAAAGTCACATGTCCACTTTCTATGTAATCGCAGTTCCATTAGATTCAACCAAAGGTGCACCGCTACTTAAGAGACATCTTTCTTCAACTTTTTCTATATGAATACAATTTTAAGATGGCTAAAAAGAGTTTAGTGTTATCGTGTAGACATGATTCAACCATTCATTAATGCATGTTTGCTACATAGGAATACAACTTGGGAATAACAAATCCCAGGAATTGATAAAAGCGTGCTTATTTGTTGGGCAATATTTCTCAAGAATCAAAGTTCCTACAAGCTTCCAAATTTCCATGCAACGTAGGAGTTCTATTTCCCACCCTAGATGTTAGAAATTGTGATTTCTCATCATTCTCAACCCAGAAAAAGTAAATCATAAATAATATTATATTGAACTGAACCGTTAAATAAAAACAAATAAATTTGTCTCACAAAATAAGGTCAAAAGTCACAGGAGTTCATAAGTCTCAAGTATCAAATTTTTTAGCATATGAACAAAGTAGCAATAAAAGAGAATTGATAGATATCTAAATAACTTCCATCCATTTACCATAGCACCGCAAAAGATAAAAGTTAACACTGATGTTAAAAATATACATCAAGAGAAAAGATGAGATACTGAGATGCAAGAAAAAAACCTACAACCATTTTTCCTTTTTTGGCAAAAAAACCTATAACCATGAATGATTCTTTTTGCTAAGTAAGTTATTCATAGCTCTACTTACATTGCTTCCATTGACATTTATGCCATATTGATTCTGCTGCTCAAAACATGAAATTTTTCCTGCCACCAAACAATGAGTGCTTAAATAAATGTACATATATGGGCGGTCAATATTTTCTTAAAAGAGCTCCAGCTCTGAAGCTTGTGGCATAAAGTTCAGTACCTTCTTCAGGTACAATCAACTTATTGTGATCATCTGTCCCCAAAAGCTCATCCCATTCAAGTGTGTTAATGTCATGAAGTCTCATTTCATGATTTTTGACAGTGATGCTGTTGTTAGGCTCTGTTAAGAAGCCAAGAAGAGATTATTATACAACCATTTCCAAGAAAATAAAATAAGTATCGTAATTTAGACATAATTATATTTTTGAAATGCGGAAGCCCACTTTCTATCAAGAAAATAAGATAAGTACTATAATTTTGTCATTCCAGAACTGAGTTATTACCGACTCCTTTGAGCTCAAAAGTTCCATTATATTGTTCTCCCAAAGGGAGTTGGCTTTGTAGTTTTGTTTCATTGTGTTCTTTATAGCTTTTGATTTTTTTGATGACGATTTCTTACCATCAATTCTTGTAGTTATTTTGCTTGTCTGTAATAACAGTTAGCTCCGTTTAACTGAAGGAAGTTCAATTTAGCTCCGTTTAACTGAAGGAAGTTCAATTTAGCTCCGTTTTAACTGAAGGAAGTTCAATTAGCATCACCTAAATTTTCTCTCTCGCTTGTATAATACGCCTGATCAACAACAGAATCAGATTCTTCTGATAAAGGCCAAGAAGCAGAGGGATCAGAGTTAGCTGAAGAAGAATTGGAATTCACAGGTGCAACTGGAGAACCCTGCAACTGCAACATCAGTCAACCAACATATAATTTGGTGAGGCCAATTGTTATGGTGAGAATTAAGTTCATTTTGGTGGATTCTGTTAATCCGACCTAACTTCTCTTATGCTATCATATGCCACTAATTTCTTTCCTTACTTGTGATGGCTCTGGTTGAGGCACAAGATCTGAAGCAATGCGAAAGAACTGAGACTTAAAATGTCCCATGCATGAGCTATATATTTTTCAAATAAAAAATACATCTTTTTTTTCTCTTTATAATGTCGTTCTTCATGGAAACATTCAAATCAGAGAAAGGGTAGTTCAGTTTTCCAAAAGGTTCCAAGAATGATGAACTTATGAATTGCTGCCTCGAAAAGATGAATCATTGTTTTGACAAAAAAATATTGATTATACATCTGTAACCAGCACCACAGCAGATTTCTGTAATCTAACATATTCGGACTACATTACTCACTTATCATTTACTCTAACAGGAAAGACTCTGAATCTTGTCTATGTTTCAAAAGATGAGGTGTTTCATGAGGTATTTCGATGCCTAGAACTGAGGTAGTCCTCTTTGGTTACACAGCTACAAAATTCTACAAAAATGAAACTGTAAAGTCTGTATAAGGATATTAATTTCGAGGTGACACATATTTGCAGATATAGCCACAAATAAGAAAAGATAAAAAAATTCACGTAAAAAAACTTAGAACAGTGCAAAGAAGCAGTCATTACATGGAGAGAGAGGTTTGAGAGTTCATAAAGCTACAATCTTCATGCTCAAACATGGGTTGGACAAAAAATTATGGAGCAAAAAATACAACCAAAAACAATAAACGTACAAAGATTTATCTTTTTGACAAATAAGATGTCATGCATTTCTCAAGACAAGTTAGGTGCACCTTTGACACCTCAATAGGCCTACCTAGGATTACATGTAAGTCCCAACTTAGGCTACAGATAGAGTTTGAAGAAACATTTATTGTTATTCATGCATAATTACAAACCAGATGTCAAGAGTTTCATAATATCCAGACATTTGATTAAGATTAATAAGTACTTATGAAGGTCCAACATTTTTTTGGAAGTGCTTTCAATAACATTTCAATGTTGCAACATTCCAAAGTATCCCGAGAATGAGTAAATGACATGTACATACACTGAGGTATGGGAATGTTGCAACATTCCAAAGTATCCCGAGAATGAGTAAATGACATGCACATACAATGAGGGTTTGTATGGGATACATGAAAATGTATATAACCTATATGTCGAAAAAAGAGATTTGCGAGGTATAAGAAACCGAACCTCTTGAGTTTCTCGATAATGAACAAGGACAATGTGTTCCAGTGTTCTGACAAAAAAAATGGTATTGCATAAGAAATTGCATTATGCTTAATATCTCAAGAATGTCATATTATATAAGTGGGTTATGATTCCTGTAGACTTTAGTTGCATACTTATCAAGTAGCCAGTAACACCTCCGAACAAAGGTTGGTTTATCTTCGCCATGTGCATAGTAAACATGGATCCTTTCTTCATTACCAACCTGTACCACAAAACAAGAAGGCATTTACTCCCCAACTTCAACAACAAAAAAAAAAAAAGAATTTCACCTGACAAAGATCAATTTTGACATTAGCTTTCAAAGAAGAGCATTAATCATCTTCATAAAAAACTAGAAAGTAACTTTTTAATATTTACAAGGTGTACCAATATTTCAAAAAGCCAAAAATAACAGGTTAGTGAAACTTAAACTTCAGATTTTATCTTTAACAGAAAGAGAACTCATTCTCTTGCGCTACACATCCATATGGCTCGATCCTATCTCATGGGTGGATATCACATGGACAAGAATTTTAAATTGACAGCAAATGTTAAAGATGCCAGAGGCCCCTATCTATTATCAACGAGTTTGCCATATAATATATAGCTTCACTGTTCTCATTTAATGAAGTGGCAGATCATATATTGGGCAGGGTATATATTTGCCTCCCATGGCCAAAAAGTTGAGATATGCGGGGCCCAGTCCAATGCAATATAGTTTATGAATCTTACCTACCCAAAAAGACCAAATTAGCACCCATTTACTTGCATGTGTCTTTCCTAGCGACTTCTGTTTCTCAGGATAAGTGTACAAATTAGCTCTGAAATACGTTAGGTCAGGGGTATTGGGGAGGCAGAGGTTCGTATGCAGCATAGCACCCAATTACTTGTATGTGTCCTTTCTAGCAACTTATGTTTCTCAGGATAAGTGTACAAATTAGCTCCGAAATATGTTGTTGAGCAAAGCATCACAAAATTAAACCAGTATCGCAAGGACTCATTGACTTTCCCCTTATCATTGCCTTCATTTTACCATGTCAACCTCAACTATACAATGATGACTAGCTTGATTTCAACAAGTTTCTGATTACAAAATATTTTTCAAAATTCACCTTGAACAGCACATTAACTTCATCACCATTCAGTGAGTCTGTTTCATGCTTATTTTATATCCTTAAGTCACCTAGAGTAAGGACAAGTTGGGGATAAATGTTCATTTGTTCATACTCTGATACAGTGGAATATAGTACCAACATCAGATAGAGTTCTTTCTTGTATATTTGCATGAACTTCTCCTTGTCTATTTTGTGCAGATTTCCTTAAAATAGACCAGAAGAAGAAGAAAAGGAGGTTGTAACACTAGCACATGATTGAAAGCTAGTAGGCCTCTCTAAAAGAAAAAGAAAAACTAAACAGAGCATACGCGGTTGCCAACACAAATTTGTATTGGCCAATCAACTCATTGCAAGGCCCTGATTATTAGCTTTTGGTCTATGATGTATGATAGTCAATCCAGAAAAGAAGTACTTAAATTTCAGTCAATTGGAGACCACAAATAGAATAAATCTAGGAAAAAAATCCCATGAGTGCATAATAAGGGACCATCATCTGTTGGTTTTGGCTGCCATTGGTCTATAATAGATGTTCGAGACAAGACGTTTAACAATGGAAAATCTCACTTTTAAGTGTTCATGAGCTTCTTTGACAGTCTTTCCATCCTTTTTCTTCTTCCAGTTATGACCATCTTTCCGAAAATTCCTGAGCATCTTACGATCAAACAACACAATCGTGCCACCTATTAGATTGTGATACCATCAAGATTAGATAGAACACAACATCTTAAATTATTTGTGAATATTAATGACAACTAATGTTTTGCAATGAATGCGAAATTTCTTTTGAAACTGCAAAATTCGTTTTAATTAAGCACAAAAGGAAAGAAATTTGGGCAAAAAATGGCATGAGACCATGAGTAGATAACTTTTGACTATACAATAAAATTACTTTTGGGTAAGATAACTGGCTTGACATTGATGCTGAAATACTTATAGTTCCAGAGTATCGCATGTATCTCATTTGGTCGGAGCCATCTTGCCCGAGCCTCCTCCATTATGTTTCCAAAATCCAAATCTGTCCATGCAGCACATAATCAGTCTTGTAAAAATTAGGGGAAAAAAGGAACCAAAGTATTTTTGGTAACAGTTAAGAAGGCAATGCAGTTATCAAATATGCATGATAGTCTATTTGAATTTTGAACATGTATTATACCAAGAAAATATAAGTTGTGCCAACATGACCAAATAACTAGTGAAAGTTGATCTAAAATCTAAAAGTCAACCGCGAACTGTGAAAATAAAGGAAATATGGCAAAGGTGAAGGACAAAGATGAAAGTCGAGGAGGAAAACTTAACAAAAAAATTTTTGTTGTGCAATATGAAACCTATTTTGACAATCTATTTATTATATTGTCAATATCTTTTTTGGTTACATCATAAATAATAAAGCAAAAGAGAGAGACATTTATTCATGTTCTATACCACTGCTGGTGGACTCAGTGAACATGGAAGGTTAGCTTCCTCGGGCTCGGAACAAAGGCACATCCCTTCTTCATTTTCTCTATTGGTTTCTCAAAATCGGGAATCATGGAAATCTAATAAGAAAAGGAATCACAAAGATAACATGTTTGCTCTATTCATAATGACAGCATGGACTTAGGAATGATGGTGTTCAAAAACGAAGGAAGAAGGACCCATTTGGATAAGCTAATATTCCTGTACGATATCTTCAGAGTATAACGGGCCCTGCATGTGACCCTCTAACAGGATTTCAGGCAACTGAATATTCATTTGTATCTAGAAGCTTCTGGAGTTGTGGCTACAGCAAACGAGGATAACTTCATTGCTGGTTTACAACACAAATTCCTCAATTATCCTAAGTTGCCCATTTGAAGGTTTTTGGGCAGAAGTTTCTGCAAAGGGCATAAAGCGTTCAGCATTTTCTTATTCAAAGGAGGTTCCCTTACAATGGTTAATGTATCATGCGCCTTGGAGGAAAATTTCTTGGTTTTCAGCAGTTTGAGGACAATCCAGACTTTCGGCAGTTTTGCTACTAGCTGACGTACTTCCAACTTCTCATTACTGCAATAATTTTTATTCTTAGAAGAAAAAGGAATAAAGATGGACAATAATTCATTTCCACCATCGTTACAAGCCTACCATTCGTTAATTCGTTCTTTTTCCACAATTTTCCACTTCTCATATACACCAGGCAAATTTTATTTCTACGGTAAACCAAAAACACCATGCATTACCATGAATAACATCACAATGAAAGAAAATAGCCCAACTAAGGTGAAAACAGATCACATCTTTCTACGTAGTCAATACTTAATCCTAATCATAAACTCATAAGACTGCACTTTCTAGTCAAATCATACACAATCTCCACCACCAACACACTCAATACCCAAACTGAATAGCATATAATACATACTAACATACATATATACACACACAGTCATATATAGGTGTGTGTAGTTGTACCTTCCATGGTGCGGAAGCCATGAATCTCCCAGCTTGCAAGTTGTCTTCTTACGGTACTCTCCATTACGAAAACCTCAAAACAGTCAACCGATCATTCAGACATCAAAAGGCTTCAACCTAAAATCGAAAATAAACATAGAATTAAGAAGAAATTCAGAGAAACAAAGCTTAATTAGAGATTAAATACCTACTATCACATGTACATATGATAATTGATTGAATTTGGAAATCGGAGAAATAACAAACCACGCGGTCTCTGTTCTTCGATTACCGCCACCACCAACCCAAGACAAGTACCTCAGGATGAGAGAGAGAAAGAGAGAGAACGCCTCCTACTTTTCTGCTTGGAAAGTGTAATTGGAACAAATGGAGAGACTGGCAGCCTAGGCGAAGCTGATGTCCCAGGAGTCCAGGGGGGTCAGTCTGACACAGACGTCATCCGAACTCGACACGATTTTAAAATTGACTCCTTGATAAATGGGGAATTTATAAGTGAGGTACCATTTTTTACATTTATTTGAATAAAAGTACAAGTTAAAAGTTTGTTGGGGGATAAAATGCATATTTTTTAAAAATGCTATTATTACCATCGGTAAAACCCTTTTCTATTCTTTTTTTTTTTGCTACAATCAAGTAATTGATGGTAAAATAGAGACATATTTTTTTTAACAATTTCTCTCTCCTTATTTTCTCTTACTCTATTTATATTAATATTACAACAATACAATTACACTAATCAGTTACAATTATCATAAAATACACCAAATAATTATTTATATGTTATAATAAACCAAACAGTTACACAAAATTATGACATCAACTCAATTTGTCATTTAATTATTTATATAAATTAAATAATTACACCATTTAGTATTACGATATCGTTACACCATCATGCCTTAACAATTGCGTGAGATTATGATTGTTACACCTATTAAAAAAATAGTTACACATATTAAAAAAATAGCTACACACATTAAAAAACAGTTACACCCATTAAAAAAAATAAAGAAGTTCTTTTTTTCCTACATCCCAACAACGAACAATACATAATATCTAGCAAAACATCTTAACTGATTTTTTTTTTTTGTTGAGCAAAATTCAAGGTTTGATCAATCATCATAATAAAAGACTTTATTCCTTTTGATCAGATGACGTGGAAGCAAGGTTGGTGGCATGAGATGACATATATATATATATATATATATATATATATATATATATATATATATATACACACACACACACTAGCAATTGTCCGTACCTGAAGATATGGTGTTACTCATAAATTAGTTACAAATATTTGTCCATACATAAATATAAAATAAAATACAATATTGTAGTAAATGACGAACAAAATGAGTCCGCTAATATTTTTTATAACATCAACCTACATGCATAACATATATTTTCACATTAAATTATTACGCCACGAAAATTATGTTATAACTACTGAAACATAATAATTCAAACATTTAAAAAACTATATCAATTGACAATATTCAATATTCTGTTTTTTATTCAAAATCTATAATTTTAACATTCATAATCAACTTTATCTAAATAATAACAAAATTCATAACTAATAGAATAAAAATTAAAACAATACTCTCACAAATAAACTACGTTTGTCGATATTATCAAATGACCAAATATAACTATCAGAAATTCAACCGACTTTAAAAAGATATGACGTGACTATTGAATTTGTATGATTCAAATTTATAGTAGTGTTTTTAATTTTATATCATTCTTATTGGTTATTTATATTCTTAGTATATTTTCTTAAACTAAATATTATTTAGTATTGGATTATTTAATAAATATTGTTATTTCGTGTTGTTCACTAAATATTAAATTTATATGATTCGTATTTATTGTATTGCTTGTAATTTTGTATCGTTTCTCTCATTTGTATATTTGTATAATTTTTCTTGTGAATTTAGATTTAGATTATTTAGTAAATATTGTTGTTTTGTGTTGTTCACTAAATATTAAATTTGTATAATTCGTGTTTGTATACAAATTTAATCTTGTATATTTTAAATGTTAAACATATTTTTTTATTATATCTCTTGATATATGAGTTGCCTAATAACTTGAATTTTATCTTGTATATTTTACATGTTAAGCATATTTTCTTTGTTAAATTATATTTTTTGCAAGTTTTACCTTTTTTTTATTGATCATGGAAAAAATAAAATTGACTATTGAATTTGTATGATTCGAGTTTATAGTAGCGATTCTAATTTTATATCATTCTTCTCGGTTATTTATATTCTTGGTATATTTTCTCAAACTAAACATTATTTAGTATTGGATTATTTAGTAAAAATTGTTGTTTCGTGTTATTCACTAAATATTAAATTTGTATGATTCATGTTCATAATATTGCTTATAATTTTGTATCGTTTTTCTCGTTTGTAATTTTGTATCATTTTTCTCGGGTATTTAAATTTGAATTATTTAGTATATATTGTTGTTTTGTGTTATTCACTAAATATTGAATTTGTATGATTCATGTTTGTATATGAATTTAATTTTGTATATTTTAAATGTTAACCATATTTTCTTTAATATATCTCTTGATATCTGAGTTGTCTAATAACTTGAATTTAATCTTGTATATTTTACATGTTAAACATATTTTATTTGTTAAATTAGATTTTTTGTAAGTTATGTTTTTTTTTATTGATTATGGAAAAAATAAAATTAACTATTGAATTTTTATGATTCGTGTTTGTAGTATTACTTGAATGAAAGAGAGAGATACAGATGAATATTTTCGTAATAGACTATCTCTCTGTGATATATACTATCTATCTTTTAGTTTTAAGGACACAATATCTTTTAGTTTTATTTAGGGTAGTTTGTTATTTTAACTTGGTCGTTTAAACAACCAAATTAAATTCTAATAGATAATATAATTGTATACTAATTACGATTTTTTTTAAAAAAATTTAAAGTTTTATTTTTGATTTTATTTCAATAAATGATATAATAGAACATGAATTTTAATTATAAAATTTAAAATATCTAATATTTTTTTTTTATTGAAATATTTTTGGTGTAAGTATAACATTTTAAACTTAAAGGATTTAAATAATATATATTTATAAACTATAGGGGATCTAAATATAATTTATTAACAGAAATATTTGCAATAAGGTTGAAGTGTTCCATGAGTCTATGTGTAATATTTTAAACTAGCAATTGCTCGTACTTGAAGGCATGGTGTTACTCGAAATTAATTACAAATATTTGTCCATACATAAATATAAAGTAAAATACAACATTATAATAAATGACGAACAAAATGAGTCCGCTAATATTTTTTATAACATCAACCTACATGCATAGCATATATTTTCACATTAAATTATTACGCTATGAAAATTATGTTATAACTACTAAAATATAATAATTCAAACATTTGAAAAAAGATATCAGTTAACAATATTCAATATTCTGTTTTTGATTCAAAATTCACGATTTTGACATTTATAATCAAATTTATCCAAATAATAACAGAATTTATAACTAATAAAATGAAAATTAAAATAATACTCTCACAAATAAACTAAGTCCGCAGATATTGTCAAATGACCAAATATAACTATTAAAAATTCAACCGACTTTCAAAAAATACGACATGACTATTAAATTTGTATGATTCGAATTTATAATAGTGTTTTTAATTTTATATCATTCTTCTCAATTATTTATATTCTTATTATATTTTTTTAAACTAAACATTATTTAGTATTGAATTGTTTAGTAAAGATTGTTATTTCGTGTTGTTCACTAAATATTGAATTTGTATGATTTGTGTTCACAGTATTATTTATAATTTTGTATCATTTCTCTTGTTTGTAATTTTGTATTATTTTTCTCAGGTATTTATATTTGGATTATTTAGTAAATATTTGTTATTTTGTGTTGTTCACTAAATATTAAATTTTTATAAATCGTGTTTGTATATAAATTTAATCTTATATATTTTAAATGTTAAACATATTTTTTTTAATATATCTCTTGATATCTGAGTTGTCCAATAACTTGAATTTAATTTTATATATTTTACATGTTAAACATATTTTTTTTATTAAATTAGATTTTTTGAAAGTTATGTTTTTTTTATTAATTATGGAAAAAATAAAATTGACTATTTAATTTGTATGATTTGTGTTTGTAGTATTGCTTGAATAAAAGAGAAAGATACAAAAGAATATTTTTGTGATATATATTATCTATCTAATATTTATTACATAATTTTCCTTCAGAGAGAAATACAAAGGATTATTTTCGTAATATGTTATCTCTCTATGATATATACTATCTATCTACAGAGAGATATAAAATTTGCTTGAATCAGGGACTATCTAATATTTTTATGATATTTTTGTGAGATACAGCGAGAGATATAGAGAAAAATATTGTGAAAAATTAGTACTTTTTGCATGAATTGAGCATGAGAAATACAGAGAAATGAGAGAAATATTTGCTTGATTTAAGGAAAAGATTTTGAAGAATTAAATTTTGGAATATCAATTTTGAAAATTATAAATTTTGAACAGTAAAAATATTTCAAAAAAGTTAATGTAGTACGTCAGATCAAAACGATCTGAAAAACGTCAATAGCTTGAGACAGTTTGAGATAACATCGTCCGTTAGATGATGTTTTTTTTTTGGTCACAAAATGATCTAGACCACTCTTTGTCTCCAAAATTCAAATTCGTTCTATTTTATTATATATATATATATATATATATATATATATATATATATATTTTCACTTATACTTTGCACCCATACTCCTTTATCTTTATCTTCTAGCACGAAATACCTTTGTTTTTGCTTTCTCTTACTCTACGTAAACTCCTATTTTACCTCTCATTATTATTGTTAATCTTTACATATTTATTTTCTCAAGTAACTGTCAATGATGACTGCATAAATTAATGAATGGTGTTTAGGTAAAAAAGATTTTAATTCATTTTGAATTTTATACTTAAACACAAATTTTTTATAAAAATTGTATCTAATAGAATAAATAACTTATCCATACACTTTTGCTCAAATAAATCTATTTTTATTTTATTTTATTTATATTTTACATATTATTAATTTTCTATTCTTTAATTACAATAATAACTCAAATTAGTGTAAATTAATAATTATGTTTAATAAAAATTATAATCAAAATTAATTATTCAACATATAATTTATTTATTCAATTCAGTTATGTATATAATCTATATTTTTTTATATGTGTAACAAAAAATTTATTATTTAAACACTAGCAATTGCCCTTGCCTAAAGACACTATCTAATAAACAAAG